CCTCGTCAGTCCCCGGAATCGTGTGCTTTGTACATACACATACTTACGCTACGTAGAGCCAGGCTCGTATCGTGAATGTGCCTCTACATGCGTGTGTGCGTGTGCATTTATGTAGACATTTTTATTTCTCTTGCTTTTGAGTGGCCACATTCGCCTTACATTCTTCCTATCTCGTTTCATCTCTCGTCCATTGCGTTTATTGCGTCGTCGCTGCCGCCACCGCCGCTACAACCACAGTAATAAACCGTTTATAAGTTGACGCTGCCATCGTTGCTCTCTGTTACTCTCTGTTGCTCTTCCTCATCCTGAATGCGCGATGTCAAAGAAAAATGAGCTTGGCTGCTTTGCTTTATGACTCGGCACTCATCTCTCTCTCTCTCTCTCTCTCTTTCTCCCATCCACACTCACACTCGGTCGTATCCCACAGACAAACGCACGCATGCATACAAAAAATTGTATATCTGCGGCAGCATAGGCATGCACACACATATACACACGCACACCTCACAAAAGTGAAAGAGACGTCGTTTTTTGCTTACGTGTGCATGTAAATATGCGCGAAACGACAACATCTGGTATCTTGAAGCGAGAGTCTCGGACCTTGCCAACTATCGTTTGGCTTTTCTGCTTTTCCCCTCAACAGTTTGCACGATATCAACGAGGCGAGCGAGCACGCGGAATAACGATTAGCCTGGCATCGAAGCTCTCGGTCTATCCACAAAGCCAATATATTACAGCAAACTGCAACTTGCTCGCTGACTTTTTCCGCTCGTTAGTTTTTTTACCGCGAGAGCACGGTCGCGCGCTCTATTATATACCTTTGCCGATCAATCGAGGCAGCAAGTTTCTGTCGTCGTGGCAATTTAGCCGCTAAGAATCGAGCTTATATGCACGTATATCGGTGGCCTAGAGTCGAGCCAGCTCGCGAAGCTCGACAGTTCATGCATCGTCGAATTTTATTCTTCGTTTTCTCCTTCTCGCGTCGCTCTCGAGTCAATGTGGAAAAAAACTTGCGCGAAGCTGAGCAAAAAAAAAAAGAAAAAAAAAAGAAAGAAAGAAAGAAAAAAAGAAGAAGCAAAAAAGAGAACGAGTCGCGCTGGCCTGTAAATGCAATGCATGCTGTAAGTGAAAAAGCGCAGGCGCGCCCCATATATATGTGCTATGTATATGAAATTTTGCGCTGTGTGAGTGAGTGTAAGCCTCACGCGCTCGCTGGGACTGGGCGGCCTCTGCCTGATACACTCAGCATACTGCTACTCCTCTCTCGCTCTCTCTCTCTCCGGATTCTACCACGCGCGCAGGCATCGTCTGCGTGAGTCGAGTCTGCCTTCCTTCCTCGCCCTTTGTGTCATATACTCCCGCAACAACATCAATGCCTGCGTGCTTGCTCTCTCTCGCACTCGCTCGCACTCGCTCTCGCAGTAAAAGTGCCTGTATATGCGTGCGTACTCCCTTTTGCCTTACTTTATGCGCGTCGATGCAGTTTCTTTCTGGCTCGAGCTCCTGTAGAGCTACGTGCCAGCCGCAGCGCAGCTCCTTTCTCCCGGTTTTGTACGGCAGACACGAGTCGATACAGATTCGCCATGGAGTCTACGTATACTCTTCGGAGCATAGGTAGTTTATAATCGGCGGGATTTTGGCAAGGAGCAGTAGATCCAGACGCTTCTACGGCCGCATGCGTGAATCTATCCTATATACATGCTCCGAAAATGAGAAGGAACGAGAGAGAGAGAGGCGAAGGCCAGACACCCAAGTCCGCATGGCGGTTCGCACGGGCAACTTGAAAGGATTCGCTTAGGTATTCCGTCGCGCCAGAAGACCAGAAGACCAGAGAAAGAGATCGAGCGTGTGCATGTGTTTGTGTGTGTGTGTGAGAGAGAGAGAGAGGGCAGGCTCGAAGCTGGAGGAAATATGCTGAGCCGTTGTCGCAAGGCGAACCGCGTGCGATGCGTCCAAAATTCGTTTGTAGAGCAGCGTCACGTGCGAGTGAGAAACGCGCATCGGCCGCAGCATGTACACCGCATAAAACGAAGAGATGCCACATAACGTCGTTGGGCGAATTCACGCGCGCATATATACGTTATAAGATAAATTGCAAGATCCCTTATACATATCTATAGAGGAGCTACTCGAGCTCGAGAGTCGGCGAAGCAAACAACGTTGCAACGTTCGTGCGCGGAGCTCGTGCTGCTGCTACTCTCGTATCTCTCTATGCACGACGAGGTATATTGCCGGCACCGCCCCCGGCCGGTACAACGCCAGCGGCTGCAGTATATTCCGCCGCCGTTCCCTACACGCGTAAATTGCACTTTAGCTCTGTGTATGTGTGCGCGCCATGCACTTTTTACACTTGTCCACGTGGTGGATGGATGTGCGCGGACGTCGACGACGACGACGAGCTTCCCCGTTTGCGCGCGCGCACGACGCAGCAACCCCTTCCAGAAATACGCTTACCTCCCCTCGCCTCTTGGTCCTGTGCACGCGCGCGCGTTGTATTCCGCCGCCGCCGCCGCGGCCGGTTTACCGAACTGCGTGGGTTACTCGCGAACGAGCGAGCACGAGTTGCGCGCGCAGAAAATGCAGCGCCAGTCGAGCTCGAGACTTTCGAGAAAATGCAACGCACGAGCCGCCCCTTTGTGTGCCTCGCGCGACCACAGTCCAGAGCCCTGTACTGGTCCTCGTCTCTTCCGTCCGGAGCTGCCGAGGGATGGATGACGAGGTTGCGCGCGCGCCCCCGCCTGTAACAACGCGCCACACGAGAGTTGTGTAACTCGCCTCCTCGGCTATACACTTGGACCGATAGCAGCTAATATGTATTTAATGCGCGCGAGCTTTTCCATTATGAATGGCTGCCTGTTATTTTTTTTTCGCCCGGAGAGCACTCAACGCGTTATGGGCTGTATGAGAATTTTATTAGCTCGCCCGCTGCCCCCGCTGCTGTGTACATGTATCGACGATGTGCGTGCGTGCGCTGCTGCTACACCCTGCGAGATCGTGCAATGTACATCCACGCGCAGCTGAATATTACATGCCAGGATAAACCCCTTTCTGCGTGCCTCGGCTTCTGCGCGTAACCGTGAGCCAGCCAGTTACTCGCCCTTGTTTCTCAAGGAGTCGACCTATACACATGCCCGAAAGGGGACATACACTCGCTGTTTTACATACGCGATATGGCGCATAAATGCTTTTAATGAAGAAAAAAATCTCAATGCATAGAAATTCAGAATTTCAATTTTAACTTATAATATACATCGAATACGCTTATATTTGCCTCGCTGCTACTGCTGCTGCTAATGCTAATGCTGCATTATGCATGCAGTCGCGGACGCAACTTAAACTTTTTAATAATTTCTTATCTCCGGATCGTATCTCGGTGCAAATTACAAGGTTTCGCAACGAGACCCGTTGACACTGCTCTCGTATCGATCTCTTTTCTCTCTCTCTCTCTCTCTCTCTCTCTCTCTCTCTCACATCACCTATTGGTCGTACTTGTCTTGAGCGACACCAGCAAAAAAGAGTCGGAGCATTGATCGAAGAAAGAAAGAGAGCAAGAGAAATGGTCGAAATTTGCGTCTCGTTTGGATCGTTACACGACTCCCTCTCGAGTTGCAAAGACCACGCTAATGATTCATAATCACGAGCGCGACGTGTCCGAATTAAAAAAAGCCGAAGAAAAAACCGATTGTAGCGGCAGCGCCGAGTGACGTACCGTAGCTACGAGCGCAAAGTACGGCCCGGTCAATTTCCGCAAAAGCTCGACTCTCGTTCGTTTTTTTAATTATAATAATTGTACGAGAGGCCTTCGTTTTACAGCGACGGTCTTTCATGTGTACCATTGACGAGGCAGAGAATGTGTGCAGATCATTCAAGGCCGTTAATGCGAGTCTTATAACATAAATAATGCATGTGCGAGCGTGACAAGTTGGCTACATTGTATTCCGCTCGTTCTTGACGCCTTCTGCGCAATGTGATGTTTCACCTCTTATAATTGACGAAATCGCGCGAACCTAACGTTCGTAGTTATAACGAACACGTTCTTACGGATCTTTTTTTTTATTGTTGATCATCTCCTCGCAAAGTACGCGCCGTTCGTAGTTCGACATCCCCTGTTTATGCCGCGTGCTTCTTTCTCAAATCTCGCCTATATATCTGCGTATAGCCTGCTGTTCTCTCCGCGCATTTCGATATACGCGCGGTGGTATCTCTTTGCATGGTATCTCACCTCGCTTTTTGATTATACGTAAATATTCTTTTCTTTTTTTTAACGAACGCAGCGAATCAGATATATTTGCAATAGAAGCGCGTTCCAGTATCTCGCGAATTTCGAATGAAAATGAGTCTCTCTCGAATGCAGTATTATATATTGTATAAATAATTTTTTCATTCTTCGAGGGACATTCAAGAAACCGAGATGTATATTACATCGACCTGTACTCTCGTGCCCGTGCATGCGTCGCATAAAACCTGTCGACGAATCTCCGTATCTCTTTCACTTCTATCGTTATAAGCCAACCTTAGACGTTTTACATTAATTTCATGTGTCGGTAAAATGAGCGCTGGGAAACACTCTAGAAATTCATCTCGTTACGTCGATATTCGTTGACGTTTTTAAAAATGTTTTTGAATATCTAGAAAGGTTAGGTAGTACACGTCTTCCTAAAATTTTCAACAACGTGTCTTATTTTCACAATCCCCTTGTCTTTCCCTTTTATATACGTGACATAATTGTATCTTGTACGTGGTATAACGCAAAATCTTTGTTTACGTTTACTAGCTAACTTACATATTCGATTTTGCCTTGATCGTTCATTAGCCAGTTTCTGACCAGTTTGAAGTTGAATAAATGAGTAACAACTGCCCATTTGAACTGACTAGTTTCTGCTCATCTGAGCATTTCAAATGCTTTATTTTACCAGGGTGATCTTACATCACAAGATATTACTTGATTTCGACTTTTTGTGATTAATTAAATTAAACGTGTTTTAAATTTTATTTTGCAGATTTGAAGATTCCAAACTGACGCCAATAAAAGCAAAACGGCCTCTAACGCAAGCCCAAGTACAAGATTGAATAAAACCAAAACTCAGGAGGATTAACGGAGAAAAGCAGCGAATGAATGTCGAGTAACGGAGAAACTGCTGCAATTTCAAAAACGACCGAATCGATTAAGCAGGTCCTCGATAAATATACTACCAAATTGGCTGATTTGGAGCCCGGCACCTTGACAAAAGCGACGAAGCAACCTCTAGGGGGGTGCCACCCACACATCAGTCACTGGTCGCTGCGAGACCGCGATAGTTACGAACGACTATGAATCTACATACTCTGCTACTAGCCGCTGATTATATTGAAAAGCTTGAAAAAAATAACTTGAAGCAAAATTCGTCTTCGGCCAACGTAAATAACGATCAACGTTCTAATGATCGTAATAGTGCCACTGAGCCAAGAGGTATGTATTCTCTCTTGATTTTTTATCCGTTTTGTTGTGTGTCGCTTTGCTTTTTTTACATACAGTAAAACCTTCCTTGACGGGTACCAGCATTTATACAAATATTTATACTCTCACTCACGTGATAACTATTACACGAAATTTTCGCGCGTAAATAAACAAAAGTTGGAGCTGATGAAAATCGAGGAAGGGGGGGAAGAGTAAAGGAGAAAAAGTGTCTATTTTTATCCGAAAAATCGATCGATCGTGGGCTGAATTCGCAGAGTTGGACGGCGATTTGGTCGACGGAGCTGCTGCTTGTCTATGGCCGCGTGCATGCGCTGCGTGCACATAAGTGCAAGTCGAAAGAAATCATAGAAATGTAGAGCGCTCACTTAGACGCGCTCTCAAAGTCCGCGTTTCGTGTATATTACACATACAGCTATGGGTATAGCGAGTGAGAAAAATCCCGCGCGAGCAGAAATTCGCGAAAAAGGAAGTCTCTTCCTCGTATAATGTATATCTGGCACGAACCCATAGCTGGCTTGTGCACACGTGCTCGTAGCGCGAACGCGCGCGAGTATATATTCGCATGCATCGATTGCAGTCGATAGGTAATACGGGCTCTCTTTCTCGCTTTATGTACTGCCTTGGATAGGTATAATCTTGGCTGGTTCTTTGGTTGGTTGGCTGCTTGGATGTAGGTAGCGGCTATATATATCTATACGACGAGACGCTTCGATGCGGTGTGCCTTTCTCTATCTTTCTCTCTCTTTCTCGCGTGGTGGTGGTGCTGCTGCGCTGCTCTTTCATACACTCGAGCTATGGGTCAATGACTCAAGCTAAATGCAATTCGTGCACATTCAGAGAGAGAGAGAGAGATACATTTCGACGATGAAAACGTACTTCTTTTTCGCAACGTCGTAGCAAGATAACGGGCTATTAATTTATTTTCTTTTCATTCATTATTCTTCCTTTCCTCTTTGTTTCTCGTTGGCTTGGTGAGCTCCGCGCGATGTTGGCACATATATTTATCGTTGCGCTGCGCGCGCTGCAGGTTTTTGTCGAGCGCGCGTGGGTGAACAACGATTCGTCGGATCTACGTTCGAGTCCGTTTGACAAATATGCGCGATTGTTCGCTCGACGACGCGCTCCGCATCTACCGTTGCGTATCTCGTAGCGAAACGCTCGGACGAGATCTGAGAGAGCCGCGACGAACGTCTGGAAAAATTGTGCAATTCGCGCGTAAGCCTGAATCCGATACCGCGTACGCATGCGTAAGCATGGCACATGGACCGCCGTCCGTCGCAGTTGCAATTGCTATTGGCGCGCGTGTATATTAGTCATCGGTCCGTAACTCGTACATGTAATATTCATCGTATCGGATGTCCACGAGCGCACACGCACAACGAACCTCGCCGAGCTTCGTATGCTCTATACGGGAAAATCTCTCTCGCACACATGTAGGTACGCATATAATCGAGCGTGTACGTAAGCCAGTTTGCTCCGTAGAACACAAAGAACGAATTGCGCACGATTACACGTGCTAGTCGCACCGCTGCAAGTCTCCGTACAGTCACGGGACGCGCAGAAAGTACCGAGGGAGAGAAAGAGAAGGGTTACACGTATAGAGCAGCCGGAGCTCGGCGTCGTTGCTGCTCCGACCGCCCGTCGCTACTCGCGCGACTCTCTCTCTTTACTACGTCCGCGGTACTATGGGTTGCTGCTGCTGCTGCTGCTGTTGTTGTTGTTGCCGTCGATGATCGTGCAGTGCGAAAGAGAGAAAGAGAGGAAGGGAATCACGAATCGACTCTTCCTCTCACGTTTTATATATGCAAAAGAAGAGAAGGGGAATCGGCGAGACTGACACGTTGGCGCTCGAGCCATAAGGAGAGGAGCTCGACGCCGAGCCAAAGAGTCAAGCAGCAAATCGCGTTTTAGTGTAGGTGTATTTGTGAGAGATATCCCTCTCTCGGCTGCGACTGCACAGCTCTGCAGCAGTCCCTGCCCGTGTTTATACGTAGACGCCAAACGAACGATACAACGAGCTCCGGAGGAATTTCGACTCCAACGCGGATATGCGATTGTATGGGCTCGTTTTTTTTTTCTTCCTCCCCAGTTCTTTTTCTGCGCTTTTTTTCGTTCTAACTTGAGCAGTTCGGGAGATGCGTCGTTATGCGTCGTTCTCCGTTCCCTCGAGCGAAAAAACACATCTCGACGCTCGAGAAATCTTGGCTGATTTTGCGCTTCGCTCGATCGCCGATAGACAATCCGACGACGAGTGGACATGGACGCGCACGCGAGAAAAGCCGATACCTACATGCGTGGAGCGCGAAAACTCGTAACGCGACTGACTGCGGTGGAGAGAAGAGGAGAGGTGAGACGAGGAGAGCGCCGAGTGAAATTCGGGGCGTAGCTGCTGCTGCGGCGCTGACTGTTATGCAGCGTATATATACCAGCACACTCAGGCACACAGCATATATAGACGTCGGAGCAGAGAGCGAGAGCAGCGGCACAGGGCGCTCGTTGCTCCGGTCAGTGACTTGGCCGGGCGAGAGCTGCTCTACCACTGCCTCTGCAGTCTCCACGACCATGCCGCAACCGTACGCCGCCTCGCATTGCCACTACCTCTGCTACTATTACTACCACCACTACATCTGATGCTGATACTAATACTACTACCACCTCTAGCGCCGCTACCATTACATCTACCAATAACGTCGTCTAAGAAGCTTTTCATTCAACGTCGCACGAGCTGCACGAGAAAACCACCTACGCCCTTTGCGCGAAAGACGAGCGACACGACTTTGACGTCGTCGCGCGAGCTTACTTGGCCTTATATTTTTTGCTCTCCCTCGGCCTTACTTTTTTTCAATGCACATCGCATACAACGATGTACGGATTACGCGCGAGCTACACGCGCATTTCCAGGATGTAGTTTTCAGCTGCGAGATCCGATGCGCGGCCGACGCGTAACAATGTAATTTTTGGCACTCCTCCTCGTGCGCGGCGCCGCCAATCCCCTCCGGTACTTTCTTTCCGTCACTTTTATTGCGCTGACCTATATATGTGTGTTGTCCCCGCAAACAGAACCGCCGCGACTCGTCGTTTCGCTCGCTGCTGCGTCGCAAATGTTTTGCGTTTGTATTATTATAAACTTCGTCGGCCTTATCTCGGCAGAGCAAATTTTTTTCTCTTATTAAAACTCTTTAATAAAGTAAAAAGAGAGAGAGAGAGAGAGCTGATAAATATTAAGTGTAATTATCGCGCAACAATGATTTATCTGCGACTATTTAGCAATACAGACTCTTATAATGCGGTGCGATCGTTCACGCGACACTCGACGAGATTACAATGAAAGTATATACGCTAATAAATAACGCGAACGTAAACATTTTGACCCTTGCCTAGAGTCTCCCGGCATAAAGCGTAATTGATCGTCGTACATTGTTTTTCGATAACCGATTGTGTTATTTTAAAGCTCGTAAATAAACGCGAAGCAAAAAAAACAGTAAGAAAAAAAGAAAGCCGAACGAATATGGAGGAACTGCGAGTTTAACGACGATTCGCCTCGCAGTGTAAAACAATTGGCTCTCTCTCTCCTTTTCTCTTTTTCGCTCGCTCTCGAAATCAGCAGCAGAGTTCAAAAGAAGCGCTGCGCACAACAAATGGACTTTGGTCCGCGCACTGCACTCGTATGTATATGTACGTACGTATTATAATGAGCGATCGCGTCGGTATATACGCCGCGTTATAGTGTAGCTATATAATCGTACATCGCGCGACCTGTTGCATCGGTCGGCGACCTTGCTTGACCTTGGGGAGCAGTTGACTGCACATTTTTCGTGCCATTTTCGCTACTTCCTTCCCGTTTTTTTCTTTCTCTCTCTCTCTCTCTCTCCGTCTCTCATCAAAAGCACTTTTTACGTTATTGCGGTGCATGTGCATCGCGTGGATCGTTATTATCGCTGCCTCGCAGCGACCCAAGTATAGTATCGCAGCCGCGCGCGCAGCTCGTGCTCCGAAGCGAACGAGAACGAATCTCGATCGAAAAAAAAGCATCTCGATTTTACGTTACAAGCTGACGAGTAATTTTTCAGTTGAACTTTGTTGTTGGCTCCAATTCTGTATGAAACAGGACACGAATGCGTTCGGTATTATGCGTTAGGTAGTCTCTCGGCCTATAATACTACTCGAAGTATGTCCGGCCTCTCGGCACAGCTATATGCCGTGCGCGGCGTTGGCTCGAGTCGATGTTAATCGTCATCTTCGACGGATAGGCCACGGTGCATGCGCACATTCGCCACTGCCGCCGCTATCATGTGCTGCATACACAGACATGTAGCAGCTCATCGACATATACCTTGAAAAACACGGCAACATTTTCTCTGCGTTGTCTCTTTACTCGTCCCTGCTAAATCGTGTAGAGCGAATGAAGCCACCTCCTCTTTATAAGCAATACATGCATGTGTGCGTGTGTGTGTGCGTGTGCGTGCCTGCTTCTTGTGTGCATCTACTTGGCGAGACTCACACTCGCGAAAATGCGTTTCGTTCGTTGGCCGGGGAAAGTTGAGGAGAGAGAAGCCGAGTTAGAAACACGCGTGCGCTTGCGTATATGCGATACCCGCACAACAGCACCAACACACCGACACACATACAAGAGGCTCCGTATAACATAGGTGCATCAGCCGAGAAGAGGACTAGGGCCGACGTCTCCTCCTCGCGTCTATATATCTCCATGTTACAAACGTGTATCGGCTTCAGGCCAACCGGTGCGTCCATATAAGCGAACGTCGTCTTCGTCAGCTTATTCTCGTGCGTTATATTCTTGGCTGAATTTTTTCTCCTCTCTCTCGCGTTTATTTGCGCCTCTCTTCCTCTCGGCTGTAACGTAATAATATACGCGCTCGAGCCTTATTTTCTGCGCCGCCTGACGCACCGTTGACGAAAGTTCAAGTATTACGAGATATACTACGAGCGAAAAAAAACGCAAGAGCAGAGTCGGGATGGTAATTCGGGTTCCGAGAAGCGTGCGCAAGCTCGCAGATATCGAAAGAGTAGCAGCCCAGACAGTTTGTTTATTTTACCGAAGCGAGAGAGAGAGAATGCCGATCGATCGAGAACGAAAAAAGAATAAAATAAAACGAGCTTGAAGAACCTCTCGAGAGACTTGCTGGCCAAAGTTTAATAAAAGCCATTTTCAATAAAATGTATGCCTAACGAAAGAGAAAAAAGATTATTGGCGCAGCAGCATAAAATCGTATCCGTGCTAAAACCTAGTGCATATGGACTCGAGCAGTGATGACGACGACGACGACGCCCCAGAGTACATTCGCTTTCTGTTTACGTTTTCTTCTCCCACACGCACACACATACAGAAACGCATACACGCATGGTGCACGCACACGACGCACATGTACGCAAGCATCGATTAAGCTCATTCTCTCTCTTTCTCGCTCTCGTGTATATAAAGCTAAATCTCGGACTGGCTCTCCTCGAAAGTTTTCGTCCCCTCTACTAATTCAGCAGCCTCGGAATCGCTCACCTACACATCACGTCGTAATAAACAATCGTAAAATGGCAAGAGAAAAAAAATTGTAATTCTCCGCGCTGTGTGCGGATCGAGCGGCGGCAGCGGCCGTGCAAAACGTCGAGAATGCAACAAAGAGGGAAGCGTGATGAAAGTATTACACGCAGGCAGTAGTAGCGGCACCGACGGTGACGGCTCCAACGAATAAGTGGGGTGGAGGGATATAGCACAACACACACACACACATACAGACAGACAGACAGACTCAACACGGAGTCGCTCTTTCTCTCTCTCTCGCTCTTTTGACTGGCTGAAGGTGAATCGGAGCACGCGGTCGCTGTTCTGCCGGGACGCATGCGCGAATCCCACTCGGCACACACACACACACGCGCGCGCGTAAAGCTTCGAAAGAGAGAGATGGAGCGCGTGCAGAAGAGAAAACTACACAAAGTCAGAGATTCGCAAACGTCGAGCCGCGTCGTTGTGTGTGTGTGCTATCCCCGGCCGCGTGGCGCTCGGCGCGCCTTACGTATACATGTCGTGTGCGCTCCTATATAGCATTCAATGATCAATCGGAGTGCGCGCGCGACTCAACGAAGACGACGTTGCCAGATCGAGCTTTTTCCATCCCTTCTCTGCTGCCGGTCTCTCCTCTCGATATAGCAACGCGCCAACGAGTAGGAGAGTGTGTATTATGCCGTATGGACGAGCTCCCGGCCGCTCCGCACTCACACACGCGTCCACGCGGCTTTCGAGCGCGTACACACCGCCAGGTACAAGCACGTGCTTGTGTGTGCACCGAACGATCAGCCAGGTAGTGGGGGGTAGCTCGACCACGTGGGGAGACGTGTCTATATATAGAAGGAGAGAGAGAGAGCGCGCCTACTATCGCTCACCCACACACTTTCGCGGCGAATATACGCGCACACATAGATATATTCGCGCGCGACTATAAAGACGCGTGTATTTAATATTATGACGCGAGCATGCGATATTAAGTTCGACACAATGGAATGGAATTAGACCGTGAGCTTTCGAGAGATGTTTTTCGACGCCACGATATACACGAAGCAGGCGCTTCTCTTTTACTTCTACGCGCGTCTTACTGCTCCGACCTCCCGTACAAAAGGGCTTGTAAATTACTTTACACACACGCACACAATCGTGCTGGCAGCAAGACGCATTTATAATTTATGTTCCGGAGCAACGACGATGGCAAAATACTATACACTGGTACACGTACATGCACACACTTACGATTCTGTACATAATCGAGGAGTGACGCGTCTTTTTACACGAGTAGCCCTAGGTCGCCTAACGCTTTTAAGCTCTGAGTGAGTATAAAGTTGGAGGAGGACGATAAGGAGAAGTTGGGGTCCTAGGTACTTTTTCATTCGAAAATAAACAAAAAACGGCGATGTTTCGGTACCAACTCGCGCATGCATGTATCACTGCTCGGCAGTAACCCAATGCTATATGATTTGCCTAGATTTGAAGCTACTAAATTCTGAGATGTAATTACAATTGATTTTTCATGAAAATGTTTTACTTTTAATTTACAGGAAACAAGTTAAAACGAGAGCGGGCAGATAAAGACCAAGATGACCTGTTATGCCAAGAGAAATTATTTATCATCGAAGGTACGCTCTATTACTTTATATCTCTGCTAATTATGGCCAGACGCGTGGGACAAATCGCGATAGAGCTCTATTTTAAAAGAAAAAATCGACCTAGCACGTGTTTTTTTTTCGTTTATACATGATCAATGTGCCTATATAATGATGCGTCTATAAGACAATTCCTGTTTGTATTGTATACCAGTATCATTTTCTCACTCGTGTCTTTGGAAATTTGCGTCATACACCGAGAGACAAATGGACGAGCGACGAACGAAAACAAGTCCGGACGTGTATATAAGGTGCCGTAGGTGTATCTCTCTATATACCTACGCGTCGTGCGTGCGCAAAACGATGAAAGCTAATTCAGCAGAGCTTTCACTCGTCAGTGAATTTCACAGCTATCCAGGCCTTCGCTCCTGCCGCCGCTACTTCACCACCACTGCTGCACATATTATAATTATAATGTCCGTGTGTATTAGCCTATATGTAGCTAACATTTCGTATATAGGCCCTCGTGGAGTTCGAGCTGTATAACGGTTGTATTAACTTCGCGCATGAAATATTTAATTTCGCGCGACTACACGCGTGCGCGTTAATGCCGGCCTGCCGATTATCTACGTTGTACGCACATCTATTATGTAAACACTCGCTGCTTCGAAGCCCTTGCCCGAGTTGGCGTTTTTTTTTCTTCTTTTTGCATATCTATATAGCGCGGTGACGATCCGCGTTACCCTTCGCGCAATCTGTCCTTCGCTTATATTCTCGCGATAACGCGTGACGTGACGCGCGTTGACTCGCATTAACACACATCGAATCGTCGAGAGCGAATATTGTATTAAAAAAAAAAAAAAAAAAAGAGCCGAAGATTAGCATTTACGCGTGCGTCGACAATATAATCGGGTATAATAATGAGTAGCAGTCCGTCCGTCGTCCGTCGTGGAGCCCCATAGTCGTGTGTACCGCATAGGAAATTTTGAGCGCCAGACGAGCTGAAAATAAAACAACGATTTACGCGCGTCGATAATAAAGTCAGACGCGGCCAGACGCGCTCGCGCAAAAGCTGTATATTGTTATTGTACTGCATACACACGTAATATCTTAATCCATCGGCGGAAACAAAAACAAATGAGCTTTTTTTTCCTTACGTGCTGCGCGACGATGCGTACGGATCGATAATTTATGCGGTTTCCATAGCTCTCTGCTCCTCCATAATGTACACGATCGAAAATATATAATGCTCACATTTCCAATAAATCAAAGTCGCGCGCGCACTCGTAAATATCCCAATCAGCATCTAATTATACATACAGAGTATAATTTAGTAGATTATAATATTCGAGAAGTCGGGGGCCGGAAAAGTTGAGGTTTCTCGAATGAAGCTCGGATAATTTGTCAACCGCGACGCTTCGTACGGCTAGATAGTCAATTGCGGAGCAGGAGAAGCGAGCCAATCATTCGGTCATCTTAATACACCGTTGCGTGGCTTCGCCCGTCCCACGTATCGATGTATTTGATAAAAGAATAACGAAGGAGGATGCCCGTCCGAGCGACTGTCAAAGCGAAAGTATCTATGTTATAGAATCGACGATGCCAAGGTGTCAGGCTTGTGTCTGAATTAAAACTACTCGCTCGCACATAGTGTCAAAAGTAGGGGGAATTGGTGTGCATGAAAAAAAGAAAGAGAAAAAACCAAGTGCGCGGAATAAGAGAGGACAAGACGTCGTCGACGATCTGGCTACCATGTCGTATTACTATATATACATTTCGTAGCGCAACTTGAGTCTCTCTCTCTCTCTCTCTCACTCTCGTACTGAATCGACACACGAGTCGGAAACTGTGTGTACGAACGTTTATATACGTGTGAGTGTGTACTGTTGACTACCGCCACTGCTGCTACTGCTGCTGCCGCTGCTGCTGCTGCTGCTGATGTTGCTCCGTTGCAGGCAGCCGTTGTTGAGCCGTGCGAAACGGCGGAGCGTGTTTAGTCGTTGCTCGCGACTCGCGCGTGCTACAGCCGTGCTCGCGTTCCTATACACACATGCGTACGCGCGCGCGCACATACGTTCTGGGCCGCTCGCAATATCACGAGCTTTTTTTTCTCTCCGTTATAAATAAAAACGTCGAATTTGTGCGCGTTCGTTGTTGCTCGTTGTTCGCTCGGCGCAGTGCGCAGCTCTTCGTGTTGTACCCGCGTGAAAAAGCACACGACGGCCCGATAAAGGAACGAGTCGAAATCAGCTGGTCGCGCGACTCGATTTTCCAGTGATTATTCGCGACGTTGACGCAAGCACGAGAAGACGAATTGCAAAGAAAAACAAAAAAAACACGTAAAGGGGAAGAAAATGGGCGTACTTTTGATTGCCGACGCGGTCTACACACGTCGTAATAACAGTGATCGTAACGACATGAGCAACAATAACGATAACGCTGGCAGCGTCGCCAGTGCCGCGAGCAACAATAACATTGGCGGCGGCGGCCTGCAGCTGCTGAGGCGGCCCTGGTGCTTCAGAGAGAGAGATTGGCTGACGTCACCGCCACCGAAAAAGAAATGGATCAGACACTATCTCCTGGGTGAGCGAGTGTAGTTCGATATAAATGACCGTCTCCGCTGCACCCCCGTCCTCATTACGTTTACTTATTCCATGAAATCGCTTATCATCTGGCAATATCTCATTCCGTCAATGTTAGACGTTTATAATTCATCTGCAGTGCCGTTGATAAGTAGATTGTTGATCCTTTCAAAAAGTTTATTGTTCTTTTTTTTTCGCGATAAAAATTAAAATTTCAGGGTATGAAAAATGGTCCGCGCTACGCATGCGTACTTAGCGCCTGTTTACATGTATGCGTATAAGCAATATCGCGCGGCAGATAGAGAGAGACAGGGCGCAAACGTCTGTATACACATTGAAAAACGTGCACATTACGATGCATGACGCGTGCCCCGCTGCTCTCGAGTCTTTCTCTCCTTGTTCTTTGGCGACTATATACGCCTTGCATTATCTCTCATTATAAATACGGCCGATAAGCGAATTTTAATATTACTTTAATGCGATACTTCTTTCGTGTGCTCATGGACTTTTCGAGTCGATCGCGACGCACATCTATCTATTGGCGCTCAGCGTCCTCTAATCGATTCAAATCGCAGCCGCTAATTTTATAGCACAACGATTCGATTGACACAGTTTTACACTTGGTTTATCCTCGATAACGCGTCGATCGAACCGGCGTCGCTGCATAGCCTATCTATAACATAATAAACCTTTTTTTTCGAGTACGCACATATACACCTGCGAACTCGGACGCGCAGCACATATTGTCAAAAAATTATCGCGTGGCTTTTGTTTGCTTCGCGTATGATAATCTCGCGGGACACATTTCTGTGTCCAATAAGACATAGGCTGATAGGTAAACACGTGAATTTACACGAGCTTGGTTGAATTATTCCTTATCGCCGAATACTCGTTGATTTGTCTTTCTCTCACTCTCTCTCTCTCTCTCTCTCTCTCTCTCTTTCTCTCACTTTCTCTGCCGAGTAAATCATCGCTTGTAACTGTTATAGGTGCATTCGAATTATATAGGTGTCAAAAGAAAACGTCGTCGATGTGTGCTACGTAAAAGATTAAAAAAAAGTAAAAAAACGGCTGGTCCAGATCACATATCCAGACGCTAATTTTAACTTGATTTCGTTTGGCCTGTTACCAAGCTCTACATGACACTTTTTTTCCTCGTTGGTGCCTCTCTTTCCGTCAGATTTTCGCGAGCCTTTACTTTCGTTCTGGTACGTAAGGCCCGTATCGGCGCGTGCGATTATTGATTTTTTCGTTTACTTATTCATTTACTTTTTTTTTTAGAAAATAAGTGGACCTTATATGTTTTTCCTATTGTACGAAACGAAAAATAACCTCGGTTTTACAGCGTTAAAATACGCAAGCGAAAACAATCGATATCTGACCAATGACTCTCCGACTCGGAATCGTTGAGAATTCAAATGAAAAGTTAAACAAGATTCGATTTTTTCGTCGAGTTTGACGCAAGCACGAGACCCGGTGCTTCATTAAAATTTTTAATCGAGTTCGATGATTTAAAAAAAAGAAATAAATAAAATAAAATAAGAAAAAGAAAAAAAGTCGTATTGAATCACACCGAAAGATTTGCGTTCAAAACTGCGTTTAATTCAGCTCTCTCATCGATGGCCAGAGATTCGCTGGATAAGTACGAACGATGCGAGACGTGAGGCAGTCCAGCTGAACACGAGAGCTTGAGTAGAGCATAGTAGATCGTACACCGGATCGCGAGAGAATAGAGAGATGCGCTATACGAGCTTTAAAATAGCCGCGTTAGCCAAGTTGGGGTGCATTTAATACTTGTACGAACGACGAGTGCACGACCGCATGAATGAGAGCACGTGCCCGAGCTTAGTTAGTATAGACGAGAACGAACTTGCGCGACACTTGCGTGCGTGCTTTGCTTTCGCTGTGTGTACAGTGATCGAGCATCGTTTCTCAGCTCCGCGCAGCGACCGGCCGACGATTATATGCTTCGATCGATCTCTCGCAATAAGAAAAGTTCACTCCAAGTGTCGCCTCTTGGACATTATTATAAGCGCGCATACGTAAGCCTAAAGACATTCCCGTTGTAGTGCTTTAATTCTGTGAATATATTCCAAATTCGTAAATGAACTATTGGTTGTTTTTAGCACGGCATGCGTGCGTGGCTCGTCAACGGACAGCCGGTGCACAGGAAGTCGCTGCATACCTTCGAGCTTGCAGCGGCACATTACTGCGCTTGCCACGCCGTTTTTCTTATTTATACCGTATACTCGAGACACTATAGCAAGACTGGCCTGCTCTTTTTATAATTGAATCCGTTCTTGCCTCGATTGTAACCAAATACATGTTGCGTGTTGCAGGCGAGGAGCCGATCGATGGCCAGGCGCGTCAAAATGGCGTATACTACCATCAACCCGTTCACAATGTTCATGCTCAACAACAGCATCAGCTGACACAAAACGTAGGGGGCCGGAATGCGAACATCAACCAGCCCCGTATCATTGTGGGCTCACCTATTTCCACGGTTGCGACCGTCCATGGCCGAGAAATACACTCGGACGTTATACAGCTGCAACAGCAGCAGCCTCAGACGGTCCAGCAACAACACCAACAAAGCTCATCCGCACAGTTCAATCCACACCTTGAGAATAACAATTCCAATCACAGTGTGAGTTCCGCCAGCGGACTGGCGCCGGCTCCGGGCACCGAGGTGGACCAGCAGGCCTCGACGTCACAAACGTCCACGGGTAGCGAACATCGGAGAACGCGTAACGGGTAATTTTTCTCATGCAATTCTTTACAAGTTGTCTCGCTTGAAAAAATTTACCGAAAATTTTAAAATTACTATGTTTTGTAATAATTGATGGACCATCTCTAACGATAAACGAAACTTGGGTAGGGTTTATTTTAGGTCCTGACACCGAGCAGAACTTGAATCTAACATAAGTAGAAAATTTGAAAATGAAAAAAAAAGTTTCAAAAATTAAAATCGCACGTTGCAAAACAAATTTTTGAAGGAAGTTGTACGCTTCAGTAGCTTGAATAAATTTCACCATCGATATCGTTAAATTTCATTAATAACTTAAAATTATAATTAAATGCAATGAAATAATTTCTTAACAGTTAGATGTTGAATTTTTGTTATTAGTTCCGTCTCGTCATCGAGATCAGGTACTCGAGAAGTGCATAATAAATTGGAGAAGAATAGGAGAGCCCATTTGAAAGAGTGTTTCGAAACGTTGAAGAAACAGCTTCCACCTTCAGATGACAAAAAGGCATCGAACCTAGCTATACTTCACCAATCGCTCAAACACATACAGGTTAGTTTATTTTATAAAAAAATTAATTATTCATCTGCGCTGGCCACTTGGATTGAAAGCATCGATGCACACTGTACCCCTCGCATCGGTGAACTTGGACTTTTATTCATTTTTTGCGGTTTCATCGGTGACTAAGGCGTATCGAAAATTTTTTTATTTGACATCTAGCGTAATCTACCCTTTGCATTTTCCTTTCTATGCACGTTCGCTTCTCCACACATGCGTTTAATATCGCACACACTATCGTCGACGCTGCACACGCTCACGAGTTCAATGACCCGCATTGAGACGCAATGTAGGATACGAGAAAGGCTCGAGTGCATTTTTAATTTTTTTTTCTCGCTTTCCTCAAATGGACAATAAAAGGGTATCGATTTTCTCGCTCCACTGGTGCACCGGTGCGCGCACAACGTTGTGATTATAAATAAAAAAACGAGCGCGTTTAATGGATTAAAAAAAAGAAGAAAAAAAAAACGAATTTTCGGCTCAACTAATTCGCATGTAAATTCTCGATGATAGAAGAGGCCACGCTCGCGAGACTGCGCGTGCTTTCCGGCCACGGCCTTTCGAGCGCAAAAGTTTGTCGTGCGCGCGCGCGCGCCTCGTACAATGCGTGTGTGAGTGTGTGCACGTTACAATACGTTACATGAATTGCAGCGGCAGCAGACAGAGAAACACGCGGCAGCTCCAAGTATATAATGGCGAGGCTCGAGCTCTCGAGCTCAATTGAAATTCGCTATATGGACTTATTAGATTGAACATTCGAGAGCCTAAGTGCGATACGACGCTGGCGCGCGCAGAGTCGTCGACTGCTGCTCCGTTCCGCAGATAGAATATGCATTGTGCGCTTCGCGTCCGTAATAGCCTCATGCGGCAGCAGCGCTCGAGTGTCAGATGCGTACTCGTACGAGCGCGATATAAATTATCTGCATAATGCTGCCAATTTGAATTATCGAGGAAAACAATGTACTCGTGTCTTGTCTGCCAGTGTCCGTCGAGCGCGCGAGGTTTAGCCCCGAGATGACGATCGGCTCGATCAGCGAATTGCCGCGTGTTGTTGTGGCTCCTGATAAAAATCGCCTCGCTGGCGTGTACTTGCTTCGCTTCTATATTATATGCCTGAATTATTTATGCGCATCGTGGCCGAAAGTCTTACAAAATAATTTATTTTGCATAACAGATAACGACGTTAAAAGCTCACTTTGAAGCGAGCCCTCATCAACGAGACGAGGTGTCTCTCTCTTTTCCTCCTTTGATACGCGATTATTTGCAATGCATCGCACGCGGAGAGATCGAAACATTGAAATCCATCGAAACATCGAAACAATTTTGTTGATATTGACACTTGGAATCCCGCGCTTAATATAAGCCTTATCGCACTCGACTCGTTTTTTTTTTTGTCTCGATCATGCGCTTTCTCTGTCTCTTTTACTCTCCCTCGCTGCTCGTTATCGTTTTATTTTATTGATTATTCACTCGCTTTCGGCTCATTATTTGTTTATTTGCTCTCGCACTATGAACAATATAAACACTCGACAAAAGACGATTGTAAAGGAAATGCTCTCCGGTTCATAGCGAAAATGGCGAATCGAGCCTCGCCGTCGTCTTCGTTGGAGCTGATTTTCCACGTGACCGCACGCTTAATGCCAGAATGTTCAAAAGCTTTAGACGTATGTGTGTGTGAGTGCATCGTGTCGTTGCTCGTCGTCATCGAGAAAGCGCGACGTATGTACCTATAATGTCCATATGCACGTGAGGCACTCACGTACACTCGAATACAATCGATTCGCGCTAACTAAGGCATGATCCGCAACAAGAGCGTCGCTCGCTTTTCATGTCGCCGCGAGCGTGTGTGTAAGTAAGTTTGTGTAGGTGCGAGGCGACGGCATAGATTGGCCGTACGTGATCAACGGTCACGTATACCATTTATACATGCACAATTGCAGGGGGGCAAAAAGAAAAATGCCTCTTACGCGCCGGGCTTGTGTTGCGCAGCGGCCGTACACCGAGTGCGCGTGCATGCATTACACGTATAAGTTCACAACGTCGACGTTTGCTTTCGATCCATCAAAAATGCTGACTTGTTCTTTCTTTTTCTTTTTCTTTTTTTTTCTTCTTTTTTTTTTGTTGTTGTACCAAGAGGTCACAGACGGTGATAAATGTATTCGCGTGTTATGCTCGCTAAAGACGAATAATCAAGAGCTTATCACGAGTGCGTGGCTGTTGACTCGTGCGAAAACATGCTGAAACGAGCGCAGTTCGTTGTGCGAGTATTTTATACACATAATAAATGCACATGTGTGCGCGTGCGTATATGAATCATGCACGTCGCTCGCTCGCCGTCCATACGCACGAGAAGAACTTTTCTAAGCGGGGCCGCGATAAAACGGCAAAAGCTGCTCCGAAAAGAAAAACAACGCAACGCGAGACTTTACCGTATTATTGCATCGTCAAGGCGCGCGCGCGGAGCAATATTTTTTCCTCTCTCTCTCTTCCTTTTTGCACAAATCACTTATTACGAATCGCTCCTTTTTTGTTGTGCGAAACGATCGCGCCCATATGGGTATGTGTACCCGTTGGTTCTACGTAGCGGTACCTACAGCTTTTTCATGATTATTATTATTATTGATCTTGACATCGGCGCAGTCGAGTTGGAGCGCCGGCTGGCAAATGGTTTTCTAATGCGTCGATTTGTGACTCCTTTTAAATGGCACGCGGTACACAGAGCGGCGACAAGCAAGAGAATCTCGTTAGCTATTTTACACGCGAAGATTCAGATCGGCCAAGTCGATAAGCCACATCACGTGCGTGCAAAAGAAAAAGAGTGTGTGTGTGTGTGTGTGTGTGTGTGTGTGCGTAAGAGACAGAACGATGAAACGAGCGGTGTAAATGGCTACAGATAAATAAACCTGATTAAAAAATATGTACACACCAGAGCCGAGACGAAGCTCGATAATAGGCATGTGTCTGTGTGTACACAAAAACACGTCGTTCGTAGCAGACGACGCGAAACGAGTATCGGAGCAACTCGACGCAAAGAGAAGCGACATATAAAGAGGTATATTAGCAGCGTGTCGGCCGAGCCGAGGAGTGGGACGAATTGCGAAAGTCACAATGTATGTATCAAGACTCGTGTACGCAGCGATGATGAACGTGTACGGGGAGCAAACACGCAGCTCGGTGCGCGAGCTAACGCACGTGCTTATATGGCCAGTGTGTGTGTGTGTGCGCGCCAAGTCGCGCTTGCGCTCTTTAACCGACCTTTCTTCGAATTTCCCCGCCGTCGTCGTCGGCGTCTCCCACTCATTGGACACGCCTCGTCGATCCATAAGCACGCAGGGTTGCCAGATGTGGCGATTAATCGCCAAATGTGCGATTTTTTAATGACTATGGCGATTTTTTTTTCAAGTTGGCGACTGGCGATTTTTTGGCGATTTGAAATTTTAAAGGCAATATTTATTGTTTCATATTTTTTTTATATGTTTGACAGTATATCAGTTGATATGTGACTGTACTCATGCGCATTCAATAATATAACCGAAAACATAATAGTAAAAATAATTATTACTATGATTCATATTCATAAATTTTAAATTCGCGCCAGCTGACGAAATGCTTCCTATAGAAGTATTTTCTACAGTTAGCGCCAGCGTTCGAACTGTAACGTTTCAACAGAATGAACACGCCGCCACCGTCACCTATACTGTACGTGGGAGAGAGAGAGAAAGAAACACAACAAACATTTGACTCGCGCGGACCTGCGTCACACAAGCAACAGTCTTTATAGATATCCCTCGACGGAATTCCCATAAGTTTTCTCTGTGTATTGAAGTGATTTTTATATTTCGGTTTTTATAATATAATATAATTATCAACATGAGTAAGAGTAATAAGAATAAAGGTGGTGTATCTAAAGTGCGAGTGTTCAAGTATAAGTCGGAATGGGAAAGCCATAGCTGGGCTAGAGGTAATTGTTTCTATTAATCTTTACATAAGTGTATCGTATTCTTTATTTGAAATATTTGCTATGATACACGTTAAATCGCACGCTGAAGAGATTTTTTACATATATTCGTAAACGTTGTTTTTCAATAGGATGGCTCGCAAAAGCAGAAGTGATAAATCCAATAACTGGAAATCAGGCCTACTGCACTGTTTGCCATAAAGATTTGAGAGCGCATTGTACCGATTTGAAACATCATGGCGAAAAACAAACGCATGTGAGATTGATGGATAATATAAATCCGAAGAAGCAGAAAACAATCACCTCCATGGGGCAAGTCACTTCAGATAATGACAAAATTCGGGACTTGAAGATCGCTGCATTTATCGCTTGTCATACATCCGTGTGTGCAATGGATCATTTGTGTGAAGTATTGAAGAGTACGGTTCCTAGTCTAAAAGATTTTCAAATGCATCGAACAAAATGTTCCTCTCTTATTAATAATGTCTTATCCCCGAATTTTCTATGTGAATTAATTGATGACATTGGCTCAATGCCTTTTTCATTAATAGTCGATGAGTCAACAGACGTAAGTGTCGAAAAGTATATGGGTGTATGCGTTAAATATTTCAGTGAAAGTAAAAATAAAATGACTACTAATTATGTTGGACTCATACAACTAGAGCGCGCCGATTCTATGTCACTATACACTGCACTAATTGAATATTGCGATACGATTAAATTAAATTTAAACAATTTACTTGGTGTCGGTACAGATGGTGGTGCGAACATGTGTGCTAGAAAGAACTCATTATTTGCCTTGTTAAAAAAAAAGTATCCATCGATTCAATTAGTGCGGTGTATATGTCACGCTTTAAACAATGCCTCTTCGGCTGCAAGTATAAAGTTTCCTGCTACTGTAGAATTTCTATGCAAAGAAGTATATAATTGGTTTAGTAATAGCAGTAATCGAAGACATGCTTATAAAATGACATGGGAAACCTTGAATGCAGGTTGTGAAAAAAATGATTCAGATAAAAAATTTCTCAATTTTGTCAAGTTAGCAGCTACACGTTGGCTGTCCCGTTACAACGTCGTAAATGTTATATTAAAAAATTATAATGAGTTAAAAAGTCATTTTATCGAGGTGGATCGAGATGAGGACAAATGCCATACCTTAAGGGAAATAGTGAGAATTTTGAAAGATCCTAGTACACATTTAATGTTAATTCTAGTCATCCCACTGCTTCGGGAAATTAATGACTTGAACATTTTTTTCCAAAAAGATAATGTAGATCTCGGTTTGGTTTATGAAGATTTAATAAATTTTATATTTTTCATAGCTCGAAAAATCATGAGACCAGCTTTCGTGTCTAGTAATGATATTAATATAATTATTAATAATATGGATAATAAATTGGCATTTATAAGTGTGAATGAATTGAACTTGGGTGCTGAATGTGATTCGTACATTACTTCAAATAATATAAACCGTGATATTTGCTACTTGGTTAGAGATAGGTCATTCGAATACATCAAGTCATTGTGTGTAGAACTCTGTAATAGATTACCGTCTAATCTCAATTTTTATAAAAATTTAAGAATTTTGTCTCCAGAAGTATGCTTGAGTGAAAATCGTCCAGCTTTTGACAATTTACCGTTCAAAAAAGAGTTTATGGATAATGATAAAATTGGAATGATTGAAAGCCAGTATTTAAAATTACTAGTCGTAAATATACCTTCTAAATTAAATGAAGAAGAGATGAGAGATAGTTATAAATTTTGGTGTGCGTTGTATAGATTAAAAAATGCTGGAGGAAAATTCATTTTTCAAGAAATAGCACTATACATGCTAAAATTACTTAGTTTGCCGTCGAGCAATGCAGTGGTTGAAAGGATATTTTCTGTGATGAACGCAGTGAAAACTAAGGCCAGAAACCGAATGCAATTGGTTGCGCTAGACTCTATTTTAAGAGTTAGGATACATTTTTCGTCAAGCCATCAATGCTGCCACAAATTTACTCCATCCAAAAAAATGATCAAAGATTTTAATTCAAAAATAATGTATGAAAAAAATGATCCGGACGAATTATTTGAGTATCAAAAAATTATAACTGATCAATTGACAGATTTCGAGAATGATTGTTTTTAAGTATTTCATTTGTACCGTTTTAATGTATTTTTGTTTAACAATATCATTGATTATTGAATAAACATCTAACACTTGATGATTTGGTTTTGTTTTTTTCTAACTAAATTCTAAGTATTTGAGAAATCGAATGTTAAAAATTATATTAAGATATATTTTAAAAGTTCCGCGGGGTTGGCGATTTATGGCGATTCTCAACCAGCAGATGGCGACGCGCAAAAGTCTTGTGCTGGTAACCCTGTAAGCACGTGCGCAACGACGAGCGGCTGCTCGATCCCCTCCTTCTTCTTCTTCTTCTCTCTCTGCACTGTATATCTCGAGTCCCGACTTCGGTTCCCATACTGCTTTTTGCCAACGCGCCGCGCACCTACATACATCCGAGCACGCGAGCCGCAGCTGCGCCTCTCGTGTAAAAAGGTGCACCTCAAGGGCCAGCTATAATATTGGCTGCAACTTTACCGGCAACGTCGAGCTCTCGTTTTTTATTTCATAGAAAAACGAATAATCGACCATTTGAAACATTGCAGGGGGCTTATGAGGCTTAGACAAATAAGCTTCTATCGAGGGCTTTCAAGGAAATGTCCAGGATTTTAAGTAAATTCAAGTTATTGTTGTTTCTGGATTCTCATAACCTCTAAAATAAGCCACCCCAACAATTTTTCCAAACTTCTTAAACTTTTTCAAATGTTCAATTATTAGCTTTTCAAAGAAAAAGATGGAGAACTAGACGAATTGGTCGAATAGTCTACAGTAGGCAAATTGCAGTCACTATGCTTGGCGTACGAATATGACCGTTATGGCTCGCGTACATTCACGAGCGAGGGATGAACGATGGATTCATTATCGTCTTTAATCGAGTACATTTGCATGTGACGCGAGACGCGTTCGAGAAAGCTCCTATGACGATCGAACGTCTCTGTATCGCGAGTCGCGAGCACGTGTCCGCGCTCTTCCGTCAACTTGCGTGTTCATCTCGAAAACGGAGCTCGGTAATCCCGAGCGCTTATACTCGGATTATTCTACCTTTTTTTGCCGTTCTTTTTTGCTACTCGCTCGCGCAGTGGACGAGCAAATACAGTCATTCGGTCTCTCGTGTACAACGAAACGATCGCGTTTATTATACATATCCGCGCGCAGCTCGGATAATAGCCGAGCCGAGCTATAGACATCGAGCGTGACGCGCGCGCGACTCCTGCGCGTTATATGTACGGGTGAAGGGCAAATCCGGGCGAAGAAAAAAAACATTTTAATTGCGCCTCGCTCGAGCTGTTGCTGCGCCCGCGTATGTGTGTGTGTGTGTAAATTAGACGCGACGCGCGGCTTTGGCGAGCAACAACAACAACTAGCAGCAGCAGCAGAGGTGCAGAAGTGAACTTTTGTCGACACTGAGCTCTGCACGCGAAACAGTAAGTGCAGCAGAATCGACCAGGCGGAAAAGACGACGAGCCGCAAATAATTACTTGGCCGATGTACCGCTATACTTTCGCTGTACATGCGCCGCCGCCGCCGCCGCCGCTGCTCTATAGAGTCTGCGCTCGCATTCGCCTAATACACGTCTCCGTGTCTCGTTGTAATTTTTTTTCTTCACTTTGCGTACTCACACATACGTGCACATTATACATAGACACACACCTGTATTGTTCGCTCGCAGTTACTCTGCGCCGTGTGTACGTACGCGAGCGTCTGCGGAATCGTGCGGTGAAATTTTTTGTTCGCTCGCGTCCGCTTAGATCGTGACGCTCTTTCTCTCTCTCTCTCTCTCTTTATGTAGTATAATGCGCTGTGTACTATGCGACGGCAGAGTCGCGCGAGCGCGACGCATTGTGCTCCGCACGCAGAGAGCTTCGTCATCTTTCGTCGCTCTCGTCGTCGCGAGCTTTGCACAGCTCTATAATATATGGAGCAGACATTTCCTCCTTGGCTACTTCCTTTCCTTCGAAGCTCGCAGAATAGTGGCCACAGTTGGATATATACACACACACCTATGATTAAGACGAGCAAACACAGCTACGGGCTCGACGTCGAATTTCGGAGCGCTCGGTCTATGCGAGAGAAAAGAGTGTACGAAATACGAATCGCTTCGAAAAGCCCGTTTTGGTGCGCTGCTGCTTTTCAGCTCGCATCGGCGTACGTGTACACGTGTGCAAAAAAAAGAGGTCGTCGAAGAAATGTACGCCACACGGCTATACAGCAAAGAACAAGAAAGAGAGAGAGAGAGAGACAGAGATAGAAAATAAATATACGTACGCGAGAACGGTATTACGCTTCGAGGTATTTCTTGGCGCGATTCCCAAACGAGCCTCGCCGCGTCCGCATATACCTACACACATGGCACAATATGCACACGCTCTGCTGTATGAGTCAAACGCGATAAGTAACGACAAACGCGACACGTGCGATGCTCTCTCTCTCTCTTTCTTTGCGGATGGACCAGTGGAAGTATATATTATGCACGCGTGCACAGTCGCGTTACGCGCAGTCTAAATACTCTAAATTACGACTCGACTAAACGATAACGGCCGAGAAACAAGGCGAATCGCTTCCCGATCAATCGTTTCGTCGAACGATTCGCTTGGCCAGCTCGATATACCCCCGGTCCGCCGATAAATCGATACGCATATCCTCTGTAACGAGCTATGCGAATAGCCATTATAATGACTTATGTAATGACGCAAACGCGCGCGAGCCTTTAATGCAGCCCTTGAAATCTGCGCGTTATCGTACACAAACATAGGCGTCCAGCAGTGCAGTAGCAACAGCCGGTCGCGCGCTAATAAGCTAAAGCAAACAAAGTCGCGCGTCCGCATCCGAGCATTATTATACATCGCATTATATGCGTCCGACGCTCCGCCGCTAGCAGGAACGAATTTTATCCTTGCCGGTGTCAAGTGCGCATCATCGGCGGGTGTGCATATCGTTAAACGCGCCGCTGCCTTACACACGCTAGCGTGCGTTATATAGGTGCATTATAATGCCCAGTCGATGGAATAGGCAAAAGAGAGATCGCAACAACGAAACGAGCTCCCTCGCGCCCGTCTGTACCGCTGCTTTTCATGTTCTGATAACGTTACAAAACAACGACACGTGGCAGCAGATTAAATGCCACTGACGCTGTGTTGCTGCTGCTTTGCTTTGCTTTGCACTGCACCACGCGTTCTGGATATCATTACATTATAGGAAAAATATGTTTCAATTCAATTCAACTAGAAACGAAATGAAAATTTACCTCTCGCCTTGCCACTAAACAATTATTGTCGTTCAATTATCTTACTCTGTAATTATATCATGAATCCAGTGCTCGTCACCTCTTACCGCATTTATATATGTGCTCTTTTTATCATTGTTTATTGTTGAAAAAAAAATCATTTTGGAGCTAGTAACGCCTTTTGAAGGAATACATCCTGAACTTGTTTGTCCATTTGCTATGCTTCAAGTATCTCAAGGTTAGACCCATTATTTCGCGACTGGGTATCTCTCTTGAACGAGAGAGTGAGAATATTAAGGAAGTCCTGGAACGATAAAAAAACTGGTTCTCGATCTCTTCTTTTTTTTCAATAAAACAACAAGCCAAAAATCTGACGCTCTGTACGACACGTGCGTTACGCTGCGCACCCAAAATCAAAACACGACTCATTCGTATCCTATATTTACGTGAAATCCAAGCGCGAGCTACGGAATTATTCATTGGAACGTATGCAGTATACTTTTCGGCTTTCCTCGTCGAGGTTTCGGATTATTTTTGTAAACTTCACGATGCCGTTGGTTTATTATTTTGACAAAAAAAGCGGAGCCCACGAAACAATAATGATAATCAATCTTTGGCCATTTTTACAGTCTCTAAAGAAAAAGGAACGTGAACACGAACACGAAATGGAACGTTTGGCCAGAGACAAAATAACCGGGCAGCAAAGGCTAGCAGTGTTGAAAAGAGAACTGAGCTTGAGACATGAAAATATCGATTTCAACGCCATTCTGCCTACGGAGCCCGATGAAGAATTTCAAAGGGCTGCAGCAGCAGCAGCTGGTAAATTATTACGTCCTAGAAAGTAAAGGCCCTAAATTAACGCAAGAAACTTAATAGTGAATTTTTCGTTGTCTGTTTCGCCATTAGCCAACCCCCAAAATCAAGAGGCCGAAGGTGGCAATAGTAATAGTGGATTAGCTCGCGCAGGCACGCGTTACAGTAGCACCAGCAGCCTTAGCAGTGCAGCGACGGACAACTCGCATTCGGCTCAGCAACAACAACAGCAGCAGCAACAACAGCCCAGCAACGATAATGCCAACGGCAGCAGCAGTCAAATGGCTGCAACGGCCGTCGTATTCAGCCAAACGCAGAACGTCAATCTGGGCCAGGGCATACGCGAGAGCCCACCGACCATCAGCAGCCCAAACGCTACCACGGCCACTCAGCCAACTCCTGCTCAGGTTTGTATTTGTCTTGAGTGATCATACTAGTAGCTCGTGGATCAGTCGAGCAAAGCCTCGTGCTCTTTTTCGAACGAGATCATTGGGGATCAGGGTTCGATCCTTGCCGAGTGCGAAAATTCTAAAACTCCTTTTTCGATTTCACGCATCATATACCAAGGTCAATGCGCACTTAAAAGTGGCGTTATTGTAACAAGTTGATGCGAGAGCAAATTTTCGTATGCAGAGTAGCCCAGGCGTAATATTACTTGAGTCACTTTGAATACGAAATACAAACTGAGTCAACGATTAATTTCGTTTTGTTTTTCACTAAAAAATTCTTGCTCACGATTATATTTTTCGCTTTTTGCAGGAAAAAGTAACAATCGCCACGTCGGTCGTGCAAGCCCAAACCGTTGCAGCATCGCAGATCACGAGCGCAACTCCGACGCAGTTGCATCTACCGATAAGCGCGCAAATGATCAACGCCTCGTCCAGTTTGGCGTTTGTGCCGGCGCTGCAACAAATTGGCTCGAGCTTCAAAGTCATCCCAAGTGATGGACGTCAGCTCATAGCTGTGCAATCCAATGGACCAAACTCCGGAGTCTCCGGTACAACGGGAGAACCAAGATCTGTGGCACTGGTCGTACATTCGACTACGGCCAACAATGATAATAGAGTAACTCTGGTTCACTCCACGAGTAACGATGTAAGACCAGTTACTTTTGTGTCCGGCAGTATGCTTACTGCCGCTCATGCACCCATCAGCGTTACGAGTGAGTTTTACAAAAAAATTCGTCAATCATCTTTATTTAACAACTGATGAAATATTTCATTCTTGACTGCAAAATTTTTCACGTGCTTTTGCAGATGCCCAAACGAAATTAAGACCGGCAGACGGGGCGCAAACGCATAAAGTGGTGTGCGCAGATTTAAGCCTCGTGCAGAATGGTCTCTTCCGTTCAGTCAAAACCCAGCCTCTCACTGTTCAAGGAGGTAATCTCAGAATCAAACTAGTAAGATCATGAATCTAGTTTCATTGTTGCCAACAGATTGTTCATTTTTACAGGTATAACGTTGAGTCACGCTGTTAGCAAAACATCAAATGCATTGTCGCAAGCAAGTGCAACAGTAGCAACAGCACAATCAAATCTATCCCAGAATTCACAACCGATTCCTGGAATTACGCCTCTCGTAGCAGCACCCATGACAGTTGTATCTCAAGGCGGTGGTCCAGGTCAGCAGGTAATTGCTCTTGCTTCAACTTCCTTGCCCGGAAAAGTAATCAGTGCACCGCTACATACGTTAAAACCTATAAACCAGAATCAATTCAATAACTACGGCTATAAGCCAGTGGTGGTTTTAAATCAACAGCAGCCACAAAATAATACCAATGGTACGGTAACGAGCAAGTCCGGCCCTACTACATCGACGAGTTCCCAACACAAACCTGTTTGACAGAGCGAAGTGATTAGAACCATTGCTAAAGGTTGACTTTGAATAACGAAGTCTTTTATCCATATATGATTCAATTATGAGTCTCACTACCTTTGTTAATATTTATCGAAGAATCTTGATCTAAATAACCGACGCAACTTGACTCGACAGCTGCATGTTCCTTGGCTGCCAATGTGAACAGTACACAGCTGTTGAAAACTATGGGCTAGAACTATTTGCCCATTACACAGTATTTCTATAGCTTTGTAAAAGCAGTGGCAGTTGTCTTGCGAATGCAGCCACAAAACAATACGAATGGTACGACTACGAGCAAGTTCGGCACTACTACATCTTTGAGTGCCCAACAGAAAAATTTTTGACAGAGCGAAGTGATGAGACCTACTTCTAAAAGCTGACTTTTTAACGACCAAAAGTGTTTTATCGATTGTATGATTCAATTGTATGAGTCTCACTATCTTTGTTAATATTCATAAAAAAGACTTGATCTTAATAACCGACGTAACTTAGCTGGACAACTACAAGTTAACATTTCGTATTTTGCTGTAGAAGTGCAGTGAAAGAATTCTTGTGGCTCAAAAATATATACATATCTTTTTTATTTATGATGAATGATGGACGGCTTACATTAATGTTACAGATGCTTTTTTAAGTAGTTGCTTCGAGAGCATTTGTATTAAGTTCATTATTCTCGTTTTCTAATATCAATAAATCAGTACGTGACTCGCACTAATAAACTTGAGCAGCCAAAACTTAACTTAGTCCTATCTTTTTTTAGGACTTGCTGTAGTCTTAAAAAAGGTAGAACAAAGTTACGTTTTGGCTGCTCAAGTTTATTAGTGCGGGTTTCGTCCTGACGCGGCAATTTATCAACCAATATATTTAGAACTGGATGTGAAAAAATTGAACTAAAATTCAGTAATGTAACTCACGTAAAATCTTATTCTAATCCACGTTGGTCGCTTTAATGAATGCCAGTTTTAAATTATAACCGAAGACCGATACGAGCGTGATATAAAATAATGTATGATAAATTGTCGTTGTGGGTGTATACTGGTTAGAGAGTAAATTTCATTCGCAACAACAATGAACACAGCATTTTAGTAATCCTTAAGATTTTATGTGGATACAGCATCCGCTGCCTTTAGTGGCCCACTTCTGTAGTAGTGTACTTTTGGCAATCTAAAGTACGTAACAATTGTGCAGCTTATATTTAGTGCAATAGTATTCATTGCATTATTTCTTGTACCATACATTTTTCGAAAGTAGAGTTATTGAATGTGATATAAGGACCTAAAGCCAGATAAATTAAAGCTTTTAACAAAATTTGCTAATTTAAATAAGTCTTATTTTTAATTGTAAAAAAACATGAATTTCGTTTTAGAAAGAAAAAATGAACCAAGTATAAATAAATTAGTTCTTGATTAGGTGTAACATGTGGTAACTTATCTTTTTATCTAGACGATTTTATTTTCTTAATCGGCTATAAGTGACACTTTCTAACCAGAATACGTCTTGTCATTAAATCAATTGAAAAACATCGTTTATACTATTGTTCTTTGAGTATATCAAAGGCAAAATTAAAAATTATTTCAACCACCATATTCATGCTGAATATTATCAATGGTGTTCTGACCCGACTCATTACATTGAGGCTTTTACACTTTTTCCATATGTAAAATATAAAAATGAAAATACGCATGGTTATGATATTTATATTACAAAGCTTATTAAATGACATTACCACAAAATGGAATTTAGAAATTGTTTTTCTTATATCTACTAGAATAAATGTTCATGTATTTAGGTACATTTTCATGCAAAAATATCAACATAAATATCACGAGATTCTTTTAAAAACATTCACAAATAAATCAAGATGTCTAATTGCGTTAAGCTCATAATTTGTAACATAAGAATTGTTTCTAAGGTAAGCGATTTGCGTGTGAATCACATGTACGTCTTTATCTCCTTTAATATTAATTTTACGTCTTCGTAATATGTACATTGTAGTCTTAACACTGGTATTTGTTTTTAAAAGTGTACATAAAGTTATAAAAGAATACATTCACAATATTATTATATAAGCTCGTCGAAAGAATTAATATGGAGTTGCAAATCCACCATAAATGCAATTCTTTGCGAATAATTTGGTTTGCTTAAAATATGAGATTTGTTTCATATTTTTTGAAAACCAGGACTTGTTGAGTTCTAATTTATTAAATTATCGCATAAGACCAGTTGAATTGAAGAAAGCTGTTATTATAATTCTAATCTAAATCGGCTGAGAATAATGAATGTTTTTGCAAAAATCTAATTCAATCCATCAAATTTATCTCATTCAATGTGTCGAGTCGTTGTTCGACTGAAATCATAGTGCGTAGATCATATATCAGAATTAATAAACTTATAAAGATGCTTATTCAGCATGAAAAGAGCAAAAAAGTGTCAGTCGGAAAAAATGATCCATTCGAGGAGTAAGAATTTGGGGACTGATAGATTAGAATGAATGATTGTATTTATGAAAGAATGCTTGTATTTTAAGTCTAAAAATCATGATTTTGGTTAAAAGAAGTAAGAATGCAAGTCAATACTTAATATATAATGCGCTTTAAAGTTCCATAAATTGAGTGTGTCAATGTGTTTTTAGTAATGTGTGAGTACAGATAGTGCATAAATTAAGACCCACAATATTAACGCTTTTGATATTCGAATGTTAAGGAGTAATTGGCTTCCCAACTTTAGTAAAAATAATTTATGGTCTTTAAGGCAGAGGCGAGTTCAAGTCTATTGAAGATGTACGGGAAGTACATTCAATTACATTTGTCTGTTGTCTGTAATATGAAAAAAACGAATGTAAAAGCACGAAGTTCTGCGTAATTAATATTTTAATATCTACTCTAAAAATATCAACATATTGAGATGCCTTATATGATTCAATTCTACAACTAGAGGCAGTTTTTATGACATTAGACTTGCATTTTTATTTGTTTCAGAAACTCCAATAAGTTAACGTTTGAAAGTTAAGTTAGAAGGCAATGCTCCGCATATTTTTGTGTATCTACAGCGTTAGTGTTGTGGGCTTTTTGGTAAAGATTTATATTATTATATAAATACTTTTGTAAATAGGAATGAGTATATGTTATTGATATAAATATATATATAATACAAATATAAATAAATATATGTATGACATTGTAATTTGGAGAGATGATAATAATCGCAATGCGAAGAATGAACATGAGTGTACATGAGAACAATGTGATATATGACCTAGTAGTATGTAACCTCAAGATTTGTCATCTTAGCGCATAAGTACAAGATATTAGAAGGGAAAACAAAAAATATGAAAGGTACAACAACTCTGTTTCCAGTGTAAAAGAACCCAACACACATGATTAATTTATGATTGGTAAATAAAAATCTTACCACTTCAAAGAAATGCGATTACCTATTTGTAAATAGTATACAAAAAAGAAGTAACTAAGATCATGAGTACAGATTATATTATAAATAAATATTATATTATATATAAAGAAAATAAAAAAATGTGAATAAATTTTATGATGGAGGAACAAAATTAACTTCAACCATCGATTTTTAACACGTCAGCGTAGTGCGTATTCCCTCATTACGATGAAAACTTTGTAAAACGCACTTATTGAGTGAATGTTTTAATGGAATAAATGTTATTGCGCGTCTATAAACTTTTGAGTTGTTTTTTCCCACTTCTTCATATCCTTTATCTTAAAAATACTTCATAGAAATTACAAGGTTGATAAATAATGAATAAAAAACATTTGATATTTTTGGTTATTCAAGACTCCATTTATTAAAAATATGCACTCGTCCAGAATAGTGTTTTTTTTTCATGACTTTCAATATTGAATAATGACACAGGTATCGACTTTTGTATTTATAATTCAGGAAACTTATCTACACATTTTCGTTTCATTCTTTTCTGATTGGTTCGATTCAATTCATTGACATGATGAATTATTATGTATCATGGAAATTATTTAGTACTCTTTTGAGGTTTCTTATGTAAATTTGCTAATGCACTGCAAGCACGTTTTGGTCAGGCTTTTTTCCATACTATTTTTCCAAAAGAAATCACTTATACGCTATTCATGATGCAGCAATAATTTGAAAAACGTACATTTATAATTTTTCAACAATTTTATCATTTTATCATTTGTTTTGAGGATTTCGTATTATTTACAACCGCACTCGGAAAATGAAAGTAAAAATGTAAATCTATAAAAAAGTTGAAGAAATAATTGAATAATCAACTGGAATGATATTCTAACCGCATCACGTATTGGCACAACTAAGATTAAAAATTATAATCTTTTTCAGAGTATTAATACACAGGAACAAACGAAATTTTATGTAATATATGATAAACATTTTGAACATAGTTTGGTATTATTTTGAAATAACTTAAATTAATTTGTGATGTTCTATATGTTAACTGTCACGCAAACAAAGGTATAATGGAGTCATACATCTTATTTACAAAATCTATTGGAAATATCGAAATAATTTAAGTTTAAATCGACCGCCCCTACGAAGAGTATTACCGTTCCAGTGATGCGCGATCAAAAAAATCTCTCTGAAGACTTGCGACGAAAAAAACTCTCTTTCGAAGATGAGGTCAAGAAAATCTCTCCAAAAGAAAATGCGGTTCTTGACTGCAGTTTTTTTAAGAGATTTTCTTGATCGCAGATTTTTTAGAGAGATTTTCTTGACCGCTCTTTTGAACGAGAGTTTTTTTTCGACGCCGATTTCTAGGAGAGATTTTTTGACCGTATTCGCATGAGTAATTGTCTTCGTAGGGACGGTTGAAGTACAGTTGAATTTTTTAAGATAATAATGCATAATTTTCTAAAAATTTAGAATTTTATTCTTTCGTGCAGGTATTTTATCAGTCAAGAAGTAGTATAGATTCATTGAAAAAATTCAAGATTTGTTAAATACAAAACTGCCTGCTCAGTTCTATAATATTGCGTATGTAATTTATTTATAGTTATACAGCATGAAGTATAAAATGGACGCGTTTTTGCAAATTACGAAACTTGGAGACAATTTAAAAATATTTTATCAGCCTTTAAGCATTAGGCTCGATGAGCGAGAAATCGAGAGAAAAGAGTTTTTTTATTATTTATTTATTAGCTAATCCCATCATATACCTGTATCACTTTTATAATTCAGTAAAAATTTTGCTTCTTTGTTTTAAGCACTCGTCATACAATAATACTTATAAATGGAAAACAAATTCAATGACAATAATACATGTAGTTTATCATAGATATAACTAACAAAAGCGATTCAATTATTTTTTATTTTCTTGTCTTTGTTGTTATTTTGCTTGAGGTATCAGTTACATTATGATTATAAATGAATTCACGGGGATATTCATTTCCACATGTATATCAACACCAATCCCCTCGATATCTAATACGTGCCATTGTGAATTTCTAGGGTTTCATCTGCTGTTGTTACTACCACCAGTAATGATCTTAACGAACTACCAAGGGGATGTGGTCATAAGAAGGTCTTTGAACATACATGTACAGCTATTCTTATTATTATTGTTGTTATTATATTTTTATGTATATGAGAAATCTGTCACAGTGTAAAAATAAAACACAACTCTTCTAATAATGCTCTCTTTTGCTACAGTATTTACCAAGAATATAATTGAGTATAATATTTTCTAATGTTAAGTAATAATGTATATTATTGTAAAAAGTAAATAAAATACATCATTTCTGGATGAGTTTACAGGCAAAAATTCAAAGAAAAACACCACCGTCTCCGCTTTTGTCATTCACTTTTTCTAATTCGCTTGTCATTTGTAAAATGCACATTCATTGGGAATCAATAATCAAATCAGTTTTCATAATTAATTTTTACTTGGCAAAGGCAATAATCAATCGACGGCACTCATCGCTGCATACTCGCTTAATTAAGCGCGTATACAAATTATTCATTTAATTCATCATACAATCATTTGCAATACAAAATAATGCATTATCATTATTTTTCAATGTACAATAACATCCAACGCATCATTTTTTAGTTATTCTGTTCTCTTTGAGGTTCAACCCTTCAACTGCTCGCTACTTATATAAACGTTTTGGACAAGAAGAAAATATTAACTTTCTCTTTAGCTTTATACATTTCTATCGTAGCAAGAATATTACATTATATTTATAAATATTTTTTGTCTTTAATATTTAATCTAATAATTTTGTATTCTTTTTAATATATTGCGTGAATTGAACGTCATCTATTTTACCCAAAGAACATCATTGCGAATGATTTGTTATTTTGTTCGTGAAAGTGCAAAAAGGTTTTAGTTTTTAAATGTTTCAACAGCAATCAAAAATTTATTAAATCCATTATTCTAGATAGATATTTACATTTTAATTACTATATATCATCAGGAAAGATGTTTTCACAACGAATTTGTATCCTTTTCCGACTCTGCGAGACTGCCACATTATGTCTAATAATTTTTATTTATACCTACATTGTTATAATATTCTATTTTATTAATCATCGAGTACTTTGAATACATTAAATTCTCATGGCATTTTCTACATTTGAACTGAATTAGTTATTATATCGGCATGCTTATTTTAAATCGTCGACTCAAAGTTAGAAATTCACAAATTAAAGTTTGTGGCAGTGGCTTCTTATTACAGAAAATATTTAATAAAAAGTTTAGTGTACTCGATGTAAAAATTCCAAAATAAACAGTAAAAATCGATACTTTTGAGCTTAATTGTAATTTGTACTGCTTATATGAAATAACATAACTCTTATACGAGGCGACGATATAAAGTATATGATGCTCAAGCTCGTTACGTACATGTTTCTGATGTACAAATTTGCGCGATGCAAAAATCCGATTATCAAGTTCAAAGGTGAATAGAAATTTGCACTATACATATGAAAAACAATAATCATAATTAACAAAGTATTTATGTTTAATTATAATATATAATGTGGCTAAGAGGTAACAGGTGCGAAAGATTATCTTTCGTTCTTTTTTTCAGTGATGATAAAGAAGAAGGCAGATGGGGCACATGTGTTTTTGAATACGTTTATGAGTGTCTAGCTAATTTCAATTATTTATTTATTAACAAAGCTCTGAGAATCGAATTCCTAAAATATTTAATAGGAAAAAAAACAGATACATTAAATTTTGTCATATGTAGATAAAAGATACAAAGTATTATAAAAAATGTCGATTCTCATTGTTTTGTTGTCTTGCATTTTCATACTGGTTCAACGACATCTAGAGCCAACGTGTTACATGTATTTTTGTACAATCTTCAATAGGGTGGGGCTCACAAGGGTGCACTGGCAGAACCATGAGGTGTCATTCAATCGAGGTGGGAGATCAACACGTAGTAACACTCGACGAACGAGGCTTCGTTCGAAATAAAAAATAATTTTTACTTCTCTCGATCGTTAAGTGTAATAAAAAATATAAAATTTGTCTCTCTTTGCGTTGTTGCGGTGGTTGTTGGCTCTTTGGGCCGTCGTTGCAGTCGTCATTTTTTACGTCGTCCACTCTGCGCCCGTGTTAATGAGAAAGTGTGTGTCCTCTTTACTCGCCGCGGCTCACTCGCTGATAATTAGGCTTTTACTTGGCGCCCGGAATCTTGCCAAGTACCTACAAACATCATCGACACGTATTTTAATTTTTTTCATCAAAATTGGTAATTTAAGTTACTCGTTTATTTTTAAAAGCAACTGTTAGTCAATGAAAGTGTTAATGATTTTTAGTTTATGATAAGTAACAAGAGCTTATAAAATTCAATGATTTAAGACAATTGTACACTTGTTTTTTCCAGAAAATGGCACGATTTAAATCTAATCGAATTATAACAATGATACTTAAATACTTCAAGTGTCTTCAAGTAATACTTATTGAGATAATTTACGCAAAAAAAATAAAAACTAGTGAAATCGTGAAAATTCCATGAATTTATGTGCGTTATGTACGAAAACGTCAATTTGTCAAATTTTAAAAGCATACATATAATTAAGTGGGTTAGTTCTGCTAGTGCGAAGCGTCTATACATAAAATAACATACATTAAGGAAAATTATTGTGCATTAGTTAGAAGTAAAGCACACAAAGTGTATAATACAACATTCAAAAGAGCTATGTACAGCTGGATTTTAGTAATAATAATAATAATAATAATAATATAAATATAATATAAATATAATAATAGTAATAATTATTGACTACGGTGGACACGAGTTTTATCGTTTTCAATTTGTGGAAGGAATATCGAAAGTCCAAAATTTTTATTTATTTCGTCAATACGATGCATTAACAATGATGTTAAGTGGAGAATGCAAAAATAGTGAGAAATTTAGTTAGTACGATCGAGTAGTTACATGGTGATTTAAATCTACTAAATATCACTAACTAAATATCAAAAAACATAAAAACTTTTAATTAGTAATGTCACTGATAAACAACTACTCGACTCGATGACTTTCGATCGCAAATTGATAACCGTCAGTCGTGAAAAAGAATAATCGAAATCTCATTTTTGAAAAGCATGTTCACTTATGGTGGTATCATGCGATAAAAATGAAAAACACTTCGACTGTAAGGCATGAAAAGTCCCTTCTTTTCTACATCTCTTCAAAAATCTCAAACAAAGACAGAGCAAAGAAGAGAGAATTAGTATAGATTCGTTCGATATTCCGTAATAAGCGTGTCAGTTGTTAGTTAATGTGCGATGTACAGTCGTTCAATCGAAACAACAGTGATGGCCGCGGCGTATAATCTATTTCTTAACGGGCTCTTTTTCAATGCTCGTTTTTTTCTTTCCAAGCAGTCTTACTTTGGACAAATCGACTCCGGTGAGAGCTTGAACGGCTGGCGGTACTTGGCCAACTAGGCGAGTGATCTCTCCACTCGTCATGTCGTTACCGCCCAATAGCACGATTTCTTCCGTTCGGGCAAGTGGTGCTGCTACCTCGGCGGCGATCTTAAAAAGAGAGAGAAATGACATATATCATAAAAAGTTGCCAAAAACTCGGAAAACCAATGGTAAACTTTAGTCTTTTATCCTTACCTTGGGCATGGCGTTGAGCACGAGATTGAGCACGGCGGCCTCGCCGTACTTCTTGAAGACAGCCGCCTTCATTTGCATGCGGTTGGCATCGGCGACACCGACTGCTTGCAGAGCCTGAGCCTCGGCTTCTCCGATCAGACGGATACGATCCGCGTCGGCCTTGGCGGCTTCGACGGTTTGGGCCCTGAAAAAAGCGTCAAATTTTCGGTTAGTTTTTCGCAAATACAAATCCGAGCGGCAATAGGATTTTGCTCATTATACGCACCTCTTTCCTTCGGCCACTTGGCCCATCTTGTAACTCTCAGCCTCGGCTGGTAAGCGCACGGTACTCTGGAGCTCGTGCTCCTTTCTGCGCACCTCCTGCTCCTCGACTTCGATCTGCTTGCGTCGCTCGACCACCTCGATCTGGATCTCCTCGTTACGGATTCGCTGGCGGATTTTGGCCGCCTGCAGCTCGTACGCCAGCTGAGCTTCGGCTTTCTGTTGCGCGACACGCAAAATTTCATTGTAATTACCAAGAACGCTTGATCTTTAATCGAAAGCTCTAAAAATATACGAACCGCCGTGTTGACTTCTTGATCGAAGTTGGCCTTTTGCAGCTGATACAGTCGCGCGTTATCCTCGATCTTCGTGTCGGTGTTGTACTTGATGTCCATGGCAGCTTTCTCGCATTCGGCTTCCTGAGAATCGAAATCATCCAAATAAGAAAATAAGCTTGGGTTGAAAAGAGAAAGACAAGGTAGAGTAGGAGCGAAAAACTTACCCTTATACCGGCGTCCCTGTTGGCCTCGGCTACGCCGACGTCTGCGTCCCGCTTGACAGCCGCGGTCTGGGCTTTACCCAGCGAGGCCAAGTATTGCACGTCGTCGTACACGTCCTTAATGGTGAAGGAGAGTATCTCGATGCCCATGCGGCCGACGTCGGGCGCGGCTACCTCGCGGACCAAGGCCGCGAACTGATCTCTGTCTTTGTAGACTTCCTCGACGGAGAGCGTACCGAGGATGGCGCGCAGATGGCCCTCGAGGGTCGACAGAATAGTCGACTTGATCTCGTGGACGTTCTTGCCGAGGAACTGCTCACTGGCCGTGTGCAGCAGCTCGTCGGCCTTCATGATCTTGCACTGGGCGACGCCGGTCACGGTCAAGGGCACGCCTTGCGCCGTCTCGACGCTCTCGCAGACGGGGTTCAGGGTCATGACCTCCAGCGACAGGCGCTGCACGTCCGTGAGGAACCACCAGGTGAAGGCGTAGCCGCCGACTATCGTTCGCTTTCTCGTCGAGCCACAGCATCCTCCTGCGGGTCACATCAAAATCATCATTTTAATCGATTGTTTTTTAGCCTTTGTCGACAATTTTTACATAGACCAATTTTGAAAGTATTTTTTTATTTTCATGCATGTTTTAATATCGAAATAATTAAAGGTGTTTCGATTCGGCATCTACGGAGGCAAAGGAAAGCGTCGAGTGGCTCAAGAATATACCTTCGTCTACGTGACATGCAACAGGTATACATCATGACACGAGCCGGTAGTAGGTCGAACTCCCGCAAGTGTGTGTATACATAACTTACGTTTTCACTGTCAAGTGACGGCGATATAGCAGTGTGTCTCTTTCTCTCTATCTTACGCTCGCACAGCCATGGAGCCTCGTTTAATTGTAGAAATGAAAAAGTAATGACGCGGAGAAAATAAAATGAGAGGAGTAAGCTGTTGCTTCTGCTGCTGCGAGCAGGATTAGAGCACGGATACCGATTTTCTTGGAATATGATCTATGGACGGATGGTGCCTACGTGCTCCAAAGCATGAACAATTTTATCTAATTTTTAATTATAAGCGAGATCCATGTAATACATATTTAAATTATCATTATTATTATTACAGTAGTCAACGCAGTTCTTAATATAAATATTTTAAAAGTGGTATTGCAAAGTGCAACCTGAAATCGCAAGAGGATAAAAATAATCTATTCAAACTTTTCTTCTTGAAACTATTCGAAGGTAAAAAAAAGTAAAAACTTGTTATCTGTAATAAGTTTACTAGTATAATATACAATATTCGGTATAAGCATTCTGTTGAATAGCTCTTAAAGCAATAAAAATTAGTCTATATGACAGTTTTAATGTTCAAGAACCGATCAAATTGAACGAAATATAATTTTGAGTATCATCACCGTTAAACACTCTTTTCGGTACTTTGAAACTCTCGCGCAAATTGTGATACTTCTGATTTGTGCCAAAGATCGTTTAAAAATAAATTAAACGGTCATTAGCCTGGACATCAAGTATTCTTGTAAGCCATCCGGTTGGATCTCGTTACATTTTCTAACGGCAAAGATCAAAAGTTTTTAATTGTTTACACTTTTATGTGTCAAAAACTACCCATTTGATGATTAATGAACTTGTTAATTCTTTAACGATGTTCTTTGATCCTTATTACTATTGTGAACATCAGATAGCTTTCATTTGTTATTTATGGAGTTGCACAACCTGCCATTCTTAGCCATTGTCCATTCAAATTTCAAAAACTTTCTCGTGATAGTATAAAGTAAGAAATATCGATGTTTCTTGTCACGTGCAGGTGCCAATTCCCAATTATAATTTTGACGGTTTCGCGCACTGTTCATGCTTGCAGCGAATGTAAATTAAGCGAGTTTACTAGTCGTTTTAAGTTACACGAAGGAAGCATTCAACTTAACAATTATTCAAAGTTGGATAAAAGTTTAATTCAACAATACTTCCTAACTTGACATTGAAATAAAAACAATTGAAAATTTTTTAAATAGATTGTATAAATTTAAATTTTAACTACTCGTGTTTGAAACGAAATAACAGCAATGTTCTATGAATAAAATGTATCTACAAAAGAGGCACTCTAAGATGGTGTAATTAGAAAATTGGGTGAAAAAATATATATCGAACATTATTCGACTTATTAAAATCTCAGTTGAAACGTGTGAATCTTCACCATTAGCATGCTAGAAAAGAATATCGATATGCAGTGCTTTCCTTTGCTCCATCATCTATATCGAGAGAAGATCCAACTAAGCCTCGAAAGACGTTTACGGAGAAGGAGAGATTGAATATATGTGTATGTATGTGTGTGTGTGTGAGTGTTCTTGCACGGGTATGTACATGGTACTGTACTGTATAAAGAAATGAAACGAGAAAGAGAGAGAGAGAGAGACAGGACCGTTATGATGTTGCGTGTGGAAAGTTGCGCGCGTGGACTTATTCGCGGATGGTCCGTTGACCGGGGCCATCAGCGTGCAGTATTCTGCGTCTGTAAGGCGGAGCAAGGTCACGGTCGCTCCGCAGGTAAACTCGCTTGGTAGCTCGTATTTTGGACAGCGATCCAGTGCAATCTAGACCCATTCATTTTGCCCTCAAGTATCACGTTTTGCTGCGAAGCCGGCGTACTTGTGATTAGTGAAAAGTGACGAGTTAACGCGTACTTTTTGTGCTCCAAGTCAAATTTCGATGTTGTGCGTACCTGCATAAGAGGCACCAAAAACGATGATGTGACAATTGATCGTCGTTTCGGAAAAACTCGCGTTTGAGGTGAGATTTTATATCAGAGATTCATTTGCTCTTACATTCGCCTTTACCTAGACCGAAGCTGTTCGGTTGATTCGAGAATTTTCGTTCGGCAAAACTTGATGGAAAGAGTCATTTAGATACAGCGAAAAAATACCGTTCACGTGCGATGAATTGCTGAACGTACATAACTACATAATAATGCGGAATGGTTCCGATGAAACAAACATCGTGCGAATTCCGGTCTGTTATAGTTGCTCAAACTTGTTTTACAGTTTTTAGAGAATTCAGTGAAATTTTACAAGTAATAGAGTTGCGTTTCCGCTAGATTCAAATTCAATCTGTCTTCTGTAGAAAAAAACATGAATACAATTTATCAATAAAAATATTGTCAATCCCGAGTTTCAAGGCTGCAGAAATGTTTCTTTGTTTTAAATAAATGTTTCTTGCAATTGCTATTAGAGGTACAATCGTACACTTAACTGTATATACAAAGCTTGAGTAGAAACGAGAATGAAATTGAAAAAGTGCGCGAGAGCAAACCTGCTTATTAGATTTTGACTACGTTAAGGCATTCTCTGATGAGTGTTATTTAATAAATCACCCTGTCATCTAAACGTTTTCAGTGAGATTTTTCTGAAAAAAATCGTGAGAATGACTACTGTGATTCTAAAACTTTCCTTACTACCAGGAATTCGAATTTCGACGGGACCGGGAGAAATTTTCAAATTAATTCACGCAATTGCAAATTTAACACGTTAATTTTCCCTTTTATTTAAATAAAAAGAAGAAGCAACGAACTTTTCGATCGAATCTCCAAAAGCGGTGAAAGTCAAGATGAAAGGAAGAGCGCAACATTAGTTAGACGGTCAGCAAAGATAAGTCTCGATGCGTCAAAGTTGAAATTTTAAACTTTGTTGACAGTATTTACCTGTAAAAGAGAAATCGATTTTAAGATGCTTTATGCACACTAAAATACTACTTTGTATTGCAAGCCCGATTCGGAAGAATGTCGAATTTTACAAATAATATCTAAAATTATACAACGCGTGCAGCCTCAACCTTACTTGTTTTCAATGTTCAGTCCTCAACCTATTTCATTAATTTGATGCGGGCGTCCGTATGCACACCTATGATTCACGTTGGTATGACTTTTATACGATCATTCAAAAGAAATCGAAACACTTTTGTTTAATTTTTATTTATTAATTTTTCTTCTACTGACAAGATGAGCCGTTGCAAGCTTGGATCTAATTGCCCGAGCCTACCTAGATAATAGGTGAAAAAAGTGTTAACTATGATACAACGAAGAAGCAGAAATGGGATTTTCAAATGCCGCGATTAATTACTCAATAGCCTCGCGTGCGCGCCAACTCGAAAATTCGACCGACGAGCTCTGGCTCATGCGCTGCCTCGTGTTGTTGTTGCCTGGCGTGTACATAATGATAATACCAGCTGCGCACGGCGCATCCTTCTCGGTCTCGATGTCCATGCTACTGCCTGTACTATAACGCGGGCTACGTGACGCGAATTTCTTATGCGCTGCATACGTGCGAAATTCAAAATGCCGAGCGATTGAGTAATGGGCTTGCTGAAGCGATTTTACTTTTTCGAAAAGCTCACTCATCCTGTAGCTACACTCTTATTTTATTCCTTTTTTTGACGCTCCACAAATGTTATTTGGTTAAATTTTAGCGACATGTAATTCATCCCTGTCAAAGTAAATGGAGCTCTTTTCTCTAAAGTACAAAACAATGTTTTAAATTAAAAATGAAAAATACCGCTAGAAAAAAATTTTATCAAATTGTAGTATATGAAACCGTATTTTCAAATCGAAAAGTTCTAACGGAGAACATCTTGAAAATAAAACTCTTCGATAACCGGGAAAAATATGAAAATGTGTAGACAAGAAACGTTCACAGCATATAGAAACAGAGTGATTCGTTAAGCTTGCCAACATAATCGTTTATCCATAATCAACGAGATTCTCAATTTATACACTTCGAACTTTTGATTTGACAAGCGATACACGTACATTTGCGCGTCCGAGCAAACCTTTTCCTTAGCGCACCCGCCCCACCCATACGTAAGACTTATCGCGTATGAAAGAAAAGAAGCTGTTCTTCTTCCACGATCCACACTCGATGTTCGGCATATAGAGTTGGTAAAGGTGACAGTACTAGTTGCAATCCATCTTTGCATTCCGAGACAAGTTCATCGGCATAGATGAACCCTCTTAAATTTACTCTTAAGTTTTCCTCTTAAATCTTAAAAGTTAACTTGTTTTTTAACGAAATAATATGTCTTTTCAGGTACAGAACATTTAATTTTCAAGCCAGTATTTTCAACATTCAGCGAGAGTGGAAATGGATCAAATATTGACAGCAGCCGGGGCTGCCACTGGGGGCATAAGTTCGTTTTTCTCACTCTTAGTCGCAGCAATTATTTATTTTCAATACGAGCTTTTGGATCCAGAATCAAGACCAATTAATATTCCGTCCGAACTTTTGATGCCTACGTATGATTTCATAGTGATAGGAGCAGGATCTGCAGGTTTGTGATTAATTTTCGAAATGTTTCAAAGTACAAAATTGAAATACTCTTAAAAATTACACATCGCTGTTTAATGCTAAACCAAATTCTTTTTTTTTCAATTATGTACAGGCGCTGTGGTGGCGAGTCGATTGAGTGAGGTAGAAAACTGGAATGTGTTACTTCTAGAGGCAGGAGGAGATGAAACGGACATATCTGACGTGCCCCTTTTAGCGGGGTACTTACAACTGAGTCAATTGGACTGGATGTATAAAACTGAGCCACAGGGAAATTCATGCTTAGGTGTGCATATTTATCATATGAATGAACAATCGATTTACTTTTTTTAACCGCAAAGGTATGTATTATAAACGAAAAATGTTGGCATTTATAGCAATGGAAAATGGCCGGTGCAATTGGCCCCGCGGCAAAGTCGTGGGAGGCAGCTCTGTGTTGAATTATATGCTGTATCTGCGCGGCAACAAGCGCGACTACGACATCTGGGAGGCCGACGGCAACGTTGGCTGGGGCTCTCAAGAGGTGCTGCGCTACTTCAAGAAATCCGAGGACAATCAGAATCCTTACTTGACGCGCACGCCTTATCACTCGCAGGGCGGTTATCTCACCGTTCAAGAGGCCCCGTGGCACACGCCGCTGGCGGCGGCTTTCGTCAAGGCGGGCCAGCAGATGGGCTATGAGAATCGCGACATCAACGGCGCGCATCAAGCTGGCTTCATGATCGCCCAGGGCACGATTCGAGGTGGCAGCCGATGCTCCACGGCCAAGGCTTTTTTGAGGCCTGCCAGGTTGAGGAAGAATCTTCACATTGCTATGAATTCCCATGTAACCAAGGTGTGTGTCGATATTGAAATAGTTTACGTCAACAAAAAATCACATGTACTGTATTTGTGTTTTTTTTTTAAGGTCTTAATCGATCCAACTAGTAAACGAGCTTACGGCGTGGAATTTATGCGTGAAAATCAGATATATCGAATTCGTGCAAAAAAAGAAATAATCGTCTCGGGTGGATCTATCAATTCGCCACAAATTCTCATGTTGTCTGGAGTAGGTCCTCAGGAACATTTGAAGCAATTAGGTAATATTTTGTTTATTTAATTTGAGAAATTATTTATTTTCAACAGTACCTAATTTGTACTTTTTCGATCTCAGGAATTCCAGTGATACAGAATTTGCGCGTCGGTGAAAATCTCCAAGATCACGTGGGAGTTGGCGGTCTTACCTTCATGGTGAATCAAGAAATTTCCATGGTCGAAAATCGCCTGCACAGCGTCAACGCCGTTTTACAGTATGCCGTCTTTGGCTCGGGTCCGTTGACCGTATTGGGTGGCGTGGAAGGTCTAGGATTCGTCAACACCAAATACGCCAATGCTACCGAAGATTTTCCTGACGTCGAACTGCATTTCATTTCTGGATCGACGAATTCCGACGGAGGTCGGCAAATCAGAAAAATTCACGGTCTGACAAAGCGCTTCTACGACATAGTTTTCGGCCCGATCAACAATCAAGACGTATGGAGTGTCTTGCCCATGCTTTTGCGTCCCAAGAGCAAAGGTGTTATCAAGCTAAGATCGAAGAATCCGTTCGATCATCCGCTCATCTACCCGAACTACTTTCAAGATCCGCAGGACATGAAGGTCCTCGTCGAAGGTGTCAAAATAGCCATGGCTCTGAGCCGGACTCCAGCATTCAGGAAGTACGGCAGTGCACTGAATCCAACGCCTTTCCCAGGCTGCACACATCTGCCGATGTACAGCGATCCTTACTGGGAGTGCATGATTCGTCATTATTCGGCCACTGTCTACCATCCAGTAGGAACTTGTAAAATGGGCCCGTATTGGGACTCCGAAGCAGTCGTTGATCCTCAGCTCAAAGTTTACGGATTATCTGGACTTCGGGTGATCGATGCTTCGATCATGCCTAAACACATAAGTGGAAACACCAACGCCCCAGCGATTATGATTGGCGAGAAGGGCGCAGATATGATTAAAGAGTATTGGTTTAGGAATAGACACGTGGGCTGAAATAGGAGACTAAAGTCGAAAAGGATGATTTTCAAGTGATAAATTTCGTGCAGCAATGAAACGCCTAAAGTGCGGATCTGCACCGACTACTTAGCCTTTTAACGACTAGTATTATTTACGAATATTTTATCAGTATTTTTAGTAAAAAATATCACTATAAATATTATAAATGCAACGCTGTATTTATTATCGAATATGTGAAACTGAAAATATGCAAGGTAATTCTTTGTACAATTTTAATTAGACTTATAATCGCAAACTCGAATGATTGGTTTACTCAAGAAATTAAACGAACTTCAACAATGAGTAAAATTATGTTTTTCCTATCGCTGTTAATTTTGTAAAAATTACAATTCTACTGCAGTATACTTAACGTAAATATATGTGTGTGTGGACACGAATATAGTTAGCTTTTTAACGTTCTTGAAGAATGAATTTGTATAAACGTATGTTTACAAATATGATTAGGCCGATGATAGTCCGTCATCGCCACCTACTTTCACAAAAATTATTTCGAATATTGCTAAAACAAATTTCGAAGTGTATATGTGTTAAGAAAGCGCAAGTACTGTTATACATAATTTTTGTAGTATGTTGACTTCTTCCCAAACTGTAAATAGTTAATGAACTATATAAATATAAAAATCAAGTTGAATTATTCAAAATAGTTTGTAATGGACATTGTTCTAGATTCGACAAAAAATTCGACGAATTCGTAAAATAAGGATTTCCACGAAATAACTTTGATATTGTTGTAAGATATTTAAAAAAATCAAATGATTGTAAATAAATTTTATTTAATTGTAGACACGGTTTGAAATTTTTTTTACCGACTCTCAATTTGAAGTTGTGTAGGAATTTTAAGCTAAACGTAAATTGATATACTATTCACGTCATTCAACTTAGCTTTGCTTGGCGTCATCATAATTGAACGAAATTTACAAACATTTTATTTCATAATCATTTGTTATGGATCGTACGCAAATTTCATACAGGCAAATCAGTATTAATTGATCGCTCAAAGCTTTAACATGGAAAATTATTAGTGACGACCGCAAGGTTTCATTTATAAAAGTGACATAAGAAGTGAATATAAGAAGTTGCTAAACATTTCTGACAGCTATCGAGGGCAAATCAATCGAATAATTCTAAATTTTTCAGTATTTTCAGAAACTTTCGCTTTATCATTAAAAGTTGTGTAAATTTCATAAAATGAAAAGGAATCATGTGCTTCGCGGTAAATCTTCCAGAGATCAAACATAATTGCATATCAGAATAAATAATAAGTAATTTCATTCGGTAAACTTTAAGAAGAAAATACTATTTTTAAATGGCCTTAGAAGAGTTAACATACGGAGCCACGCGAAATGCTTTGCAAGGTGCCGAACTGCTATTCATCTTATTTTTACGCTTCATGATTATTCTGTTCCGTCCGGACATCGTAGACCGAGAAAATCGCGTGCAGCCACCCCCGACTTCGGAGCTCTTGGCTCGTTACGACTTCGTCGTAATTGGCGGTGGCTCGGCCGGTGCCGTCATAGCCAATCGCCTCTCAGAGAATTCGAATTGGACGATTTTGTTGCTCGAGGCTGGTGACGACGAGAGCTTCGTTTCCGAGGCCCCTCTGACTTTTCCGACTCTGCAATTGTCGAACATGGATTGGCAGTTCAAGACCGAGCCCTCGTTGAATTACTGTTTGGCGATGAAAGATAAACGATGCAACTGGCCCCGCGGTAAAGTCTTGGGTGGCAGCTCCGTGCTCAACGCGATGCTCTACGTCAGGGGCAACAAGAGGGATTACGACCAGTGGAGCGAATTGGGCAACGAAGGCTGGGATTACGAGAGTGTTTTACCCTATTTCAAAAAGTCCGAAGACAATCGAATCGCAGAATTGGACGGCTCGCCTTATCACGGCAAAGGCGGACCTCTGACTGTTGAAAATTTCAGGTAAATTGCATCTTGCTCATCTATCCGACAAACTTTTTTGAACTTTAATGATCGTCCATATGCAACAGGCACAGGAGTCCGATAACGGAGTATTTTTTGCAAGCCGGTCGCGATCTTGGATACGAAACGGTCGACATCAACGGAGCCCAGCAGACTGGCTTCACTTATTCGCCCGGCACGTTGCGCGACGGTTTGCGTCTGAGCACAGCCAAGGCTTTTTTGCGGCCGTGCTCGAGCCGAAAAAACCTCCACATAGCCACCAACAGCTTCGTGGAAGAAATTATGATCGGCGAGACGTCCAAGACCGCTTACGGGGTAAAGTTTCGCCGAGGCTTGCGACGGTACTCTGTCTACGCCAATTGCGAGGTCATCGCCTCGGCCGGTGCCATTCAGACGCCGCAACTGCTCATGCTGTCGGGCGTCGGCCCAGCCGATCATCTGTTGAAAGTCGGCATACCCGTGATCCAAGATTTACCCGGGGTCGGACAAAATCTTCAAGATCACGTGGCAATGGGAGGACTGAGCTATTTAATCGACGCTCCCAAGCACGAGGCGCACGAGAGTCACGATTTTTCCTTCGTATTGCCAAAACTCATGACTCTGAACACGGTGCTGCAATTTGTCAGAAACGAGACTGGGCCGCTCTACCTCGTGCCCGAATGCGAAGCTATGGCTTTCGTCAATACAAAGTACCGTCATCGAACAGAGCGTAACATTTATTTTTTCACCGATGGAATAGAATTCATGATTTGCTTTACGCAGGTTGAACGACGAGTCGATGCACGATTTCCCAGACGTTCAGCTATTCTTATCCTCGGCGGCGGACAACGCGGACGGTGGACTTTTCGGCATACATGGCTGCGGCCTGTGCGAGGAATTTTACGCCGGCCTTTACGACGACATACTTTACCAAGACAGTTACGCGGCAGTTCCGCTGGTCCTACGTCCCAAAAGTCGCGGATACATCAAACTTCGCAATTCCGACCCTAAGTACCAGCCCATCATAGTGCCAAATTACTTCGACGATCCTCGAGATCTGGAGGTTTTGGTGAGTAAACGTTACGATGTTGCGCGATCCGACGAGAGGAAATAATATTTTCATACACGAATACAAAGCAATAAAGCACGCTCGTAATTGTGCTCAAGCTTTAAAATAATTATTATTGTGCTTAAGGTCGAGGCAGCTAAATTCGTGGATCGACTGAGCTTGACCCCGACCATGAGGTCGATTAATGCCCGACCAAATGGCAATGTGATCAGAGAATGCGCCGCCCACGAATTCCGCTCGGATGATTATTGGCGTTGTCAGGCCAGGCATTACACCATGACGATCTATCATCCGACCGGCACATGCAAAATGGGACCCGTGACTGACTCGATGGCTGTTTGTATTTTTATATTTTTTCATATCGTTTTATATATGAACACATTTTTTTACATATTCGTGAATTTATATTTAAGTGATAAAATTAAATTTCATCAAATGCTCCATGCAAAAGAATAACAAAAATGACTCATTCATAACCAGCTTGAGATCGAGAAAGATCAATAAACTCTTATTTGGCAGCCTCACCTGCAACATAGAAAAAATAATTTACATTAAAAATTTGTCAATAAAAATGAATAAGACTTTTTTATTTTACGTTATTAAATATTCACTTTCTATTTTATGTACATTCAGGTCGTAGATGCAAAGTTGCAAGTTCACGGCATCACGGGTCTTCGGGTGATTGACGCATCGATTATGCCGAATATCATCACAGGCAATACAAATGCGCCGACGATTATGATCGCGGAAAAAGGAGCAGATATGATCAAAGAAGCGTGGAAACACTACGCCGGAGGACCTATGAATCGAAGATCAACTTCGAAGCTGCAGTCGCCGTTAGATTGGCACGTCAATGAGCAGCGCGAAGAAATTATAAGACAAACTAGGTCGTCTCTTCAAAAAATCACCGAACTATTTGAAACTGATTTACCTGTACTCAATGAAATTCGTGATAACGAAGATTATGATTACGATTGAAAGATGTGCTTCAGATTCATTTTTATACCGAATTTTTTAATAACAAAAAAACCTTCCTTACTATTCTTAGATGTTATCAAGGTCTATTGACGTTACGGGAAAATGACTGTCATAAATTATATTATTATTTTCGTTGAAATTTAAACTAAGGTATTGTAAGCAATCATTTGAAGTTTTAATTCACGAGGAAATTTCTATCAAATAATAGCGGAGTAATCACAGTTTTTATACGCTTCTTTCAAACCATCTATGTATACAAAGGACTTGACCATTCATGACTGAAAAAAGTATATGTCTGCTCATAGAGATAAAACACATCGTTGCACGATGCAGCCTTGGATCGGCCATAATAAAGCAAAATCATTACGCGGGTTCGAGAGAGAGTCTTCGGAGGCATACATTTGTTCGTAGCCTTTACGCATGCAGTATAATCTTATCAGACATAATAACATTATAGGTACCCATGAGGGGATTTTTTGCCGAGTTTCATGCGGATTGGTGGATTGAATGCCGTACACGCATATATTTGCATGTGTCATCGCGTGAAAAAAACAGTTATTCTTCTGGATTCTGCATGAAAACAACTAAAATTTATAAATAATATTTATACATTTTATTTTTAACTTTCAAATTGTTGTATTCAATGAGATTTAAAAAATGAACGTTTTAATGCGGTTATAAAAAAATTAACGGGAAAATAGTATGAATAATTGATTAGGCGAGAGGCAACGACGACTACACGGAAAATTTTCAGAAACCCTGATTGTATTTTTTCGCATTTATAACAGTACGCGACTAAAAGCTTTAGCGGATCATGATTCAGTTGGGTCCCAGACTCGCAGTACAAATTTTGCCGCGGTAAGTTTGGCGGGATAGCATAAAAAATGACTCAGTGCATCTTTTGACAAGAAACAAACAAGAAAATACCATGATTTATTAGCAAACTTTTTATTGCGGTCGTGTAGTTGAACAAGTGTGAGTTGTGAATTTAAAAATTAAAAAATTTTACGTCATTATCATGGAAAAATTATAAATATAAGGTGTTGTCAAGTTTTATAAGACAGTGAGCTCAGTTGTCAACTCTTGTGATAAAATTAGTTAGAAAAATGTGTTCCAAAAATGCTTCTTCACTATTCCTGCTTTTGATGTTATGTCTAATTAAAACGGAATGTATCAATCATGAGGTGAGTATTATAGTCAATGAAAAATTTCTGCACTATACCTAAAATTGAAATGATGACAGAACTGAATTAAGTCGATTATCTGTTGATAATAAAATTATTCTTGAATTCTCAAGGCTGTTTAAATGCGTGTAGGGCTTTGAAACAAATCAAGTATAATTTTACTCGTTTAAATAATAACAATAGCTGTGAGTGTGGATCATAGCTCTTTCATTTTGACGGTTGTGCACATAATTTCTGTAATATTTTCGTTTGCATAAGCTTTCTTACGTATTATAACTTTGCTCTATTTATTCGCCAAAGTAATTGGCATTTCTAAAGGTACGATCTTAAATCATGCACTTTGAGTTGGTCCAGTGTGAATCAGCTGGACGAAAAAAAAGCAGTAAATTGTAAAGTCGAATTACGCACGAATTGTAATTACAGGTCGAGCCGTATAAAACTTAAGAATTGTAAAGACATATCTCTAAGCCTCGTTGAAATTCCCTTGCAACGAAAACGTTACGCGTAGCTGTATTTTTCTCTCTCTCTCTCTTTTTTATCTTTCGAGCTGAAAGTATATGCACGACACAATGTGTAAAAAAGGTTTTTTTATCGCTCGAAATAATTTTTCAGAGCAGCGGAGACAGCGGCAAGCTCGTTTACGACTATTCGCACGGCGCCCTCGGCACCGTAGAAAGCCAGAGATGTTGCCACTGTCGGTTCAACGACACCGCCTACATCAATGCGCGCTGCGGACGCCTGATGTCTTTCATGACGCTGCTTCAGGCGCTTATGATGGCGCGATGCGACATCGCCGATCCGTGCAGACGCGCCGGCACCGACACGCTGCCCCAAGAGCAATGGTAATGCCTCAACTACTGCTTTTTCACAAGAAAAATAGATGCACGAGCTGAAATTATGTTCAAACGCAGGTTCGACTTTATCGTAGTTGGCGCCGGAGTCGCCGGGCCTGTAATAGCCAAGCGCCTGAGCGATCACCCGTGGTGGCGAGTCTTGCTGATCGAAGCCGGCCCGGAAGAGCCATCGCTCACCGCGATACCTGGACTGGCCTTCAACGCGATAAACTCGTCGCTCGATTGGCAGTACACGACCGAGCCTACTCAACCCTATCCGACGGCTTGTCTCGGTAAATAAATCGTTATACACTGAAGCACAAATGGTTGCATGTTTATAATTTTTATAAAATGTTTTATTTCAAAAAATTACAACGTAGAAAATGGCGGACGCTGCTTTTGGCCACGAGGGAAGATGGTTTCCGGTACGAGTGGCATGTACGGCATGATGTACATGCGAGGCCATCCGTCGACGTACGACGAGTGGTCGAAACTCGGCAATCCCGGCTGGTCCTACGCCGAAATCGAAAAGTACTTCGAGCGCGCGGAGAATCCGGTGAATCGAAAACACGCGAGGAACGGCATGTTCAAGAGTACCAACAGCAGCGGTCCGATGACCATAGATTATTTCACGCACAAGCCAGCTTTCGCGGACGAGGTGATCAGAGCTGCCGACGAGCTGGGATACAAGACCGCAGGACTGCGGCAAGATCAGCAAACGGGCTTCATGATAGCCCCTATGTTGGTGCAGGACGGCTTGAGAGGCACAACGTCGAGGTGATTTATTTTTTAAATTTTATTGATTTTTTTTACGCAATTCGGTGCTTATGCTTTCAGGTATTATTTGAGGCCGTCAGCAAAGAACAAAAATTTGTACGTTTTGACAAATGCCCACGTAACAAAAGTTTTGACGAGTGAATGGGACAAACGAGCTTACGGGGTCGAACTGATAGATAAAGAGGGCATACAACGAGTATTTAAAACAAATAAAGAAATTATTCTTACTGCTGGAGCTATTGGCTCGCCACAGATACTTTTGCAATCAGGTATCGGTCCCCGTCGAGATCTTCAGGCCCTTGGAATTCCTAGCGTGATTGATCTGCCTGAAGTGGGTAGAAATTTACAAAATCACGTGGCAGTTGGCATCCCGGTAAAAAATATTTTAAAACAAATCCTCAAGCTCTAAAAGCACAAATTCATGAAATTTTTGTTTCAGATGTCGATCAAAGATGATTTTTACGAGACGCTATCGGTGGACTCGGTGAACGAGTACGTATACAATCGTAGCGGACCAGTGGCCAGTACCGGTTTGACGCAGTTGACCGCATTTTTGGAAACTTCCTACGCCAATAGTCCCGGTGTACCTGACATCCAAGTGTTTTTCGATGGCTTCAGCTCGTCCTGCGTACGGACTGGACTGGACATAGAGTGCCACGACGGCACCATTGGCGATTGTGCCGAGCGCCGAGAAATCGTCATCAGGCCTACCCTCGTCAATGCTCGCTCCCGAGGATATATCAAGCTCGCCTCTAATAATCCTATGGATTATCCGCTGATATACCCGAATTATTTCACCGATGAAATCGATCTCAAAGTACTGCTAGAAGGAGTAAAAAAAGTCATCGATTTGACAAAAACGAAAAAGATGCAAGAGTGGGACTTGAAGCTCAAAACAAAACCACACTTCATGTGTTCGAGGTGAATACAGAGTTTATGCATGTAAAAAATCACCAACATTTACAGCGATAGAAAATGAATATCTATATCTTTTTTTTCATAGACACAAGTTTGGCTCAGACGCCTACTGGAAATGCTTCATTAGAGCACGCACAGGCCCGGAAAATCATCAGGCTGGCACGTGCCGCATGGGCCCCGACGGAGTTGTCAATCACGAGCTTCGCGTCCACGGCATTCCAAATTTGCGAGTCGCCGACGCGTCGATTTTTCCGATATTGACCAACGCAAATCCCGTAGCGCCTATAGTTATGGTGGCCGAGAAAGCCTCTGATATGATTTACACTAAATGGATGAAAGACGAAAAGTCAACGTAATAATATTGACTTTTTATCTTGAACATTCACCAACTAATATTTGTAAAATTAATTTTTATAACGATAGTCTAATAAATAATTCCATTGTTTACAAACTAGAAAATTTTGATTTTACTTTTAGTTCAGGCAACTTTGTATTTTTAGTTGGAAAAAGTCAAACAAATTTTTAAGAAAAAATTATAAGTAGCACGTTGTTTTTTACTTTGATTGAATGATATATAATATACGCAATACTAATAAATAAAGAAGTAAAAAACCGTTGTGTATTCTGATTTTTATCGCAGTTTTTTCCATTACTGTTGTAATTCTAAAAGCATGCGTATATAAGCTCCAACAAAAATCATGTTCACATCTACATAAAATATTTCATTTAAATTTTGTTCCGGTTACATATATTTCAAATTTTTTAAATTGCCAAATTCGCGCTTTTGTGCGCGTGTGTGAATTTTGAACTCTGATGTAACGAGTAACAAAATAAGATGATAAATCATTTCTCAAATTTCATGTGTATATTTTACACTCAACCTTAATTCAATTAATTCTACAATGCGAAAAAATAGTTTTCAAAAGATCTCTCAATAAGCATATTATCTAAAATGTAGATTTTTGAAGAATGAAACCTTCATTGACAATAATGTAACGTTTCGACACATCAGACAATAGCAAACATTTTTCTTGATAATATCGGTTACGTATGGGTCTGGAAGGGGGTTTGTTGATGATGTAGCTTGACGCACGACTGTGAAACTTAACTAGACGTTGCGAGACCGATACAACGATCGGTTCAAATAACTATTAGGTAAGTCGTACCTTACGTTATACCTCATAATCCGTCAATGCTCTGATTTTCAAAGTAGTTCTCAAAGAGCATTGGGTGCATAAACTTATCATGTAGTGATTAGCGATTTATAATTTAACAAAGTGTTATAAAGTACACATAATTTTTTTATTTTTCATCGATATATTTTTTTAAAACAGTGGACTTTTAAAACTACAACAGAAATGAATGAGTGCCTATCAACTTCGTGTCATTCGAGCGCATCGGGCAGTGATAATGTCTCAGTTTTCCTTCTACTAATACGAAGTCTTCTGATGGCACAATGTGAATTGACGAATAATCAAAATTATCCACCCGACCGCACAGCAGAAGCAATGGAAAAAGCCAACAGTTTTTTTGACTTCATCATTGTTGGCGGTGGATCAAGTGGCTCCGTATTAGCCCGTCGACTGTCCGATATCAGCGATTGGAATATTCTAATGATAGAGCGAGGCACGGACCCATCGATCAACAGCGACCTACCAGCGCTCTTACTACTGCTACAAAGCACAGAGGAAGATTACAACTACAAGGTTAAGCCGAACGATCGCTATTGTCAGGGCATGCGACACCAACAGTGCATTTGGGCGAAAGGCAAGGCACTGGGTGGTAGTTCGTCCATCAATGCCATGCTTCACGTGACTGGTACCGATCGTGATTACGACCTATGGGCTGCCATGGGCAACAAAGGCTGGGCTTACAAAGATGTACGTCCGTACCTGCGAAAGATCGAAAATTATCATCCGGACATTGTGGCCAAGTACGGGGATGAATTTTACGGCACTGGCGGACCCCTGACGCTGAGGAGCTACAACTACTCGGAGAGCGGCTTGCACGACATACTCTCGTCGGCCGTGAAGGAGCTTGATTGGCCTTACATGGAGCTTTTGAACGGTGGCAAGTACGTTGGTTACGGAAAAGTCTATGGGACTATCGACAGAGGTGTAAGGCAAAACGTCGCCAGAGCCTATCTTACTCCGATTAAGGATAGGAAAAATCTTTACGTTGTCAAGTCGGCCCAAGTTACTTCCCTGCTAATGAAAAAGAATAAAGTGATCGGAGTCAGAGTGACACTGAAAGATGGCCGTAAAGTCAAATTTGAGAGCAAGAAAGAAGTGATACTCTCGGCGGGTAGCATAGCCACTCCACAAATTCTCATGCTCTCTGGAATAGGACCAAAGGAAGAGCTAAAAGCCCAAAATATACGCGTAGTGGCAGATTTACCGGTTGGTAAAAATCTGCAAGATCACGTGATTTGGTTAGGAGTTTATCTATCTTACGTCAATCAAACTGCCCCACAAGTATCACCTCACATTTTGCAAGATTGGGCGTATGAATTTTTGACTCGTCGTTCTGGAGAATTTGCCACTGCAGGGGGAGTAGATTTTCTCGGCTTTATCAACACAAAAGATTCTGCTGCCAAGTATCCTAATATTGAATTCCACCACAGTCTCATGCCGCGGAATCAACCTTTTAAAGCTAACGCGTTCAGTAAAGCGTTTAACTTTGATGACAACCTTACGGACGAATTAAATCGAATTAATCAAGAATCTGACATTATAATGGTTTGCCCAGTACTGTTGAATCCGAAGAGTGTGGGAAAATTGAAATTGCAAACTTCCAAGGTTAACGATCACATAGAAATTCATGCTAATTATTTCGATAAGCGAGAAGACATTGACGTTATGCTGGAATCGCTCAATAGCGTGCGTGCTCTGTTGAATACGACCACGTTCAAAAAATTAGGAATCAAATTGCGACCATTGAATATTCCAAAATGTGCCGAATACAATACCGAGTCTAACGAATATTGGGAATGTAATTTGAGGCATACATCTGCCAGTGTTTATCATCCAGTAGGGACTTGCAAAATGGGCCCTGCCGACGATAAAACAGCCGTCGTTGATTCGTTTTTGAAAGTCCACGGTATTAAAAATCTACGAGTAATTGACGCCTCGATTATGCCCATTATAACGAGCGGAAATACTCATGCGCCAACTTTAATGATTGCTGAGAAGGGATCTAGTTTGATCAAAGAAGAATGGCACATTAAAGACGAACTATAATAAGAAATTATCAATTTTACAACGAATATATAATTTATATATGATTGCTATTGATTTTTACTTATAAATAGTTTTATAATTACTGACTTTTTATTAACAAGAAAAAAAATTTTTAAATGGTTATTTTAGTGTAAAAATATCCAATCATCAATTGCTTTGATAAATAAAAAATTATTTAAGACGAATCAATTGTTTTTTTACATGAATTATACATAAATTCACCTTAAAAAAAGTAGCATATAGTTCAAAGTAATGATTTATCATGTATGTTAATTTAATCTTTCTCAGTTAAAAACAGTAGTTTTGATTTATTTCACAAAGTAAGAGTTTTAATATAAGTCATTTGATTTTCAAACAATACATGAGGATAATTTTTATAACTCTTATCAGTTACTCAAAGAAAACATTTTTTCCAACACAAGTGTACCAAAAATTTATATTTTGTAAATCATTGATGACTTTTAAAATATTAATATTATCGTAATGCTTTGACTGAGTTCCAAAAAGAAATCTGTTTTACGTTGATAATAAAACAGTTGATTAACTTAGATCACCAAAAAATATCGTATCAATAAAGAGACCAAAATTCAGGAGTTATCATGGTGCAAAAAAATTTTTAATTTAACAATTTTCAACTACATGTACCCATGTAACCGTGCGCTACTAAAAAGCTGCTATAGTTTTCATAACAGAACCTGACAATAATTGAACTATTCTTATCACCCCACCCAAACTCAATATTTTTCGCGATATCTTTTCTACTCGCTAGTCCAGTTTAAACTTGGATAACAAAGCCACAAGACTATCCACGTTTGAAAGTTTCGCCTTCGCTTCGCATTGTACTTTGCGGTTCGAGTAGTTGATCGGATCGTTCGCCGAGTGTACTTTAATGAAAAACAAATCGTCATGACAATATAAACAATGTGATTCGTGTGAAAGAGTGTTTTTAGTGATAAAAAGTGTTGGATAAATAAATCAAGTTTTCGAGTTAGTTCAATTGATTTTAATACTTATCATTTGAACGTAAAACAAGTGCAATTAACCATAAAACATGTCGTGGGAGCCACCAAATTTATCAGAGCTGTGCCCAGCTTATACACAAGTTTCGACTTGTCAACCACCAGTCATACTATTTATGAGCTTTTTAGCTAGTTTATTTGGCTACTCGAACGATGGTATGTTCAGCATGGCTAAATCAAATGTTCATTCTACTCAATCAACTTACTCGGGGGAGGCTAATACGATCTCAACGGTAATTAGTGATTTACACGAGCCATCGGCTACATTACAATCGCGCATCGGTCACGATGAAAGCAGAGAAGACGACGGTAGTTATTTCGATAATTTTGATTCGGAGGAGCAGGTGAATATGCGCAAGTTATTTCTCAAAAATATATAGGTAAACATTACACAAGCTTGTTTTTCTTTTTTAACAAAAATAGCCCACGCAAATTTATTCAATGAGGTCAACACCGGCAACAGCAGCAACGCCGTTTTATGGCTATAGTCACCCTCTGTTACGATATACCCATTACTACGGCCAACGCATAAAACCGAAATTCCGCGATCGTTTCGACAGTCGGCGATTTTACTTTCCGTACTCTACGAGCGCCTCGCTGCCCACTCCTTTGACCACGATGATTTATCATCAGCAAAACTATCAGCATCCCCTGTTGACGCACGCGGCGAGTCAGCCCTCGCAATTCATACGTCGAGAGTCGCCGTCGAATCACCTGCCGAACTTTCTCATGTCCCCGGCGCCCTTCGTTTCCGACGGCGAGGGCGGCGGCTTGTCGTCGTTCCGTAAGCAGCACGCGACACTCTACGGTACGAGCGTGCCATCGTTCGACAAGCTCATGATGCCGGAGGACGGATACGACGAGGCCGTTAATGGACCAGCGGCGCGGGCAGAATTTCCGGAGCCTACAGGATTTCTCCCCAAGGAGTACGATTTTATTGTTGTGGGAGCTGGCTCGGCCGGTTGCGTCGTCGCTAATCGCCTCAGTGAAATTAGTCAGTGGAAGGTGAGTGTTTAGAGGAAAAAAAAAAAGAACGTCGTTAAGGAGTAAACACTTTCTATCGCGGTTAACTAGATTTGACATTAACAATGAAATGCTACGCTCTAATTGTTATTCGACTGGAGTGCAAAAATTTCGAACGAATCTGACTTTTTTTGTTTCCGTTTCCTCGTAAAATTCGAGCAGTAAAATAATTGAAAGTTTTCCTGTTCTTTGGTCAATTATAAGAAAAAACATGCGTAAACGCAGTTCCAATTTACAGTTTGTACAACTAAGTTTTTAGTGCATCTAATTGAGACTTCCATAGGTGCACTTCAATTATTTAGATAAACACAAATTACATTAGAAAATCGTCTTATCAAAAGTGTAGTATCAGTCGAGTTGCATAATCACAATGCTGGTCAATTACAAGCGTAGTATGCAGCGATCGTTATAGTCCATAAGCTAATAAGAAAAAACTTCGTTGCGGTCAACAATTGCCCGAAGTTATAATTGTTCGATTGCGTAAATTCCTACAGCTATATAATGTCGATTTTTGCCCACAAAATTCACTTGCAGCTCGTGAAAATCGATGCATTTTTGTCTCTCGAGAAAACAGCATTACCATGCACGCAAAAGCACGTGTATATGGCGCGTATACGCGTCGACACGCGAACGTTGTAATTTACACCGCGTAAACAATATTCCAGACTGTCTGCAGTGTGCGCGTGATACACATAGAATGGCGTAGCTATCTATCTATCCTATACATAGCACTTCATTTGCAATTCCAACGATTTCTATAATAATTGACTAGCTGAAAGCATATCATTATACGCGCTCATAACCAGACAACTTTTACGTAATTCTGGCGTAGAGAAATTCATATCTAAAGATTTAAGTTGAATCGCCCACTGCAAAATAATAGAAATACATAATAACAAAATGATAAATAAATTCTTTCACAGGTATTACTACTCGAGGCAGGAATAGACGAGCCTCTGGTAGCCGACGTACCAGCGTTTGCGCCAGCTCTGAGAGGAAGCAACATCGATTGGCAGTACCGAACGACTCGCATGAAAAAGGCCTGTCGCTCGAAACGGGGTGGCCGATGCGGTTGGTCGCGCGGCAAAGTAATGACTGGAAAATTGATCTCGTTTCGAACTTAACGACGCCTAAACTTTATTCAAGCGACCTTAAATTACGTTTCAGGTGATGGGAGGTTCGAGCGTGTTGAATTACATGATGTACATCAGAGGTAATAAGCAGGACTACGACGAGTGGGCTGCATTGGGCAACGAGGGCTGGAGTTACGACGAAGTCCTTCCGTACTTCAAGAGATCCGAAGATAATGAAAATCCCGAGGTAAGTATTAAAAAAAAACTGATGTCGCGTTTTATTATGCAAAGTGAGAAAATATCGATCTCGGTCGCAGGTCGTGAAGGAAAGCCCGTACTATCATAGCACCGGAGGCTATCAGACGGTCGAGTGGTTCGACTACATCGACGAAAACGCCAAGATCTTGATAAACGGCTGGCAGGAGATCGGCTACAACTTGGTCGACCCCAATGCCGAGGATCAGCTCGGCGTCGTGCACATGCAGACGACTTCGATCCACGGGGCGCGTCAAAGCACCAACGGCGCCTTCATCAGGCCGATACGGGACAAGAGGCCGAATCTGGTGATCGAGACCGAGGCGCACGTGACTCGCGTCGTGATCGATCGAAAAACGAAAATCGCCACGGGCGTCGAGTATTACAGCACGAGGAGCGGCTACACCAAGCTGGCCATTGCTCGCAAGGAGGTCATTGTCTCCGCCGGCGCCATCAACTCGCCCAAGATACTGCAATTGTCGGGCATAGGACCGGCAAAAATGCTTCGACAGCACAAAATAGACCTGGTTTACGACTCGGCCGTCGGGCTGAATTTGCACGATCACGTAACTACCGACGGATTCGTCATAGTGCTGTCCAACAAAACGGCCACGAGCAAGAGCATCAAGGGAATCGAGCGAGACGCTTACAAGTGGCTCGAGAAGCAGAAGGGCCCCTTGGCGGCCACCGGATCATTGGCCGCGAGCGCCTTCGTCCAGACGCCCTTCGAGACGAGCCACGGCCAGCCCGACATGCAGTTCTGCTTCGACGGCACCAACGTGCAGGACTACGTGCTCGACCCGAGCGAGTCGGGCGAGACGGCCGTCATGCCGCTGGCTTACTACGACGGCATCAATATCCGGCCGGTGCTCTTGGCCCCGCGCAGTCGTGGCAGCGTCACGCTCAACAGAACCGACCCCGTCTGGGGCCCGCCCCTCATGGATCCCAATTACTTCGGCGAGGATCCCGACCTCGACGCCATGCTGGCCGCCATCAGGATAGCTCAGGACTTGTTTCAGACCAGAGCCTTTCAGGAGAACGGCATGAGGCTGCTGGACGTGCCGCTGCCCGCCTGCCGACGCCACAGATTCAACAGTCAGGACTACTGGAGATGCGTCTTGATGGAGTACACGACGACGCTCTACCATCCGGTGGGTACCTGCAAAATGGGCCCGAGAAGCGACCCAAGGGCAGTGGTCGATCCACGATTGCGGGTTTACGGAGTTCGGGGCTTGAGGGTGGTCGACGCGTCGATCATGCCTGTGGTAGTGCGAGGAAACACTAATGCTCCAACGATTATGATCGGCGAGAAAGCTAGTGACATGATCAAAGAGGATTGGCTCGACGATAATTATGATTGATCAATATACCTTAGGGGATGTTGTTTCAAGGAAATATTTATTAATTGACTATGTGTAAAGTATTAAAATTGGAATTTTATGAAAGTTATAATACATCACATATGAAAATTGGTCATAAATAGTTAACTTAGCAGATAATTTTGTATAAATCGAGTTAAATTTATCATTTAAGAATTGTAAGACTTTTTTAAGATTAACATTTGTAAGATTCATTTATGTATATTGTGTTCTTGAGGATATTAAACATAATTTTCTTCCTTCGTATACATTATATTTTGAAAATAAGTATTTTTTAAATAAATAATATATTTTGAGTTCGCTCGGCTTCGCCTCGGCTGATAAATTACACGTGCTCTGAGACTTTCCAGTTTTTTACTCCGTAGGTGCCAAATATACTATTTATCCTTGGTTATCGAGCGCATATAATTTGTTCCGCCTGAACCTAGGCAACCGGAATTTCAGGACTGTATTTTTCTTGTTTTCGAGTGAAAGTATTCGTTTACCTTATAATCCTCGAAGTAATTTTTTTACCAAGTCTCACAACTGTTTTACCAGTTTAAGGTACATTGCTATTGTCGTTCTTTTATCCAAATAGGATAACGGTCTAACAAATCCTTTTTTTTAGTTAATAAAAATTGTATTCGGATTCTTCAAAATAATAGTGGAAAACAATAATTGCAGATATTTTTATAATGATCGAGAAAATGTACATTACTTCATGAAAAATACAATATACAATTGAGAAATTATTGGACTGTACTTCGCACATTACGATTTCGAAAGTTAAAAGACATAAAAAACTAGAAATCAAACGCAGCTTCTTACATTAGTTTTTATGAATATTTCATAGTTAATTTTTTGTTTGATTTTGAAATGGTTTATAATGATGAGCTAAATACCGAACATAATAGTACACTAATATTTAATGAGGTGACAAATTTTTTGTTTGATCAAATTAGTTCATTGCAACTCAGCATCAATTATTGTCACTAGTTCTTGGTATGTTCAATTACAAACAGGTAATTTGATATAAGAAAATTAAAATGGCGACTGTAAAATTCCAGTATGTAATCGAATCAAGATGAAAGTGATAATAGTGCAAAATTGGCCATAAATTCATCGATTACAAAATTTAAGATCAGATATTTAGTGATATCGATGAAAAAAATAAATTGAAATTGAAAGTATAATTTATTTTGCACAAAAAAATGTACCAATCCAAATTTTCAACATTTCAGCCGCTCACAACCGTTATTACACGTACGGAGTTTTTCAATTGCAATCAACTTTCTCAGATTATACATTAATGAGAATTACGATGATAAGTTTACACAAATGAAGCAGCATATCGCCTCCACCAGTAGCGCGGAAACTTATTACAGCCGCGCTCTTTCCGCAAAGTTTAAGGCTACTAGATCTTGGTTCTTCTATGCGCACGCGATCTGTTTAGCGCTTTCATGCGTGCGTTAATTTTTTCTTTTTTTTTGTGCATTAACTTCATTCACCGGCTTTAGCAACCACGAGAAGACAAGACTATTTACAAATCTATCTTATTTAACAAAAAATTTCCTTATTTAATGATAATTGCGTAAACTTTTTTTCATTGCTTGCCGTAAAATGTAATATTTTCGAGTTTTCATGAAATTATATGACGCTTTGAAGTACGTCAATGAAGCACCAAAAATTTTACAAGTCAATTGATCAACTTGAATAGACGACAATGATTTGTAAAAAAAACCATATTAATGGCTTCTGAGAATCGTGTCATTCAATTAAGTCTTTTGAGAGTCAAGGCGATACCCTAAATTTTTTGCTGCAGACAATTTACACTTGCGACTTGCAACGAAGTTCGATGAGTATATGATTGTTCATTAAAAAATTGAAAGGTTTTTTGCTTTGCGTTCTAGAAGCGAAAGTTACGAATGTGTACTTTATGCGCACATATTGCACCATGAATAAATAATAATACACAAGGGTACGATACGGGATACAAACTTATGATGTTCAGTAAATGTGCACTTGGCAATTTTCCAAGTAAATAAATATTATTTTATAATCGTAACTTTTTGTAAAATAAACATCTCACGACTCTTTTATGAATTTTCATAAAACAATAATTATGATAATTAATTTCTTTTTCGTGCGTATACTCACTACTTATTCGAAATGCACTGCACGCACGAGTAGTTGAAACAATTACCAACCTGCAAGATACAAGAGACAAATTGTTAGTACATATCATGATAAGAGACACGTGTAAATTAAATGAGTTGGTATGTAAATTTTTACAAATCGAATTCGTAAATGTAATACTGGGGCTGGATCGGTTACACGCTCTTTAAGCAATAAGTCGGGCATACGTGTCGATCGGCAGCTATACATTCGGAGATCGAAATGAATTTCGATGGGGTCTCGCGCGAATCGAACGCATGCACAAACACACGACACGCGGTATTTCCCGCCACTCGCTCGACGTGTTGCAATTTCATCGCGCGGATGTGTATGTAAACTTTTTCTATCTTGACGGTCTTTTTGATTAGTCTATCTGCATGAATGATTTCTTCACGGCGTTTCAATGAGTCATTATAATTAAGCGCAGCAGCGGGAACTGTAAAAAAATTATTTTAAAAACTGCACGTACACCAGCAATTTATTGTTGAAAATGTTTCATAATTTGCGTTATAATAATGTACATAGAAGATGTGTACTTGTCAAGCAGAATCGTCATTGCAAGGGTAAAGTTTACTTTTCTAATGGAGGATGCATTTCCGTTATTCTATTAGTTCATCCAAGTGATTTGAACTTTCAATTAGCACCTGTCAACTCGCCCGTTTCTTAGAAAATTTGGGTGTGAGGTACATTACAAAACGTTCAGCGCGGAAACTAGCGATAATTTCCAGCGCCATAATTTTCCACGAGCATTTGAAAATACATAATAATTTTTCTCGGCGGATGAACATGGCTGAAATTTCCTCCAGACCGTAGAATGGATTTTCTTCTTTTCAGTGCATTAGCTGCAAACAGTGTATTTGCGTACGTGAGAGCAGAGTAATGATCTTATGGCGAATAAGTTCGGCTCGCGGATTGCGCTAATATCATAAACCCGAATGTGTCAAAAGTCGATACATACAGTATGCTATATCTCTCTGTATATAAATTGCCGTGGCGCGTGGAGCTCCCGTAATGTATAAGGCTCGCAAGCTATAGCGCTGGATCTGTAAGCGTGTGTGCGTGTGTATATATACAACGTGCGCGAGGCTACACGAGAATTACAAAGGCGATGGTGGTGGCACTTGCAAGTCGAACTCGTACACACCATCTCTCGCGCAGACACCTTTATACGCTCCAAGTTTCATAGCCAAAGTCACAGTCTTACGCTTTCGCTGGACACCGGTCGGCCACCGGCTCTTCTCGCGTTTATTTGTGTGCTCGCGCGCGCGCGCTGACCAAGAAATGTGCTTGTGCAAATTATTATAGAAAAACCCCCAAGTGTGTCCCTTGTGTGTCTCGTGTCAAATATATGTATTATGAATTGTTTTGTGTGGTGTCGTCTCTCTCATCGACAAGACTTACGCAGAAGCTAACACGATTTTGACACTTGCAAGACTGCATACCGGTGGGTTCTAATTTAAATTTTTTGTACGCGTTAGAGTTTGCTGAATGAAATATCGAATCTTTCTTGCAAATGAATCAAAGTATTCGTGCTCGTTGGCCATTTTTCCAGAAATTAATGTGGATTTTTGACAGTAGCAGAATAGCTAAAGAAACGTAAACAAAGGTAGACAAAGCCATCGTTAACGTGTGATTTTGAATTCACGCCCGGATACAATTATAAATTTGAATGCTAAATACTCACTAAATTCGCGTACTTAATTACGACTTTCACTTTTTTTCTATATTTTTCGACGCGCATCGCCACGCGTATACACTGTAAGAAAAAAATATAGCGTACATTGACGTACCAACTTCTTCTTTTTTTTTTTTTGCATAACTCGTAAAAATGCCGTAATTTCTTTCAACGTGCAGCAAAGTGCTAAATACGGAGTAGGAGTGCTTTATTTTACCAAGCTAAAACAGAAATAAACAGAAAGTGTTGGCACCGATCTGAAAGAGATGCAGGTGAACTTCTCTACTTTTCTTCCGCGCGAAATATATGTATCAATTAACATCATCATCGTCTGCTCGATACAATGTATAGGTACGATAGTTACAGGTGCGCGTTTAATTAGATGCTTGTAAGTTATAAATACATAGGCATCATCGTTGCTCTATAGAAAGTCGAGTCGTTCAAAAGATTTGTTACGAAACATGTATGTATATCAATTGACGCGATTGCACATGAAAGTACAGAAAAAATCCTCGATGGGCAAAAAACACATAAATAGACCACCCCCTTGAGCTATACTTTTCAAACTCTCGTTTAGAGTGTTACTCAAACATTGTTGTTATTTGCTTGTTTCGGCACACGAAAAGGCCACGTTTGAATTGACACACGCGCTCAAAAGTTTTACCTAGTCTTGGAGAGGAGATTCTCATGTTATGCTACAGAACTTGTTTGAATTAGCTTTTTGATGAGTTCGACGATTTATAAAAATTGACGCTATGAGTAGTACCGCGGCTCGGGTCATCGACACCTGTACGGGTTTTAAAATTAATATTTGAAAGACACTTTATAATATTTGGTTCTAATCGCATTACAGATCGTTCGCAGAACGCGTGTAAATTTTACAATGTAATGGTAAGTGAGAAAAAATAGCCGGCAAATCAGCTCAGAACGTAGCAGAAATTTCACAGATTTTTTTCTCGAAACAAACATTTTCTCGAAAGTTGAAGCGCGCGCGTCAAACTTTAATGACGGAAATTACAAAATAAATACACTGGATTTCAATTAAAAATCGTACACATAATAGCCATAGCCATAACACGCGCTCGATGGAGGATTTTTCGACGATGTGCGCGGGCGACCTTGATCGCTACCTCGATATTCGTATAGTACGTAACTCGCGCGCGAATCTCGATTTCATTTTCTTTGGGCGATCGGTTGCAAATGAAACCTCAGATGGCGAATTAATAGCGATATATTTGCGCGTGCCGAGAGTTTCCGCTGACGATCGCGTAGAATCTTTCGATGTATCAATTTTTTTTATTGGAGAAATGCCGCCACATTTAGAGGTATCTGAGTCACGATGAAAGTGCAGACTTAGCATATATATGAATATCGAACGCCGGAGATGAGTCGATTGAATAATCCACGCAACCAATCCGAGTCGAAGGAATGTCGCCTACTCTCTACGCACGTACTTTATCGGTTGCGTTATGAATCGCAAAAAAAAATAACAACGACAGATAGACACAGACGCGACTAGCGAATAGAGACGCGTACGCGACGCACGTGTATAATATACGTCTGCAGTGTCGAAAGTGCTTCGGACGAGCATTGTTCTCCCGAGTGAGAGTTCGTTTCCTCGCTCGTGATTTTGTCAAAGAAACTCTTGGAGCTTATCGTCGCGGCGCGTCATCCGTGCGAACAGACGCGAACGAGTTCCGAGTCATCATCGATATACATTATAAACATATCCTTTTGCGCTGCGCAGATATCCGGACGCTGGACGAGCATGATATATAGGCCCGAAGCGGCAAACACGACGTATCGGTTATAAGGACCAAATTTCGCAATGGTGGTGGCGGCTGTGGTGGCTGGCGCCATAAAGGCGGCCACGCTACTGCTCGGCGTCGGCAAAATCATCGCCATCGTGCCGATCCTCATCGGCGCCCTGGCCTACTTTCGCTACGACCTCATGGACCCGGAGAATCATCCGCGAGTGCAGCGCGAGCTCAGGCGGGAGTACGACTTCGTCGTCATCGGGGCTGGCTCGGCGGGCAGCGTCATCGCCAATCGGCTCACCGAGAATCCCGCCTGGTCGGTGCTCCTCCTCGAGGCTGGAGGACACGAGACCGAGATCACGGACGTGCCCATCCTCTCCCTGTATCTGCACAAGAGCAAGCTCGATTGGAAGTACAGGACTCAGCCGCAAGACTCGGCCTGCCAGGCCATGATAGACAAGCGCTGCTGCTGGACCAGAGGCAAGGTTCGTACACGCATATGACACTCAAGCTTTTCTAAAGGGCATTCGATGTACCGTAACAGATTATTAACCCATTTTGCATTCGGTACAACATCTAGAGTATTTCTTGCCGGTATAAATGTCCCGACACACGACATTTTTATATCAATAATGTGCAAATAAATTTCTCAATTTTCGCAACTTGAATCGAGTCTTACATTGTCGCTTTTGTTTTAATCGACATCGAGAATATAGTATGCTTTTGTTTCGTGATTCAACCCGATTGATTACATTTTTCTCGATTGCGCTGTGTCGAACATACACCTGTGACCGGGTTCTTTTCAATCTACATCACCTACGATAATCAATCATGATGTAATTACTACAATAATTATTGTATTAAAAAAGTTTTGGGGGTATTAGCCTTGGACAATAGCTTAATATCGTAATAGAAAGTTTCAACCGTTACATAATTTTTTAATAGTATATCAAATTATCAATCATGACCTGCAGCAAGCTCTTAATTTAAATGAAATCAAAAATAATACTAGATCTTGCAATCTAAAAATGTATGAAAATTATCGACATTATTTCTTTTTAATTCAAAGCATATTTTTGTGATTGTATCGAGTAATGAATGATCTAAACATTTTTCATAATTCCTTACCAAGTTCTTGTGGCTTTTTGCACTTTATAAACCATCTTTTACAAAAGAAATCGGCACTGAATACAGTCAGGAGGAGGCGCAAAAAAGTGAAAAAAATGTGAATTCGAAATCTCATACGTTAAATTTGAGCTTTCATACACTACATCTAGCCTGTAAATATCAACACTGAATGAGTATAATACAATACGTACACAAATAGGTATGATTGTGACCGAAAAAATTACCTATGTCCGCCTATGTTAATGATATTTAGCAGCATTTAGCGGACTATTTAACAGTCTATTATGGTAGAACATTTTACAGCTTCTGCTATATTTACTCTCGATATCGATTGTTTTCATTTTGCTGTGTACATGTGCTTTAGCGTTTCACACTTGAATAAGCATATACCGACATATCGATTAGTTTTAATGCACCCATCGAGCATTGATACGTTAATAAACATTTCGTACAACATGCAAATCCAACGATGTTATAATGACTCGGCGCGTAACAACAGGTTCGATAATAATAGCGTTATAAAAGTTTTACAACGCCGAACGTATACGAGTACTTAATATAAACGTTGCTTAAACTTCATCGTAAATAACACTAGACGTCTCATATTTTTTCTCCGTTCGTCATTCGTACAAGTTGCAAGTTCGAGCCCAATATAAAAAAAGAGGCGAAAATGAACACGTCGCAATTGCGAACGCGTACACAATTAGTGATATATAGAGGTGCGTAGTTACAGGCAATGGAAAGCACTGCTTACCGTTCAAGGGGCTTTGAGAATCATTGATTATTAATGAAGCAGAACTGCATGGCATACGTCATCATTGAGGCTCGCGATCGTACTATCAATGCATTTTCACCGTTGCGGCGCCTATTTTCTCTCGCTCGATTTATTATTTGGATAATCATAACACGTGCGGATATGACAAGCAGATAACGGGTAGTTCCGAGAGTTAAGAGCCATTGTTGAAATATCTATAGTGTCGAGTATTAAAAATCAATACTCGCTTATTATTAGCCAAAATTGTGCAATCAGACAAGCACAACATACATACGCACTTAGATTTGCATCTAAATGGAATTGTGTAAATGTTTTTTTTCTTATGAAATTACGATAGAACTCGAGCTCACAGGTAGACCCGGAAGTGTTATACTTTAATGGGCCTATAAATAATAATCACAAATAATAATTCTAATTGATCAATATTTTATAATCGTACGTACTCTCACTTGAAAAAAAGAATTAACGCACTCGAGTGCTACGTCGAGATTATTAAGTAGGCAAACGGACGACCTTGTTGTTTTACGCCGATTTCCTGCAGTGAAAAGTTAATGCATCAATGTGGTTTACGCTCGGAAACCCCAAAGACGACTGACGCAACCTCGCATTTCCTCGAGCATAATGTACGTGCGGCTATATTACATCGTATGCTGAGCAGGAGTCACAAGGGGGTAAACAGCCAAAGGGATCGCATCAGGGTCACCGGTAAACGAAATTACTCGTCGATGCTTCGCTCGGATGCATGTAGACAAATGAGGAAAAAAAACGTCGAGTTTCAAGTACGCGACAAGCCAAGAATACATACGCGCGGAATTGGGTCGCAGTGAAAGTGAATTTTGCACGATCCTGCAAGCGAGGGTAAATCGAATACGCGGCGCAGTACAATCGTACGGCTATTCTCATTTTCTCGGGTATTTGGGAAGTCGTTTGATGATCTCTTCTGAGGGATAATCCTGCATTTTTCTGCTTGGACAGTTTTTAATACCAAGCAGATGAGACACGAGCGTGGGCGTGTGCGTAAGCGCAAAAATCCGGTAGGCGCGTTGTGTACCTTATGTAAACGACAAGTGCGCATGAGAGCAAGGATGACAGTACACACGTTCACAGCGTCAGGTGTTAATGCGTATTGAACGGCTTCTTTGCACGAAATTCTTACGAAATTCAGTCGTGTCGTCTTTTTTGATAAGATGAGACTATTTTCTCATTCACGCACACATTTGTTATTTTCTACCCTCAAACAACGAAATACAACCAATCTATATGACCCATTTTGACGAATCAGAATTTTTTTCGAGACGTTTTATACTAAATTTAAATATTTATCACCATCTGAACGTATGAAATGTTTGTCTCGAATTAATTATAAGTTTATTAAAACAAATTAAAATTCTCTCAGCCACAGACTCTATATTTAAAGCATCTCGTTCTATTTCAAGATATCAATGTAATATATTTTTCGTAAGCTAAATAAACACTTAGACTACATTGAAGCAGGGTTTATACATGCGATTTTTACGGATGGAATATATCGGCGTGCGTTCGCAACAACGAAAATTAGCCAAGGCCAAACTTTCGCTCTATGCGCACTCGTGTGCCTGCGCGCATATTACAAATCTTATAAGTTTCGATATAAAAACTCGTATTTGCAGAAGGCTGCACAATCGCGATAACCTTGCTCGCTATACATTTCACATAGAGCCGCGGAAATATTTGGATTTTTATTTCCAAAAAATGAAGAAACCAAACGCAAACAACGGCCCAAGTGACCAGCACAATACGGCCACACACGCGCGCGTATGTAACAGCTATTTTTTAGAAAGTATCAAAATAATCCGCTCGTGGCTTATAAAAGTTGACACACATCCCCACACTTATTGCGCTCGCAGCACAAGTGTATTTTCCCTCTCCTCGTGGGTCGTGCATGAAGTCTATTTGAAAGCGCGATTTCGTGCGCGGTCAAAAAAAAGCGCAATTGTTGGCTAACTCCTACTTATGGCTCTAGTTTGAAAGAGTAAACGTGTGCGCAACTAATGCAGTATTTTCACTGGCGGGCCGACGCGTTTCAATGCGCGATAGCGATATAATTGATGATCGCACATACGTATTTAAGAACTCGCGCCGGGGCTAATATTTTTTGCCAGGAAGTGTATCTATCGTATGCGCAATATTCATTCGTCTCTTTCAAATGAACAAGTTGAGTTTTAGCCATCGTTACGAGACAGAAAAGATTTAATCGATAATTTTGTCCTTCAGGTAATTGGAGGCTCGAGCGTTCTGAACACGATGCTGTACATACGCGGCAACCGACGTGACTTCGACCAATGGGAGAGCTTCGGCAACCCCGGCTGGGGCTACGATGACCTACTCCATTACTTCAAGAAATCCGAGGATCAAAGAAATCCCTACCTGGCGAGGGATAATGTCTACCATAACACTGGTATGTTGAATTTCATATATTTTTTTATAAGTTAACGTAAACGGCTTGCGTATTTTTCCATTAGCAAAATCGATCTCACTTTGCTCGATCGTCGCCTCTACTTATTAGAAGTAAAAAAATCGCTAGATTGTCTATATGGTAATGAATTGGAAATACTATTCCTATTGTATCTTCGAACTAACCGCTTGAACCGCATAAAAATATTATAAATGGTGATAAAGAAGCCGAGCTCGTGCGTAGATGGTATACGCATGTATTTCATTGCGTCAATGCATAGTTCGCCACTTGTATACAAGTCCACGCAGTTACTTTCGAAGATTTACATACAGAAGGGAAAAAATGCTTGTCTCGCCTCGAAGCTTTATTATTGCACAAACCATCTGCTTAATAGAGATTTAGCTGACATAGTTGGCATTTGAATTGCTAAATATTATACACGCATTATCGATTTCATAGATACTATTTTTAGCGCAACGAACCTCGGGTTAATAAATTATCGGAACAATGTGGGTCGGGAACGGATGCGACTGTTTCGACGCGATGTTTTGAAGAGATAATCTGCTAAGCTATCGGAATTTAAAAAAAAAAGAGTAAAATACAATAAAACAGTGCAAAGGCATGTTTTTTAAGCTATGTAATATTAAGTATGTGTCGAGAAATGATCGATTGAAAAATATCGTAAATCGTGTTACGAGCTACGCTACAGATGATCGAGTCACGACATTCTATGTATTCTACATTTATTTCGCTAAAGGACTTGTAGAGAATAAAAAAAGCAAACACTCATCGCGCAAACACAGCTACGGAGCTTTTATAATAAGTCAACAAAAAGACACTCTTGTACCATTTCCGATTAAATGTATGCAACATTTATTTACAGGCTCGATGATAATCGATATTATGTAAATGTTCGTATCGCGCGCACTGTTTCATGAGCGATTTAATAATTGTAGTACTTTATACGACTAGTACGACTCGCAATCGATTGAAATATTATTGGTTAGCGAAATAATATCATAAAAATCGATAAAAATGTAGCATGTAAATTGGCGTAGCCGCAAACTTATATCCGCGCGTTAGAAATGAAAATCATATTTTCTCAAGACGATCGTGCAGGGTGCGAGTCCAACACACACAGTGATAATCGAGTTTCGAGCTCGGCATTCGTCGGCGAGTTATTGAAAAATATAAAACTCGATATATATCCTTTCTCTCTCTCTCTCTCGGCTCCGTGGAGCGCGAAAAATGTTCGTTAGTCAAAAGCGAGGACTCGCTCGCACACACACATAGTATATATATAGCTGCACACAAGTCCACAGCTGCGTTGCTGGCATTGACGCAATAATTAAGGACGCAGTATATTCACGCGAAAAAAAAATAAGCAGGGAAAGAGCAATCCCGTGGACTCGTTCACTAGGTCGAGTTACGTAAGAGTCTGGCGAAAAACAAAATCAAATGCCAGGCTACCGGACCGGTTCGCGATCGAGCGCGAATATTGCTCCACGCCGGTGCGCGCCATTAAATAGCTTCTGCGCGCGGCGAGCATGTATATACGTAGTGGCTCACGTGACTCCGCGCACGCACTACTGTACTGCCACGCGGTTTATCCGTCTACTGTATGTAGGTTCGCGCTTCACACTTGAAAACCGACGCATTTGCGGCATTGTAAAAGAGATTGTCAGGCGCGCTAGAGGCTTTTTTACTTTCTTCATTACTGCAGTGCACTTAATCTGCTGTAATCGAACGAGTACACTTATGCATTGCGATTGACCAACACTTACGGCCATTGTATTGAGAGAAAGAAGTCATCGTCACTTTATTATAGCGATGGCATTCATAATGAGGCAGATTTCACAATATCGACGTACACAATGACGTTAGAGTACTTGTAATAATTTTTTTAAAAACCCTTGTGACAAAGTTTATGCGTTATTTGTCAGAGTAACTCACGAGCACTAATCAATTCACAGGTGGTTACTTGACGGTCCAGGACTCACCCTACAACACGCCGCTGGGCATAGCCTTCCTCCAGGCGGGCCAGGAGATGGGCTACGACATAGTCGACGTGAACGGGCGCCAACAGACCGGATTCGCCCTCTATCAGTTCACGATGCGCAGGGGCACGCGCTGCAGCACGGCCAAAGCCTTCATCAGGCCGATCAGTCTGCGGCCCAACTTTCATCTGTCGCTCTGGAGTCACGTGACGAGGGTGCTCATCGACCCGACCAGCCACAAGGCTTACGGGGTCGAGTTCATCCGCGACGGCAAGCTCCAAGCGGTCTACGCGCGAAAAGAGGTCATCCTCTCGGGCGGCGCTATCAATTCGCCGCAGTTGCTCATGCTGTCGGGCGTCGGGCCGCGACAGAATCTCCAAGAGGTTGGGGTGCCTGTCATCTACGATTCACCCGGTGTAGGCGGCAATCTGCAGGATCACATCGCCGTCGGTGGATTGGCTTTCTTGATCGATTATCCTGTTAGTTTGGTGATGAATCGATTGGTCAACTTGAACTCGGCTCTGAGGTAATTTCTACTTTATTTCTGCGCAATCCTAGCGTGAGAATTAAAACTTGAAAGGAAATTTTTTCTCTTTCCGATCTCATTTCTGCTCGATAATAACTTTTTTTTGTTTCTTCGCAATGCGAGCAGTATATTTCGGTTGGTGAATGAAAAAATTCGATTAATTTTTTCGCGGCATGAAACTCGATTGATTACGACAGCATCGATGTATAATCATATTATTTTACGATCCTCAGGTATGCCATAACCGAAGATGGACCGCTGACTTCGAGCGTAGGCTTGGAAGCCGTGGGATTCATCAAGACTAAGTATGCCAATCAGACGGACGACTGGCCGGACATCGAGTTCATGATCACGAGCTCGTCAACCAACTCGGACGGCGGCACCCAAGTCAAGACTGCTCACGGCTTGACCGACGAATTTTATAACTACATGTTCAGCGAGATCAACAATCGCGACGTGTTCGGAGTATTTCCCATGATGCTCAGACCCAAATCACGCGGCTTCCTCAAGCTGAGATCGAAAAATCCTTTGGACTATCCACTGATGTACCACAACTATCTGACTCATCCGGACGACGTGGACGTTCTCAGGGAGGGTGTCAAGGCGGCCATAGCTTTCGGCGAGACGCCCACGATGAAGCGCTTCGGGGCTCGTTTCCACAGCAAAAAGCTGCCCAATTGCCGGCATCTGCCTCACTTCACCGACGAGTACTGGAACTGCGTCATCCGACAGTACACCATGACGATTTACCACATGAGCGGCACAGCCAAGATGGGTCCGTCTTGGGACCGAGAGGCAGTCGTCGATCCTCAACTACGAGTTTACGGCGTCAAAGGCTTGAGAGTCATAGACGCCTCGATCATGCCTACCATCACTAATGGCAATATCAATGCTCCTGTGATTGCGATTGCCGAAAAAGGCGCGGACATGATCAAGGAATACTGGTTGAAAAATACTAAAAGGAGTAATAGAGTTTATAGAAGTGCTAACTGGACTAGTAGTGCGGCGTGAACCTCTTTTTTATTCTGTTTAAATGGAACTTTATCAAATAGTTTGGGTGATGTGTATTAGATGAATGAAAGTTAATTTATAACTTAAGTGTTACTTTGTCTGAATTTTGTTGCATAATCGAATTTTATGCTATAGATTTTCCGAATAATTTTTTAATTATTCAGAATAATGTCTAGCATAAACGAATGTCTTTGTGCGAATGAAGCAAAAATCCAATGGGTTTTTCTTTTATACATAGACGAATGAATTAATTTTTCATTTAAGATCTAATAGCAGCCAGATATGAGAGTTGATTTTTGCAATAATGTCCTTGCAGAAGTATCTGCCTTTCATTTTTCCCTGACGATGCATTCGCGCCAAGAAATGTGTGATGTGTATCATAGTTGAATTTTTTGAAGTGTACATGTGGAGTTTTTATAGTCATTTTTTAGATATATATTTAGTAGTTTTTATGCGTTTACTAGTTAAAATGTAATATTTCAATGGTGCCATTTTTGTATAGATTTGCGTATGAGATTCATGCAATGAGAATACGAAAAATGTTGTATAAAATAAAATAATAGGTAATGGTTTCTTTTAGGAAAAAGAAGAGGAAAAAAGTATTTTAGATGGATTATAAATGATATGTAAAGCATGTTCTTTCGACAAGTTACTTTTAACAAGTGTAATGATTATAATAGAATTCCATGCTGCAACTATGATTTTAAATTATTTACGAGGTTGTAAAAAATGTAAAAATATCTTTATTGTTCCTTTTGTAGTTAATTGTCGATGCAATTGATTTACAATCAAATCGATTAAATTAAATGTGTCCAAATAAATAAAACACCGTTACTCATTTGACAACCCATAACAAAATAAAATTGTTTAGAAGTATATTAAAATATTTCGTTAAAACTTCATCGTGATGCAAATGATAAAAGACAAAACCAATTCTACATTCGTTTATCGGAACTATCGTTTTTCGATTTCGTGCAACGAATCAGCACGACTTTTCCATCAGCAAACGATAGTCAGAGCACAAGTGCTTTTCATCGCGATATCTCGTTTTTATAATATTTAGCGTAATAAGAAAAAAGGCGCAGTGCGCCGAGAATATCGCGCCAAACACACGCATAGACTGCACCGTCGCACTCGCAAATGAAAGTCTATTTCGCCTGTGTCCAGCAGAGAGAGAGATACGTTGCACAACATTGTCAAGATCGCCGCGTTGCAGCTGTTAAACGGCCCACCGCAAGAGCACATACACGTACACGCTCATGAGAGTTACGGCGTGCGTGCGAAATCACTGTATCAAGACTTTTAGCGAGATGAAACGCGTTTTTTCTAAGAAAGCACACGTTACTCGGCTTGGGAGGAAAGAGGACAGAAAGAGAAAAAAATTTGCATGCATAAAAAAGTGAAAATACACCTCAATCGACCATTTCAACTGACGTTTGTGGGTTTCTCATTAACTTTTTGGTCATTACGACGTGCCGTTTAAATGTTAGATGAGCTAAAAGCGTAGTGTCTTTCAATCCTTGGGGTTGATGATTTTTAAACGACTTTATTTTTCATCAACTACATTTTGTCTTTAGTAAATTGTATATGTAGGTCGGTAATACATAAGTCAATTGAACGATGACATCAGAATCACTGGAAGTTTACACATATTCGACGACAAATTTATATGATCTTTTGCGTATTGCACGAATTTTAATATTTGCACGAAAATTGGAGAAAGTTAACATCGCTGGATTATGCTTCGTTTTTTCGCAATTCAATCCATTAATTTATAAAGTAAAATTATTCTCATATATATTTTTTACTTTCTTCGAGCGTGTTTTTATTCAAAAATAAGATATAAAATATTTTTAGGCAATTTCATGTGAAAAATAAGCCGTTATTATTCCTTTAAAGAAACAATGCGGCCAGCATAAAAAATAGATTAAGCCGTCAAGTTCCTTGGGCACGTGCATATTGTATTTGTAATCACAAACCGAGAAAGTGTCCTCTCAGAGCTGTAAAACCAAATGTCATAATAAAACACGGAAATGAGTTGTTTGGCCGAGACTACTTTACATGTGACGTATGATGCATAAAGGTAACGCGCTAGAAACCGGAAAAACACTTCAATGCTATCGGTTGAGTGAGAATATAAGACAGTATCACAGTATCACTAGCCCCAAGATAGAGAATTTTTTGAGTACTTCATACTCATCCAATATTTAATTCACAGTATTTTTTGTTTGAGTCATTACTCATTTCAAACTATCTTACCAACCGACGTTTTGAGTAAACTTCAAAGCTGTTCTTATCGCGTTGTTTTGCTCTAGAATAAGATTACTTACTTAAACATAAAAGATTTAGTAAGAATAAATATGATAATTATCTATGAATAAACTCAAAAATTTTCAAGAAAATAAACAAATAGTATACTTTATACATATTTGGCATTAATGTCACACATCTTACGACATTTGATTATTTTGTGATGATAACCAACATTTAGATAATTTATTATTAATTTTTACATAAGTTAAAGCGCCTTCTATCAGCAAAAATTACAATTTCTGACGAACATTTGTTCGATCGGTAAGTACTGAAATCGGTAAGAGCAAGAAATCACCGGTTGTCGGCATACGTGAGTTCTTTTTTATTTGTGAAAGTATGTACAGGTATATTTTTTTCAGAATACCACATGATTATATCAGTTATATGATTTATTTTTATTAATAATTATGTTTATAAATGAAAGATAAATTGGCGATTTTCCAAATTATTTTATTATGTTGATTTGATAATGAAATCAAAAATATTAATTGAAACTTTCCCAATAATAATAGTTCGTCAAATTTCTGAATGAGTTATAGAGTTGAACGTTTTAAGCGTACAAATGAAGAGAAATATTTCGTACTTGGTTTTAAGTTGCGAATCATGTGCCAATGTATTTAAAGTAACCCTATAGTTACAATCAGGCTCATCAAGCTATGCGGATGCATTCCAAAGCGTAACACTCACGCGGTATGTGTGCTTATTCTTGCGTTGACTTGCACTGAATAACTTTCTTTAGTGAGTAATGCTTAGTCTATACTGTGAATCAATTTTGCTTATTAGCAAGCGGAAGGTAATGTGAGTTCATTTTTGTCGTGTGTAAAATTATTATATGTATGGTTTTTGGAATATTTTTTCAATATTTCATAGTAATAATAACAAGCAGCCACTAAATAATCAAACAGAAAAGTAAGTTTTATTTTAGGATTTAAATTGTTTTTAATCGTATGGAAAAATAAATTCATTTGCTGACAGAATCATCCAATAGAAGTAAATTTTCTTGATACCTCAACCGGAAGTAACATTGTCGGCCCTACGGTCAAAATTCAAAATTGTATAAGCGGTTGGAGGACTCCAGAAAATTAGTATACGCATTATAGTAATCTGAGACCAGATCTATGACTGATAAACTGTTGCAAGAAAAAAATGTCAATGACGGTGAATCTGTTCATTAGAGCTGACCTGTATTGAAATCGACATTTTTTCAATGAAATGATCCCGAATATCCGAGTCAAAGTTATTTTGGCTGTTATTGTTATTACATTAACTTGACCGTGATATAATGAAAAAATAAGAAACAAAACCACAAGTGATAAAGCCAGTCCTTCTTGATTGTACAGCCAGAAAGCGACCGCACAAGTTGATCCAAATGATGAGACTCGAACTTTCACTCGGAACACGCCAGAGGAAGTCTGGCTCGGCTCGACACTATTTCGATCGACCTTCGATTTTGCACGTAGACCTCGCGAAAGCTCATAGATAAATAAGCTTTCTGTTATATTATTACACGTGTGATCGCTGTATTACGATCAATACTCAGGGTCACCGAGGCGTAAAGTTTACGGTGAAAAAAATAAAACGTTAAGGAGATAATTGCTATGGCTGGCGGCTATCACGAATCTGAGCTGTTGCCCCCACGTCTACCCTTGAACGAAAGTGAAAATCTATTTGATGCGGTATGTTTTGATTTTAAGATTGCGAGGCGAGAACGGATATCATGTTGTCTATTTTTCAGGATGCATAATCCAACTGTTACCGCATACTATTCGCTGCCGGGTTTAGACCACGGACCACTTAAACATGTTTTGACCTAATTGTTCAGCGTATATTACGATTGACTGTCAAGTTTGCTTACTCAATAAAGCAGCTGAGAGTGTCAAAAGTCATAATTCTTTTGAAAAGTTTATAAATATAAAAAATTGCCTTGAAGCCCTTCTTCTTTGAGTCTTTGTTCAGACATTGTCTCTGCTTTATTCGCCGAGAAAGTGTGCTAAACAACACTTCGTACGCGACGTGTTTACGTAATTAAAGTGCGGTTTAAAGCTCAGGACAGTCTCAAAAAGTTTATTCTTCAAGATAAGCATGAGATAAAATAAGCTTGAAGTTTTACTCAATTTTTATGCAGTTTGATTTTACGCCAGAGGAAAAAACAAAATGAAAATTTTGTACGGGTTGCTTTATATTTTTGCATCTATTTAGAATAAGTTTTATGGAAGTTTAAAGTAGAATAATGTTAAAAAAAATATAGTTTGTACAAAATAAAACCTATTCACTAGCTAATTTAATAAAAAAAGTTGAAAAATATGTTCTTCAGTGTGTTTCATTTGTCAGACCATAGACAAAATTGTTGCGACGAATGTCTGTGACATTTTCCATACAACGTAACCTTTTCCGGGTTTACATTATATTTCTATTTTTTGTTTCGTAATTCACTATTACTGCTATTATTGTTTACATGCGTACACACATGCTATTATTTTTTTACATGAATACTTACTATCTAAATATTCATAACGAATGCTAAATGCTTCACTAATTTTGCAATCTAATAGTACAGCTGGATCCACGATTGCTTTATGGTAAATCAGAGCATAACCAAATGCGAAACAGTTCAAATTCACGTATCTTGAAAATCGTTCATTGAATGTAACAACCATTAAACTATTCCACTTTATGCACTCACATAGTTTCTAAAGTAGGTGGAGCCAGTCCGGAGCTAATGGTTCATTATCCTTGCGACTGTATTATACGTCCAAACCGATAAGATTTAAATATAATATGTGACAAATCGTTTTGCACGAGCTTCGGGCTAGTGTTCACTCGGCCATTGGAGAAAATCCGACTTTCACTGATTGGCCCGTGTGAGTTTTACTATTATGCTCTTGTGTATCTATATTATGAACAACGAGATGTTATTGTGCATTTTTACAAAAATTTCCTAGCAAATTTAGACTTGAAAGTTCGATAGCACTGCAGATCTAATGCAACCTTGAATTAGCTTGCATTTATTATACCATCGACCTTGGAAAATATAGGAATACCTGTCTAACACTATGTATCAAATTAACTAGTTTATAATCCTATAAGAATAGTGTATTTTACCCCTAGGCAGTGAAAAACTGAAAAGTCTCAAAGAACGTGGAATGGTACTCTGAGACTTTCTTTTTACACTACATAGGCAAATAAACTTTTTTGTGAATCTCTCAACCTAAAGTAATATTTTGATTTCGCTCAGTGAGAGTATACAATATTACTTTAGATTGGGATAGCACTAAAAATAAATTAATATACTTATTATAGCCAACTTTACGACAATTGGCGAGGAAACAATTGGATGGTTTGGAATAATTAAATAATCTTTAAAACGGAATTCATTTGTGTGTTGCGTGTACGGAAAATATTTTGCAGCAAGATTTAAAAGTAGTAGCAACGAAAAGGAAATTATTTTGATTGATGTGTAAACACTATGAAAGATCCATAACTATTACAATAAATTAATTGACACGTCAAAGTAAAAAAAACTTTGCACGTTTTTTACTTTCCTATTGCAGAAAGAATCATATAGGAATATATTAATGCTTTTATGTAAGATTGAAAGAAAGTACATAGGCAATAATAGTAAATGTCTGCTTTCAATCATGCGGATTCGTATTACAAATATGCTGAGTTTTATGATTCTGGCACAGGTCAAAGGTAATTTTCTTGAAATGAAGTAATATGGATTTATCCGAAAGTCTAGTTGCCGAAATTTAGTGAAAGTACAATGTCCCCTGAAGGCGAATTGGTTTCAAAATAAATTGAATTGATATACGCATTCGAAAGATATTAGTAACTTCTAGATTTACTTATACTTGGGATTATATCAATTATTAAATAGCCATACAAAAGACATTGACATCTAATAAAATCTAGTAGTCATTCTATTTAAAAGGATTTCGAGGTCAAAATCCATTTAAATAGATGACAACGATCCAGAGACACGGGATCACGTTGAAATGAGTTGTAGACTAATTGGCGTTTAGGCAAATTAGGCGTGTTACATGAGAGCCGAATTATATAACATTTATGAATGATTCCGAAAGCAGGTATAAATAAGAGAATCGAGTATGAAAACAAAAGAAATTGCTAAATTTGCTCCTCGGCATGCCTATTGCTCGCCACGAAGTTGGCCGCGAAAGGATGAAGGAGGTGTCTGGCTAAGTCGACTTGGCGGGGGCCTCTCAACCGGTGGTAGATCGTCGCTCGGCATATACTGCTCGGGGCCTACTCGGCGCAACTTTTCACTCATGCAATTGAGCGCGGGGGTCCCCTCTAACGTATGTGTGGTATCAGTCAGTGTGTAGAATCTCGCGAGCTGGTGAGCTGCTGCTGCTGCTGCGCGCGCCTTCGCGCTCGTTTCGCGTCTGTATACAACACGAACGCTGTATAGTAGTGGTAATAGTAGTAGTGGTGTATACGTTACGCTCCGTGTGATTTGCGCGTTTCGCCGGCGAGGCATTTTTCTCTCTCTCTCTTTGCGAAAAGGAGTTTCACTGTAAGGTGTACAAACACATACGGCAGTGCTGCTCTGCGCAGGATGTCGCGCGTAAGATTACGACGTGACGACGGATGAGCCATAGTGGCTCGTGTGACTAGATTTTGTAATTGGCCTTGTTAACGCTGCGAAGCGACTTTTCCGATTGACTCTTGGAAAATTAGTGTAGCGAAAGTAAGTGAAAAAGTACATCATTCTGTACAAACTTTATGGTGAATCTTATCAAACTCAGCGATTCTTGTTTCGTGATAAATTTAACCGAATGTTTTACATGACAATTTTTCATTTGTGCTTTAACATTTACGAGAATACTTCAGTCGTTACATTGTATGGATTTTTATCAAACGTTTTTTGTAAAATATTGTGTTTTTTTTTAAAGAATACCACGTTCGTTTCACGTTGTTTGTTGATGAAACAGGTTTTAATCCTAACTTTTCATTGCCAAGAACTTTCCTTTTTACTCTTTTGGTGTTAATAAGGAATTTAATTTTGCAAGTTTTGTCAATACTCTTTCATTTGACTCATACATTCACTTTGCATGAAAGTTAAATTTTACAGTGTTTGATTTTGGCTTGTAAACTTGAAAAAGATCAAATGAATAGCTATGATTTTTATAACGCCACGGACCACAAGTTTAACTTTTACCAAGGAAAAATGGGTGAATTGTTTATATTTTTAAAAAGATACGTTCGGTATCAAACAGATGTATGAAATATGTGCACAGTCGGTGAAGCACTGTAAATATGCGTTTTCTTAACTTCTCAAAGAATGAGCATGAGTTTTTCTCAAAATTTCAAGGATTATCCTAAATTTGTCACAAAATAAATCCTCATGCAGTATATATACAGTGCATTTTAAATTTTTCCAAAGAATAACTTCTTTTTTCTTTTTTAATGTGCGCTTATGTGAAAGTTTATCAAAACATGTATTTGAAGCACGTGATGATGAAGTTTACGCGTGTGTGTGAGTGAGTGTGTGTATATAATTTAACGCCACTTTCATCATTTTCATTTTGCAGACGTGACAAATTTAATTTGCATTTATTATTCTTTTACAGTATTTTTGTATGATAAAGCATTGACATTGGTGGCAAATTAGAAAGATATAATAAAAAAAAACCGATCTCAATTGTAATGCAAAGAAATTGATTCTTCCAATAAAGAATCGCAAATCGTATTAAGTTAATGGTGTCAAAGTTAACGCGAGGAAGAAAGCTGCAAGTTAATTACCGGACACATTAGATCGTAATATTGACATCCTTCGCATTTTAAAGGTTACGGCACATAATAAGCTATTTAAAATGTCCTAAAGTTATGATTATGGCGTTTGACAGGTTACACGTGTTTTAAGAATGGAGAGAAAGCTGTAATAAGCTGCTATTAACACTTTATATTTATCATGCACTTCTTGGCTCAGCTGGTCACACCCTCCGAAAAAAACTATCCACATTCTTTGTATGGTGCCGTCATTTCTTAAACAGACTCACGATAAGGATCTGGCCGGGATTGTGCAATCGACAGATCCGCGCGCACAAAAAAAGCCTATTTTTCATCTTCGTCTCTCTTTGCAGGAACAGAAATTTTGGGGCCACAGTGTCAACAAGTTTTTCGCATGTATGAGTCTCGAAACTCGGCTCAGGCGTAGTGTACGTGCGTCGACGCTCGGGGAAAGCAGAAGCAGAAGCAACAGCAGCATCGGCAAAAATGAGCATCGGACTGCCAGCAACTTTCGTCGGATGGAGCCTTATACCGCTTCTCGGCGTTGGCTTCACCATGTTACGCTATAATAGCGTTGATCCTGAGAATCACCCGACGAACCAGCAACAGGTTTGTCATTTTTATCCTCTTTTTTGGAATTTCTGAAGATTTCGAACAGTGAAGATCAAAAGAAAGCACGATTTCGCGAGAGCGAAACGTAAAATGCTATTGAGTTAAACATTCATACGTGGATTTTTTATGCAACGTTCGAGAAAGTAAGACATTTTTGTAATAACATTTTGCATTTATATCTACGTATCTATTTTAGAGACTCACTTTTGCTAAAAAAAATACCGATGAGAGTAAAAAAAAAACAATGTTCTGAAATAAAAACTCGTTACAGTTGCTGTCAACGTACGACTTTATCGTGGTCGGGGGTGGATCAGCAGGAGCAGTGCTCGCCTCGCGCCTCTCCGAGATCCCCGACTGGAAGATCTTGCTGATAGAGGCCGGAGGCGACGAGAACGAGGTGTCGGACGTGCCGTCCCTGACGGGCTACATGCAGCTGTCCGAGTTCGACTGGCAATACAAGACGGCGCCGCCGACGAATTCGGCCTATTGTCTGGCTATGCTCGGCGACCGATGCAACTGGCCCCGCGGCAAGGTACTCGGTGGCTCGAGCGTGCTCAACGCCATGATATACGTCAGAGGTAACAGGTAAGAACTCGTGCGCAGTGACAAAAACACATACTACATATATTACGATCTGCCAGCGAGCTCCCACGGGTTTTACTCTCCGGGGCTAATCCGATATGCGGCTGCTGCTGGCCTATACGGATTGATCGCGTCTGAAATTTATCGGTATTATGTATGCGCAGAAACGAGAAAAGGAAGTGATGCTTATCCTCCTTTCGATGGACACATTGAGTTACGCGATGTTGCTGCCGCACTAGCGCTAGTCCATACTTGCGTAAGCGCATGCATGTGTGCGTGTGTGTATACTTTTAAGTGGCAATCAATAATGGATGAAAATTATCTTAAGTGTGTGGCAGAAATTTTCTTGTGCTATAGTTGGTATATTGCCGAGACTTTTATTACGTGGACTCGCAATCAAGGGGATCAAAATTATCGGTCATTTGAAATGATTCTACAGCCGGCGGGAATTATCAAGTTCAAGACGTGTTATTTTCAATGATGTTAATTTCTAATCATGTCCTGTACGAGCTCTGTATCGAGATTTGTACTAGAATAGCTACGGGAGTCTATTAAGAAATATTTCTACCACAAATCGATGATTTGTGATTTAACTTTTTCATGTTGGCATTTTTCTAGTTGTTTTTTTTTAACTTACCATAAGTTCTATTTTAGAGCATCCTCTCAACTATATAGAGCATTGTTAAAAACGTACCTGAAACAGAAAAAAAATTTTTTTAGATTTTACACAAAAATGTATGAAATTGAAATTGAAACAATTTTTTACAGGCGAGACTACGACAATTGGGCTGATTTGGGCAATCCAGGCTGGAGCTACGAGGATATATTGCCATACTTTCTCAAATCGGAGGACAATCGTAATCCCTATTTGGCTCGCACGGCTTATCACGCGACCGGCGGCTATCTGACAGTGCAAGAAACTCCATGGCGCACGCCTCTATCGATTGCCTTTCTACAAGCAGGTGCCGAGCTCGGCTACACGAACCAGGACATTAACGGGGCTAATCAAACTGGTTTCATGATAACGCAGGCCACCATACGACGCGGCAGTCGCTGCTCCACGGCCAAAGCCTTCTTGCGGCCGGTTCGCAATCGGCCTAATCTGCATATAGCCATGAACGCGCAGGCGCTGCGCGTCACTTTCAACGAGAACAAGAGAGCCACGGGAGTGGAATTTCTGCGCGACAATCGCAAGCAGCACGTGCGAGTTCGCCGCGAGGTGATCATGTCCGCGGGCGCCATCGGATCCCCTCAACTGCTCATGCTGTCGGGCATTGGGCCCCGAGAGCATCTCCAGGAATTCGGCATCGACGTGCTCGCGGATCTGCCCGTGGGTGAGCATCTGCAGGATCACGTGGGCCTGGGTGGACTGACGTTCCTCGTCAACGAGCCCATTACTTTCAAGAAGGATCGCTTCCAGACGCCCTCCGTCATGCTCGAGTACGTGCTAAACGAGCGCGGCCCTATGACGACTCAAGGCGTCGAAGGTGTAGCTTTCGTCAATTCTCGCTACGCCGATCCTAGCGGCGACTTTCCCGATGTGCAGTTTCATTTCGCGCCCAGCTCCATCAGCTCCGACGGCGGCGATCAAATACGAAAAATCACTGGCCTCCGCGACAGCGTCTACAATACCATGTACAAGCCCATACAGAAGGCCGAGGCTTGGTCGATACTGCCTCTTCTGCTGCGACCAAAGAGTTCAGGTTGGATCAAGCTCAAGAGCCGAAATCCTTTGGTCTACCCCGAGATAGTGCCAAACTATTTCACCCACAAAGAAGATATGGACATCTTGGTCGATGCGATACGCATCGCTATGCAAGTATCGAACTCGTCGGCTTTCCAGAGGTTCGGCTCGAGGCCGCTGACCATCAAAATGCCCGGATGTCAAAAGCACCCGTTCGACACTTACGAGTACTGGGAGTGCGCCATCAGGCACTTCACGTTTACCATTTATCATCCGACCGGGACTTGCAAGATGGGCCCGAGAACGGATCCGGGTGCCGTCGTCGACGCGAGACTGCGAGTTTACGGCGTCAAGGGCCTGAGAGTCATAGACGCCTCGATTATGCCCGAAATAGTCAGTGGAAATCCTAATGCGCCCGTCATAATGATAGCCGAAAAAGCTAGTGATATGATCAAGGAAGACTGGAAAATGCTTCGGCGAGAAGCCAGCAGATAGCCAAACCGAGTGATTCTTTGTGGCGTAGCAATGAACTGAATGTGAACAAATTGATAAACGTGCATAAATTGTCCGTCCTGACAATGTAAATCATGTTTAATACGCTATTATTAAATATTGTGAGATGCAGATATTAATTTAATTTTGGTAAATTAATACTGAAGAATACAAGTAGATTCTTTATTTTTATGTAAACGATGACTCAACTGATTACTTTCGTTTCAGTTTTATAGCTTAAACTTTATAATTTGTACAGATAACGGAATCAATTGTTTTATATTTTAATTTTTGAACGAAAAACCAAAATAACTATGTAAGCAGAAAAGTCATTGACTAATTAAGTCATGAAGTTTTTTGTATTATTGTCAATTATATTACTGATACTTGAAGGGTAAAATTTACGTGAATAAATACAAAAAAAAACATTTTTCATAGGCATAACTAATATGAAAGGATTTCAAGCGTTAAGCATAGTGAGCATTACTGTATTAACAAGATTGCCATAAATACTCGCATGTACAAATACTAAGAGAAAGTCGAAAAAAAAATGAAATTCTATGTCATTTGCATAGTAAATTCGAACTTAGTTTTTACGATCATGCATAAAAGTTTAGCAAAATGAAAGAATAATTTAAGATGTCTCAGTATATTATAATAGATTTTGTTTTTCACTATTGTTTGTTAAAGATGTAAATTGTATGAAGCAGCTTGTATAGATTTTTTATTTTATAAAATAAAGTTTGTAAATATGTGGAAATTTTTTTTAACGCTATAAAATGAATACATTTATAAACAATTTTTGATAGTAAGTTTACAGAAATATTACCATAATCTAAAAAGCATAATTATGAAAATCGACTAAAAAGCGATTGCAAACCATCTATGTCATTTATAATTTTTATTTCGTTAAGAAAGAATTATGTACGCTGATTTTTGATTCACAAAGAGTTGTTAAAATTATAAAATAGTACTGAATTTGGTAATATTCTTGGGTCCTTTTCAATTTTTGAATTGGATTTATGATATAGTCTAAAAAATTATGCATTATTTTCTTCAACTTTACATTTGAAATTTTTATAATCTAAGCCGAGCAAATATACATAAGTTGAATTCCGTTTTACTAATTCTAAACAATAATGTAATTGAATGTATAAAAATCAAAAATATTTGGTATCTTCGACAGAAGTATACTAAGAAAGCAATCAATTTTTTGGAGTTGAACAAATTAGCTCTTTCAAAACGATTAAAAATAAATAATAAAATATTCAACTCGTTTCTTATTCTTTTATAAGAAAAAAGAGGCAAAAGGGCACCCTGAAAAAAGTTTCAAAGAAGCTTATTTATCTACTCAATATAAAAATACTTTTTGTTTCTTTAAAGAACATAATGAACGAAACGCTTGGGGGCAAAAACCGTTTGCGTTTGATAAAAATGTAGTTCCATAGAAATACTAGCTCATTTCCTCAGGGTTCAATTATGATTTAAATTTTGTATCCTCAATAAAGTCCTAACGCGCAAGAAAAATAATTACAAGGTTTCAATAAATGTAGATATAAGCTTTTCATGGGAGCGCGAGCGCGCGCACATTAGATTGTGTAATAGTAGATACGCTGCAGAAAACAATGGCAGGATCACTTTCACTGCGCACATAGACAGTAGTAAAAAGGCCCCCGCGCGTCGCGGCGAGCGAAATAAGTGCGTCGTTGCAGTGGCTGATTAGGCAAGGATATAAATCATTTCTGAAGTTCAGCGAAGTCTCATTAAAGGCGGCACGCGCCCGTGCCGCTGCACGAAATAAAAACGGCAGCGTAAGTTTACATCGATTAAATGTACTTTTAACGCTCGTGTACATGACACGTGGGTGTGCTGCAGGTCGGCCAAAAATATCATCGCTCGCGCAGGCGCGTGCCCATAAAGGCCAATGGCAGCCTGACAACTTAATAAATTACGACATCGGCCGTTATATAAAAGCACTTACACGCACGCATGTGCGCGTTTAAGCGTATGCGCGCGCGAATAGCGTAAAGCTGCACGTACACACGCGCACACACATGGCACGGCGGCGTGCAGCTCGGCAGAAAGAAAGAAATGTCCAGAAAAGTGAAAATACCGCCGAGCCGAGTGTAGTACGTTACATGGTAGCCGCTGCCGCGAGTGGCTCAGGCAATCTGCTCGCGCGTCTTGCACGTCGGCTTGCTTTCTTGCTATTACTCGACCGTATTCCCATTTTCAAAATGCCAAAACGCGGCGGCCCGCGGCAACAATTTGTAGCTATCGAATGTGCATCGTTTCGTCTCCTGTTTTTAATCAAGTTCGCTCAAATTGTAGTCAGCTGTCAACCTTGACGACAACACTTTGAGAAAAATCTAATGAAACATGTAATTTTGCGCTGTAGAAACTCAATCTTTGGAAATTCTGGAGGCATTATTCCAGGAATAATCGATTTCAAAATTAATACACTGCAAAAGTAAGAAATCCAATTCAATCCAATTAAATCCAACCGTTTGAAGTTTCTCGAACAAGCTTCAAGATTAGAGCATACAGTGATAACGAATAAACAATAATTGCCCGTGACATTGACTTTATCCTACTATGAATGAATGGAGAAATATAGTAGTAGGTAAAACAATCTTTAATGATTTTTATTATCTAGCCTAGACTATTGATTTTCATATGATAAGAGATAATAATCGACATGTTGCATCTAGATCGACGCTCGCACGCATAACAGCTAAAAACTTAAACTTGGTAGCATAAGTTACGGAGCGAAAGGCAGTCGATATTCAGTAAGAAAACTATAAAATCTTTGATACATTATAGATCGACGTAAATCATAATAAAACTGGCCGGGCACGGGACTTTTTTTTCTTTCATTCACGTTTGAATAACATTGAGCTTATGTACGAGCTATTCACTCGCAAGCTATATTTTTCATATTTAAGCATATGAAATTTCTTTGCATTTGCATGTGACTTTATTTAAACCCGAAGCATTCAAATTCAATCCGTTAAACTTTCAAAATCGAGATTTTTTGACATCAATCAGTGGCGCGACAACAATGGCATTGTGAAGCGAAAAAATCAGTGGTACACGCGGTCGTTAATGAACGCAAGAGACATCAATTTCACGCGTGAAGTATATGGAGTGCATGTCCTATGGAAATAGCTTTTTGGTGTCAAAATGATGTCCTTCATTCTTTCTCGTTTTTTTTTCTTTCACAAACCGAAGAGTTTCGTATTTATTCATACAATCTGACAGAAAAACATTTCCGTTGAGAGACTTTGCAATTACTTTTATGATTATCGTGTAACGAAATCTAAAGTAGTTGGAAAATTGTATGAAAAATTGAAATTAATGTAAAAAATAAATAAACATCGTCTAATTTATCATTGCATTGTTTTGCCACTAAATTTTGAAACAAAATGAGCACTTGATTTTCAACAATATGAATGTACAATCTTTAATGACCAGGAAGTAAGCGTCTAGTTGATTGAAAATTTGAAAAATGATCCCAGCTCGTACACAGTAAATATGTAGTGGGAGCGAGAGTGTAATACATCGATGATAAGCAAAAAATGAAATCAATGTAAAAAAGCTATTATATCAGAGTTACGGCGATCAATGAAGTGAACGGTCGAAAGAAAGTGAAGCGAGGAACCATGTTCGCTCGGGTAAGTCTCGAATTCGATTAACGCGAACAATTTAGAGGACTTGCTCAATTTTCGATCGTCACCTGCTCAAGCGCACGTATATACAGCTTTTTGAAAGTGCAATCAGTTCTTTGATAGACGTAAAATCGTGTTGTTCCTTGGAATCGTACACTTGTAAGCTGGAGCTTTAAAAAATCAAAAGAATCATCGATTCGACAGCGAATCGATCAAGGGCTTTTACATATCTGGCATTTTCATATGGAGCGAACAAAAACGTATGCAACTAGTCATAAACAAGATACAACTGAATGGTTAGGGAAAACTTTCTCGAACCGACTATCTAGAGAACAATCCCTCAGCCGACTCGCAGACAAATGGAGACCTCATCTTCCAGAAAGACGACCGAATAAGTCGAGTCGCGCTCGCTATTTACGTACCTACACACGCATCAAAAGGAGCGCAAAAAAAAGGAAAGCTGTCACGTTAGTCCATCAATGCGCGCGCGAGTAATTCTGCTGGAGATCTGAATTCATTTAAGGTGCATATACCGTATAGGATATACATGTAATCCGGAAAATGCTTTCGAGGCATGCGTGAGATCGGCAGCGGCGCGAACTCGTTGGCTCCGGCCCCGTGATCAACTCCGCTTGGGATATAATACGCTGTGTTCTGTGCTCGCGTGAAAAAGATTAGAGCTTGGCAACACATATTATATATATATAATAGCGAGTGCGCAGCGCGTGCCCGAGAAGAAAGTAAAAAGAGAGCATACCTGTTACCATGCGAATTACCCCGGGAGAATTTGCGCTATTGTTGCGTAAAAACGGAAATTATCAAACGCCCATGTACGAACTTTTTTTGTGCGATCGATTTCGATGCATGTGCTGCGCGAGGCAGCCTTCGGGAGACCGTTAGGGGACCTCGGGCGCAACGGAGAGCCCCCCGCAAGCGGCCACCGCCTCTTGGCACACGCTGTCGTTTTCGATGTACCACGCGCGCGACACTTTCGGAGCGCTGCGGATTCGATCCCATTGACGGAAATTAATTTATTATGTGGCACGATTGGGGATTTTGCAATCTTCGTCGTCCAGAGGCATTAAAATTCTATAAATTACTTTCTTTTTTCCAGAGTTATTCCGCGATTTATTGCCCGAGAAATCTGCAGCTGCTGGAATCGATTTTTTCGGGCCGATCTCTTTATAAACTTGGAGCCCGATACTGCAAAATGCCCTGGCTCAATCTCGATATCGATAGCGAGCACAATATGCAACGTACGAGTCAAATTGTAACTATCGCAGAACGAAAAACCTTCCCGAGAGTGAAAGTATCACCACTTGTAAATAAAAGTATGGTTTTTTTTCATTCTCTCGCGTGTCATACACAAAAAAAGACCTAGTCGGAATTATTAATTTCAATTATCTAAAAATGTCTACTTCCTATAGCTAGCTAAATTTCCCACGAAAGCAATTACACAGGATTAAACGCCACTATAAGAGCAACAAAGTAGCGGTCAATCGGAAGTCCGATATTTATATTATATACCTCTTTGAAAAGATAGCGCAGTAATGTATTTGAAGACTGCAAGTGCTAATCCATGGATCACTTTATTTATAATTTCATAAATCGCCTCTTGGCAGATATCTTATTAACAGTCATCAATCATTTCTCGAATGCAATCAAAATTTCCAACACCAACAGAATGAAAATATAGAGGCAAAATAAAAAGGAATTTGTGCCGAGTCACTATATTTACAGCAGGAACGAGCGAGGAAATGCAAAAGTAACAGCTCCGAAGCTATCGTTGTTTGACGTGAACTTGCAGCCGGATAAAAATCTCATGCTTTTGCTGGGTGAATTTTAAATTTTCACGAGCGCATTCACGAGGCTGTTAAGCAACGAAACTCGGACCAGTTGTTGTGAATCCACGGAGGTGCGTGCACGTTTACCATACTCATTGTTCGTATACACGCTAATTGTCAGGAGCTATCACGTGCCTAGCGTATGTATCCGTAATACTTAAGCGATGTTTATTCGCAATGAAATTATCACGGAGCAAATGTACTCGAGTCTGTTGTAAGGTAGCGTATAAACTCGAGCGACTCGACGACAGTCCGTTTTGAATATTCAACTCACGTAGGCCCAAGAGAGAAAGACAAAAATTTTTGTCGCGTCGCGCGGCGCATGCAAATACAGCGTATAATACAGCACACGCGAAGGCACTCATTGCGCTAAATATCGCGGATACTCATCATCTGCGCGGCGAAATTTCTCTTGACGTAATTTTCGAGCCGCGAGCTTTATATTCCCATGAATAAGATCGGCTTCCTTTTATTCGCTACGTGATTTTAAGCACGGCCAAGCGCGACCCGCTGAATTTTGTTGGCGACAATACGGGGACCCGTGTAGCAATAGACGATTTGGGAAAGGAGATGAGCAAGTTTTCGTCGGCTCCTCCTCGCTTCTTTCCTTCTTTCTGTTCCTCTCTCTCTCTCTCTCCTCTCTTCGTTTTGGCGTCAGGAAGAAGTTCTTTGGCTCGTGTATATAGGTACGCTGCACATACACTTTCACTACTTGTGTTGCTTGTACCACCGCCGCGTGCTATGTCGGGCGTGTGCCAGTCTGCCTCTTTCTCGAGTTATATAGTGGCGGGATAGGTGCTCGGGCCATATTGCAGGGACGCCACTGGCGCGCAGAGAGCGAGAGACGAGAACGAGTTACATCGACTCCAGTGCCGAGGCACAGTATCCTAGCAGCGCTGCGCACGCCATCAACAACCACGCTACCCACGTCCCGGGAACCGGCCAAGACCATTCGAGCTTTTTTTTACCACCTATCCATTCGATTAATTGCCCTGGCAGGTGATCGATCGAGCGGTCGAGTGTATCGTCCAGTGTTGTGTGCGGTGAGATGATAGAGAGGAGCTGAATAAATAGCGATTGCGTCGGTGATGTTAGAGACGCGAGGGAGCGACCAGTTAATGACTAGCGAGCTCCGAGTGCCTGTGATTTTTCGTCAATTTTAAAGCTTTTTTGTGCTTTTATTTCTTGTGCTTTTTTCTGCTTTTCAAGTGAACATGACCACCAAGATTATTTCCAAAATTGTGGCTTTCGAACGACAAGCTTTTAGGTGAGTCCTGTGCTTTTGCAAGTTTCAAGCTTTCTATAAAAATGTACCATAATGTATTTCTTGATTTATAATTGCTCAGTGAAACTAAAAAAATTTTAAGTGACGACTGATCGACAAAATTTAATTGTATTTTTTCCACCGCAAACTTCGGCAACAAAGTATAAATATGCAATGTTTGCTATCGCCGGGTAAACACGAGGACTATATAAGCACGTTACCTTTCACAAGTCGTCGAATGACAATAATTTTATATGCGTACTCGTGCTAAACCTCTAGAATCTTCGCTGCCAGTTCGTAATTTTCTGCACAATCGGTTCGCGCATGGACAATTAAGTTATATACATAAATTAGACGTGTTTTCTTTTTCCCGAGACGGCGCATCCTCGACCGCACGTCCGAAGCTGGATGCGTGACGGCGACGACGACAATGTGTAACTCGGGTATAATAACTGTCATTACGGATTACCGCGTGTAAACACTTTCATTCGAGCTGACGTGCGGGCGCATTTTTATTCATTATTCTTAGCGGTCGCACGCGGCAGCTGCAATCGCGATATAGTCGCGCGCGCGAAATAATCGATAATTTGCGAGCTCATCGGCGTTCGAGCAGGGCGACGATCATATTTATTGCGAGAGCCTTGGTAACGACGCGCCGATCTCTTTTTAATGCTAGCCATGCATTATACATACGAAGCGCGCAGTTTCAGATTTATGAACGTCGCAGAGGTAGAGAAGAAAAAAAGGCCATTTCTTCACGCACACGTGCGCATCGTCATTAAAGCATCATCCTCATGATTTTCTCGAGTTGCTCCGGCAGCGATTACATGTACAACGACGGTACCTACCTATATATGTGTATACGCGATACACACGAGGAAACGCGTTGTTTACGCAATCGAAAGTGTCGCGTACACACATGGCATTTAAAAGTATACGCGCACGTCGCGGAAAACTTATGTACACCGGCAGAAATTCGCGAGAAAATACCGGATGAAATTTACAACGGCTCCGGCGAGGACTGTAATTTTTATTCCCCAAAACAACTCGTACACGCACACATAAGCTTCTCGTTTACGGCAGTTAAGTTAGCCGATGCTCGAGCGCGAAATTTGTAAGATCGGCATTTTTATGCGCGCGCGTAACTTTCGTTGCAGTTCGCCATTGCTACAACAACTATCTAATTATAGCCAAATGAGTGAGACGAGACCGTGCAAAATTACATAATCCAACAAAAATCCGTTTATAATTGGCCTAAAGAATATGAATTTATGAGGCGGCGCGTCGGCTCTCATCCGCGTCGTCAAGAGAGAGACGACTTTTCTCTCATTCGCTCAAAGTCTCGCTGAAACGGGATGGACTCTTTGCCGTGCGTACATGGCTTTTGCACATTTTGCGCGCAGTTACGTAACATTATAACGTATGCGTTCGAAATTTCTTTCTCTTTCTCTCTCTCTCGCTCGCTCCGGCACTGTCTCTTTTTCTCGCTGTGCGAAAGTATTGCGTATGACTTTCTCGCCAACTTATATACTCCGGACATAATGTGACCGCGAGCTCAATCGCGCCCAGGTATTTATAATAGTGTGTCCAGGATTATACACGGCGTCGAGAGAGTTTATAACGCTTTTTTGGAAACGGCTCCCAAGGTCGCGAGCGGCAAATATATAGTATATTATACGCAGAGTCGCGCGTGCATAGCTATATATTCACCGGATGAAGGTTACACTTATTATATATTGTATATCTCTCCTTTCGATTTTCTTTGCGGCGCGCACGGCAGCAGTCGCTCTGTGTGTATACCTCTATAATATAGCCTCGCGCTAACGCACCGTAGCATATTCGCACGCTAATTCCCCGGTGATTTACGCCTCGCGGAGACTTGCAAAACGACGACACTTTGTGTATAACATCGCGTAGACGCGAACAGGATCGCGGGTTTCCAAAGTGATTGTTTGGCAAATTATACTGATTTTTGAGTTGCTGCGCGCGTGAAGGATAGGTCGAGGCGCGCACTTGCTGTTTATATTATTACGTCTTGGCTGTGCTAGTCGGACGCATTGTTTAGCCGCAGCTTTGAAAAACGATCGTTGCTTAAACGCGCTCCACAGGCTCGACGTTGTTGCCTCGTGTTTTCTATTTTTTTATTCTTCCTCTTCTTCGGAGCTCGGAAAAATCTACAAGGCTGATGGGACTGTCGGTAATATGTCGAAATCGGCAATTATCAAAATATATATGCCGCGCACGTGTGTGCCTTAAGCTGGACGATGCATACGAACACAGGAGCGGCGGCGTAAATTATAATGTATGCAAAGCAGGACACGTTTACGCACTTTAGGTAAACTTTCTCGAGAAACCGCAGAATCCGCTTTTTTGATATGGTATATACTACTATCCTCGATCTCGACATCTTCTTTTCTGCGATCATAATCTGGATTATATTCGCCGCAGCTCTTGCTGGCCGGCCTCCAGCTGCTATAGAGCTCCAAGATCTATATAAACAAGCACGTGAGCTTACGCAACGAGAAAATAGCAGCTCCACTGATTTGCGCGTGTATAAAAAGAGCAGTGCGCGCGCAAACTATACCAGCTGATCGTGATTGTGTGTGTGCCTGGGCCTGTGTGTATGCGTGTATGTGGTTGGCTTGATTCCGGTATATATACAGACCACATACAGCTCATGTGTGTGTGTGTGTGTTTGTGTGCATAAACCGCCTTTCGGAGACGAGGAAGCATGTAATAATAAAAGCAAGCCTGGCCGGAATCGCATTTAAAGTATGCTGCTTCCGCGTCGGCCTGAGCGCGTATACGCGAGTGCGTGTGGAAAGCATAATTTTGAAAGCCTTTCTTCTTATAAGGCCGCCACCGAGCTCCAGCAGTAGCCCGTGTACTTTTTCTTTGTTATGCTTTGATTGGCTGGACGCACACGGCCAAGTCCGCGTGTCGGGTTTAGGCCCGTAATCAGTCAATTGCATTCGATGCAAATTATTTTTCCCGAGTCAATGTCGTCGGCCTCTGGCATAGGCGCACGCCTGCACCCAATGGCGCGTGACAATTGAAAATTCAAAGTGCGCAGCTGTGTTATTCGCGAAGGTGCGCGCGCTCAAGCAATGTCAGGATTAATAACCGCAACCGCCCGGTTTTTACGCGGCGGCGGCGATAATTCAAGATTCGTATCGGTCACCGTAATGAAGTTAAAAGCCCATCGAGCCATAATTTAATTTTAAGAAATTTAAATGGCCCGACCCGCGACGTGCGGTAATCGCGTCGACGCTCGAGCGAAAATATTCGCGCGGTGCAGTGGTGTTACTTTGATGTATAACCCCATCCGAACGGACAAGTCGCGCGAGGTGTGTACACACTTCGCGTATCTCGATAATTTATCGCGATTATATACGCGCGTGAGACGCTGCATCCGATCATCGCGTGAGGTGCAATTTTTTTTTCCTTTACCTGCAGTGCGCGCGTTATGTAGGTCGTCGTCGGTGTTCGACTTGAAGAAAAAATAAAATAATATATTATTCACCGGGGCGTCGTATAACGCGATACTTAACACTCTATGCTCGCTAATGACCGACCTCAAGACACGCTGCAAACGTCGGGCGACCAACGCAACAGATTATGTAGCCAAGGTACAACACTGTGCACTCGAGAAATCAGTTACTTCGGAAAGTCATTCGCTCGGAGGGAAGCCCTCGCATGCGACTTTTACAAGTATATACAATAAAAAAAAATTTTTTATGAAGATATTTCACAAAAATAACGAACTCACTTTATGTGTTGTTGCGCAACGTCGCGGTGCAGGAGCTCGCGTGACGCTTCTGTATATATGTATTTACATTGCCGATTCTCTTCTCAAAATTATCGACTCACGATCGTAAATAATTCAATAATATTGGAAAGCCGCAGTTCGCCAATTTGGAATGTCGACTTTGTGGGAATAAAAGCGTATTTATGCTCGCGCGTTGAAAGGTTGTATTAACCTCGTCAGTGTGATATCTGTATTACTTGTTCGAGAGTGATTTTGCCACCCGTGGCATTAGTGACATTTGTAAGTTTGATTAGCGCAACGCTTCTCATCGCGACGAGCGCGAGGTTAAATTCCTTACATCGATCAACGAGCCAGACAAACGAGGTGCACATTTACTCGATACTCGTGTCGTAATACTCATATTTTTATGAGACTGGAATTTTTTCTCACCGCGCCAGGTATAAGAAGAAGCGGCGTGTAGAGTAGTTGCGCCTCGGGCGCTCGTGCTTATCTCATGCGAAGACTATTCGCGTTTACGTACGTAACGAGCTTCATTAGATGCATCATAAAACAAAATTACGACAATAAAACTCTCCGACTGCATCTATGCGGGGATTCGGGTATATGTAACGCAGACGTAAAAGCTTTCAATTTGCGAGAAGAATTCATATCTAGGAAACGACGTTGACCTCTCATAAGTTTTTATCGGCGCCTAACGAAACTTCCTAAATTAGGCAACGCTGAAGTAAATCACCTCATTTCCATAAAAGGATGTCCCCTCGTCTTCTATTGCGACAAATTCAATAAGAATAAATTATTTTTTCGAGACGTCTCCTCGAAACGAAAGTACTTGGAGTGAATGAACTATATCAGCTGAGCATGAGCATTCATTGTCGACGCTTCAAGAGCTTGCGACCGGCATAGTGTCTGGACATACACGCACTGACTAATAGCAGCCGATGAAGCTTCAGAGCCTCTCGACTGGAATCTCTCGAGGCATGGAGAAATCAAAAGCTGGGTATAAGATGAAAAGCCTCGTGGCAAGAAAACGTCACGAATGAATCATCTAATTTTCCCATCGCGCATAATATGCACACATACACACACACACGTTGAAAGGTTATCATTATACTTTCATTTTCTTTCTTTCTCTCCCTCAAGAGCTCGGCTGCAGGATTGCTCTGCATTGTGCAAAATTGCGCTCGCGAGCTCGCTTCGGCTGGCAGCTAATTCAATTCAAACTAAACTCTTGGCAGCTCTAGAATATACATCTCAGGACGTCCGCCCTCTAAGCGGAAAAGTGTGTGTATGTGTGTGCACAGATGCGTGCGTATACATCAGCTGCGGCAACTCAAGCCGCCACGGCACGCACGCGGAAGAGCGTACGAATGTGTGTACGTAATTACTATCCTGCTCTGCGCCGGGAGCTGCTCATCTCAGACAAGTACATACTACAATTAGCACCGGTCCAAGCAAAAAGTAAAAACAGCAGCAGCAGGAAAAAAACAAAACATCAAGTCTTGTAAGTGCGGACGGCAAACATGTGCCGTGCGCGTAATATCGATAAAGAGAGAGAGAGAGAGAGAGAGAAAGAGAAAAAAAAGAGAACGATGAGGTGGACGTGAACGTGAGTATGTTCGCACATATAACGTAACCGTGACTTTCGTATGGTATCTATCCCATATAATGCACTTGCATGTGGATATATACATATACAGACATACTGCGCGGAGGCAGACAACACTTTCTCCTTTCGCCTTCTTTCATATAAGTATAATACGAGATCAGCGGAAGCGCATTTCTTGGGGGAATGCGCTGTGTTTTGCAGTGCGCCATAATATCTCATGAGCGGCCGAAAAATCGAGATCTGCGATACGTTGCGCGTTATCGGGGATCTCTGCTCATACTCGTGTGTACACTGTATACGTATAACCTGTGCATGCCGAGAGAGAGAGAGAGAAAAAGGCATAAGGAGACAGGTGCGCCCGCACACCTTCAGGCCGGAAGGTTTAATCAGTATGAAAATACTACGTTTAAATGATGAAATATGAGATGCAGTCGTGTGCGTTTTTTGTGATTTATCATCGTGTGCCGCAAAAGAGAGAAAAACAGAGACGAATAGATCTAATTGCCACCGGAATAATAACGTAGCTGCGTGCGCTCTATGCGGAATCGCAGTCCAGATACAAACACAGACTCGCGGAAAGATTAACGATCAAAGATGTTTGGTCTGCAATCTCGGCTCTCACGTGCTTGTGTCTATATACGCGTGTGGCGCACATTTAGCAAGTGGCAGTGGACTATACCTAACCTACCTAGCTGCCTGCGCGCGGTGTGAATATCGAAAGTTGTCAACGACTTTTGCAACGCAGAGAGAGAGAAAGACAGTTAGTTGCATGTGGAGCGCGCGCGCGTTTGTGTGCGACGGTTTCGGGCCGCGGTTTCGACGAGAACGAAAGCGCATGACAGCAGCCGCCACCGCATTCATAATAGCGGCGACGAGGAAAAACCGCCGATTATCATACGAGTGTGAAACTACTGCTTCTTCTTTACGCGTTCGCGTTATGCGCGCTCGATCGCGTTCGATTACAGACATTGTTGCCGGGCCAGAAGCAGGTAAAAAAAAGGATCGCCAACGTGGAATCAAGAGCATCCATTTTATTAATTATACGACTCGAGCGATGCATTCGAGCGTAACGCGTACGCGTGGCGCACAAGAGGAAACGCGTTTCGATCCAATTTATCATCAATCAGTGCGTTAACTGCTCGAGCGCGTAATGCGCTAATTTGTATACGATTATCGTCTATTATTACACGGCTCGTACAGACACACGGCAAAATATTATACACACACACACACACTCGCACGTGCAGTTTAAGCTTCCTGTGTTTTTATTTGTGTCTGCGAAGTGAAAACTTCACACATTTACAATTGCCTCGAGTTCTTATTATATACGGCGCGAGATTTAATGATCGTGCACTTGCCCATTCGAAATGGCGCACGCGAGCCAGAGAGTTACATCGCGTCGAGCATGTAGATTTTCTTGTTAAACGTCTCTCGGGTAGCTGTGTCGGGCCGCTGCGGCGAGCGAGCCACGATGAGCCGCGCATAGGCCGATTCCGTCGTCCGAAAGTGGTATATCGCGTATAATACGCTTGTATACACTCGGAGAGACAATAAAACATAACAAGCCTCTCGTGCGCCGTTCGTATACGCACTTGGAATTTATTAGCCGCCTTATCTTGTTTCCGATCGCGTGAAAAACGAATTACTGATGGGATTTGTGCGCCACTCGTTCTGCTTCCTTCGTACGTTCTCGTGCATGTGCAGTCTCCGGGCTAAATACACAGCACCCGATACCCGTGTAAATGCTAAGCTCGACATATCTCTGTACTTTACTGCCATTGTAGAATTAATGCCGTGTTGTCGCTACACTCGTTGCCGATTTTCACCTATTCGTATCGTCGTTTGAAGCTTTTAAAGCTAATCTCGAGCACAATTATTATCCCGAGTCGTTCGTTCGAAGGTGCAGTCTCTAACTTACGCTTGAAATGATGGAAAAAAATTCGGACCCGCGCTCCGATTAGTCGATAACAAAAATAAAGAAAAAAATTAAAAAAAAAACCAATAGATCAATAGTCCGTTGCCGTATGACTTTCTAATTAGGCAATATACTTTACGAGCGTAAAATCCGTTGGTTTTTACGTTGGTGCATTTACGGGCAAGCTCCGACGCGTGCAAGTTTACTCTTTTTTTCCTCTTTCTTTTTAATCCCAAACTATAGGTAAATCCGGTGGCAAAATCCGTTGGGCGGACTGGTAGTAAAAGTGTACACACTGTAGTACTAGCCACGGCCCGTAAAAACAAAATAATAAAATCAGATAAGGCAATCGCGGATCGAGAGGAGATAAAACGCTCACACGTGCTATATATTGTAACGAAACAATTGGGGCCTCTTGATGGCTGCTGCTGCTGCTGTTGCTACTGATTCACGTAATGCTCAACCCTCGTGCACGCGCGAGCCGATAACAAGAATAACTGACTCGCTCAAAGTTTTACTTTTATGTACTCGACGCAAGGGGGGAATGAGCATTGGCGTTTGCCAATGGGACCCAGGTTGTTAACAAATTTTCAATAGGAAATCGGAGAAGTCATTTACATACACACAGCGTGCAAGCCGCGGAGGCGAGCTTTCACCGCGTCAAAAATATACACACACACACACATACACACGTACACATGCCTGTATATCGTGCGCGATCGTTGGCAATCGGAGAACACACACACACACACGTACACTCCGAGCACTCGCTAACACACAAAAATAAGAGAGGAAAAAAAAGAGCCAAGTAAATAAAAGGTGTACACTCTATAAACGTATTCGTGAATCGCCAACGACTCGAGACTTTGGCTTTCTATTCGTAGTATATATGTGTATAAATTCATATAGACAAGAGCGAGTGCATTTTTTCTTTTTCAAATATTTGGCTGGCAAAAGCAAGCGATCGCCGAGCGAAAGCCAAAGAGCTGGCATGAACCCCGCCCGAGTCGCCGGCGCCTGGATGGTCTCACGCATTCGTATCTATATAGCACGGAATTGTGCATAGCAGTCTTTTTGTCGCGCGCGCGCGAGCAAATCGTGACTCACAGATGATTGAACAAATACTTTCGTGCGCGCCCGAGACTTTTTCCACTCCAACCTTATAATATATGTATATTTATGAGTCTCGCAGTTTGCTCTGACAAAAATTCAAGTGCAGTAAATATGTAAGCACGAGCTGTACATCGAAGGACGAAAAAAAAATCCTAGTCCATTACATATCCTTGATTTCGCGCGCGGTTTCTTTGAGTCTGCATACGCGTTCGACTATTTTTGTCTGCTTCCGAACGTGTAAACTGCAGCGTATTAATCAATCAAACATAAGCTAAAAATCATTCGATTGATTTGTACGCGCATGCATTTATACGGGCCAGCAACTTTCTAATTAGGAAAAGCGTACTTGCAGCTGCAAATTTAGTTACATCGGAGCTTTACTTTTTGCGCGTGCGCAACGCCACACAATGTCTTGCACATACATACACGCCGACGCGAGCCGTAACTTTGTATCATAAAATCGTCACGCTCTTTTTGTAGTTCATTGAGTAACTTCTATTATCCTACGTTTCTTTTGACACAAAGTATTATACAACTACTATTTTCAATGTATGCAATGCTAAAAGTTTCAACTTTGATTTCTCAACAGGATGTTTGAAGAGCATGTGACATTGTTAGCAGGAGATGCTAATCAGGCATAACATGTGCTATCTTAGTCATCGGTGGATAAGCGAAGAGGAAGTTTGGAGATCTTCAAGGCCACCGGATAAGGACGTTCTCTGACGTCCGCCCAACAATCTAACGCCTTTCTAAGCGCTCAATTAGATAAAAATTCAACAAAGAAATCCTAGAAATTAGAAACATGGTGTTTAGCGCAATCGTCGTCACCTCGGCGCTCAAGGGAGCAATCGGACTGGTCGGCACGAGCTTATGGCTGGTTCCGCTTCTCATAGCCGGTCTTTCCTATTATCACTATGATCAATTAGGTAAATATATCATTTAAACTTGTAACAAAGATGTAATGTCAATATTTTTCTGTGAAAAAAAAACCTTCAAGCGCACGTTCGATTAATAACTCGCGCATAGAAATTTCAGAAAGAAATTAAAACTCGAATCAATTAAACGATATCTTTGTACAAAGGTAGGCAGTAAAATAATTTAGTTGCAGCTTTATTCGGAACATTCATAAACACGTCGTAATAATTTTCCGACCTTATACGTGATATCAAGGAGGCTGAAAACAATGTGATACAGCCAAGGATAATTTAGAAAGTTTCCAAGTTTATACGCGAGCTTTTCGACTTCCACGCGTGCACTCGAATGTGATAATAAAAGATCGTTTAATCAGCTTATAATGTTTCAATCTTTGTTTATTTATGAAGAAATTCTGACATAAATTTACCATTACACGGGCAATTTTTACATTCGAAGGCGTATACATCGCGTAGTGAAAGTTTATACGTATTATATATATAATATATATTTATATGCGTACATATAGTGCACGGGTAATTGATCTGCTGTTACAGTTTCCTTTTTGACATCATGATTAAGTAAGACGTTCCGAGAGCAATAATATTTCCTAGGTGTAGCCGTATACGGCCACGTATTAAACATAGTCGAGCATTCGGAATACCTGGTAAAAATTTATATAACGCTGGTCGAGCGAGGAATGTGCAGAGGAAAAAATGTATCGCACGTACATTACGAGAGATACCTTTATAATGCATTAGGGAAGGCAGCTGCCGCATATAATGCGCCGTAATCTCATTGCTGGATCTTTTGCAGACCCGGAAAGTCGGCCGATCGATCGCTACCCCCTGGACGGCGTGTACGACTTCGTGGTGATAGGTGGCGGCTCGGCCGGGGCGGTGGTGGCCTCGCGACTCACCGAGATACCGCAGTGGAAGGTGCTGCTGCTCGAGGCTGGCCCCGACGAGAACGAGATCACGGACGTGCCGTCGCTCGCCGCCTACCTCCAGCTGACCAAGCTCGACTGGAAGTACAAGACCGAGCCGACCGGCAAGGCCTGTCTGGGCATGAAGGGCGGCAGGTGCAACTGGCCGCGCGGCAAAGTACTCGGTGGCTCGAGCGTCCTCAACTACATGCTCTACGTGAGGGGCAATCGCCACGACTACGACTACTGGGAGTCGCTCGGCAATCCCGGCTGGGGATACGATCAGGCTCTTTATTACTTCAAAAAGTCCGAGGACAATCGCAATCCCTACTTGAGAAATAGCCCGTATCATGGAACTGGCGGACTCCTCACGGTGCAGGTATGAAATCGTTGTCACTCGCCAAGTAAGATACGCAAGCGATTGTGTGAAAATGTTCTTTCGATGATTACAGGAGGCTCCTTGGAGAACGCCGCTGGTCGTAGCATTCGTTCAGGCTGGTACTGAGATTGGCTACGAAAACCGAGACATCAACGGCGAATACCAGACTGGCTTCATGATAGCTCAAGGTACAATAAGAAGAGGCAGCAGATGCTCGACTGCCAAAGCGTTTTTGAGACCGGTCAGGTTGAGAAACAATTTGCACACGGCTATGAACGCCCACGTTACCAGAATAGTCATAAATCCAATAACGATGAAGGCTGTGGGCGTCGAATTCGTTCGAGACGGCAAAAAGCAGTTCGTGCGAGCGAGAAAGGAAGTCATTCTGTCGGCCGGGGCCATCAACAGTGCCCAAATTCTCATGTTGTCCGGCATCGGCCCCAAGGAACATCTTCAAGAGGTTGGCATTCCACTCGTCAAGGATCTCAGAGTCGGCGACAATATGCAGGATCACGTGGGCATGGGAGGCTTGACTTTCCTCGTCGACAAGCCCGTGGCGATCGTTCAGGATCGCTTCCAGGCGGCTCCCATGACCATGCAGTACGTGGCCAACGGCAAAGGACCCATGACCACGTTGGGCGGCGTCGAAGGATACGCCTTTGTAAATACTATTTATGCCAATGAATCCGGCACTTATCCGGACATACAGTTTCACATGGCCCCGGCCTCGATCAATTCCGACGCTGGTGTGCAAGTGCGCAAAGTATTAGGCATTACCGATGAGATTTACGATACCGTCTACAGACCCATAGCCAACAAGGATGCTTGGACGATCATGCCTCTTCTCTTGCGACCGAGATCGCGAGGCTCGGTGAGATTGCGAAATTCTAATCCGTTCCAGGCGCCGATAATCGACGCCAATTACTTTGACCATCCGCTGGATATCGCGACCCTGGTAGAGGGCGCAAAAATAGCGATGCAAGTGAGCGAGGCCCGAGCTTTCAAGCAGTTCGGCTCCAGAGTTCACAGAGTCAAGTTACCCGGCTGCAGTCACTTGCAGTTCGCCAGCGACGATTACTGGGAGTGCCACATTCGACACATCTCAATGACCATCTATCATCCGGTGGGAACTGCCAAAATGGGACCGGCATGGGATCCGGAGGCCGTCGTGGACCCTCGGCTCAGAGTATACGGAATACAGGGACTGAGGGTTATCGATGCCTCGATCATGCCCACCATCAGCAGTGGAAATACCAATGCGCCTGTGATTATGATTGCAGAAAAAGGCTCCGACATGATCAAGCTCGATTGGGGCGCTTACTCGAGCGCTAATAGTCCCGTCGAACAAAATTATGCCTATCAAGAGTCAAATCAATATGATCATTATGACAGATACACTAGAAATGTAGGATAAATATACATGTAAATAGTGCAAGTTACTTTCTACATGTCATATCTGACATGATTAAAAATAGTCAATGTTTGTTACGATAATATTGAGTTAAACTTTTTTCCTAAAAGTTTAAGGATACCATTTATTTTTTAAGAATTGAAATGCGTGCTTTATAAAATTTATGAACGTGAATGAATAATTGTTAACTAATTCTCTAAAAAATTTATAATAACAGTTCATTTGAATGTTTGCTTTCTTAAGTGATGTGTTAAATAATATTACATTTTGTGCCATAATTTTGTACTTTGTTACTTTAATTCTTGTTAGATTGTAAAAAATAAAAGTTGAACTTATTATATAGTGACTCGTCGTTTTTGATTCTCTATGAATTTGTTTACTTGTTACTTATGTTTAAAGTTGTAAAACTGATTCAAATAAAATTTTGTTACTTATTATATTTTGATTTCTGATCTCATTAAAGTAATTTTTTTCGCTGCCTACATGTAAATAAATTTTATTTTATTTTTCTTATCTATAAAAATATATTCCTCGATGAAAGTATTAAACATTATTGAAATCAATATACATTTTATAAAAAAAAAATAATATTATCGCCTGTACTCGGGCCACATTACATACACTCTTTCATAAAAAGCTAGCTAGATAAAGGAGTACTTGACATTTTACACTTTCTCTTTTTCTAAACATATAATATATTGTTCAAAGAAAAATAAAAAATGTTTAAAACTAAACAAAAAATTGTTTTCAACATTGATGACGAAAATGCAACGAAAAATTAATCCATTCATCTTTCAAGTGTGAGTCGACGAATTTTTCCTCAACATGCATATTATCTAACATTCTGTATATACCCGACAGGATGCTGTCACCGTTTAGCTACGTCATCAAAATTTCCTTGCAACGCGTAACATACTTGTAGACAAAAAAAACATTCAGTTGAAAAAAAACGATTGCCTCAGAATGGTTTTTGTCAACTTATTTGTGAAAAAAGTGAATAAAATAAAAATGCCAGATTATTTTCTTACAGAATTAAATTAAATACTCAGTGAATCAGTTTAAATCACGATGAATAAAATATTATTTTCTTCTTTAATTTTAATTTACTGTCTGACAATCACAGTCGTTAAGTTACAAGAGATCGATCTAAAATATTTAAATCTTTACGGGTTTACAAACTTTAAAAATACATCGAACGAAATGTTAGTTAATCTGGCTGTTGGTTTAATGAAGTTTATGCGTGAAAATGACCGAATAGTGCATAGTGCCCCTAAAGACATGACTCCCAGTCCCGATCAAGAATTTGATTTCATCGTCATCGGGGCCGGCAGTGCCGGATCGACAATCGCATCGAGACTCAGTGAAATTCGAGATGTCACCGTTCTTTTGATCGAAGCCGGTGGCAACGAAAACTTGATGATGGACATACCTTTACTAGTCAATTATCTGCAATTCGTCGACGGCTTGAATTGGAAATATCAAACGGAACCTTCGGATAGATACTGCTTAGGTATGACGAATCAACAGTGCAATTGGCCGAGAGGTAGAGTGATGGGCGGAAGTAGCGTTTTAAATTATATGATCGCGACAAGAGGCAATCCCCGTGACTACGACCAATGGGCCGAAGCGGGCAACGATGGTTGGGCTTACAAAGATATCTTGAAGTATTTCAAAAAATCAGAAAATTTGAGAATAAAGCAGTTCAAACAAGATAAAGAAGTGCACAATACCGAAGGTCCTCTACACATCAACTACCCACCTTATCACACACCTGTAGCCGAGCAATTTCTGAAAGCTGGCCTAGAATTGGGCTATCCGATAATCGATTATAACGCTGGCAATCAAACTGGTTTCTCTTACATACAGGCCACCATTAAAAATGGCACAAGAATGAGTACAAATAGGGCTTACTTGCATCCAGCCAGAAAGAGGCCAAATTTATTCGTCACGAAATTTAGCCACGTTAATAAATTGCTTATCGATAAGCAAAACAGGGCCTACGGTGTCGAGTTCACCAAGTCGAACATGACTATTCACGTAAGAGCGAAGAAAGAAGTGATCTTGTCAGCGGGAGCGATTAATTCGCCGCAAATTTTAATGCTGTCTGGAATCGGCCCGGCTGAGCATTTAAGGTCGATGATGATCGATGTCTTGCAAGACGCACCGGTCGGAGAAAATTTAATGGATCACATATCTTACGGGGGCTTGGTGTTTTTGATCGACCAGCCCGTGAGCATCGTAAGCGAAGACGTAACGAATCCCATGAAGCCGTACGTGGCTGACTTTTTGAACACGAAAAACGGGCCTCTGTCTATACCCGGTGGTTGCGAAGCCCTAGCATTCATAGACGTCGACGATCCTAAAAATCTCGACGTTTTTCCTAATATAGAGTTACTTTTCATCGGGGGCTCGGTCGTCTCTGACAATTCGTTTCGCAACAGCTTTGGCATTTCTGAGAAGTACTGGGACAAAATGTATGCTCAAATCAGCGGGCGACACTCCTGGTCGATATTTCCCATGTTAATGAGACCTCGCAGTCGCGGCAAAATATTCCTGCGGAGCAGAGACCCGAAAGCAAAGCCCAAAATATTTCCCAACTACTTCGAAGATCCCGAAGATTTGAGGCTCATGGTAAAAGGCATCAGAGCCTCGATCGAGATCAGCAAGACGAAGGCGATGCAGACGTTCAGTTCGGAGATCTACAACGTCAGTGTGCCGGAGTGCGAAAACTACGAGTACGATTCCGACGAGTATTGGGCGTGCGCAGCTAGGACGTTCTCCTTCACCATTTATCACTACAGTGGCACATGTAAGATGGCCCCGGCCAACGATCCTACAGGCGTCGTCGATCCAAAACTACGCGTAAGTAATCGAGACGATCGGCTCTGCAATAATTTATGGATTTAGGCTCATTAATTTTCATTGCAAAATCATTGCAGGTGAAAGGCATTAAAGGACTGAGAGTGGCGGACGCTTCGATAATGCCCATAATCATGACGGGTCATACGAATATACCGACGATAATGATAGGCGAAAAACTGTCCGACATGCTGAAGCACGACTGGAATTTGATTTGATACACAATTTTTCTTAGTGCGTAGTGATTTTGTACCGAAACCCCTGTAGCTTGATGTACGGCCTTACAGCTACGCATACCTGTTGGTATATCATATTTTTTAGTTTTGTAAGTTTCGTTAGCAAGTAAACGATCGATTTGAAATAAAACTTGACTATTACAATAAATGGTTATCGATCGACAACTTACCTCTCAATCGTCGTGTCTCAATAACTCGTCAAGAGTGTACATTTATTTTTTTAAATAATTCATACGCATTCACTGGGAACTCACCTAAAACAAAGCATACGAAATATACATTAGTCATGCAGCACAAAGATGCAATTATAGTTATTACAAATAATTTAAAATGATCGTGAGCAGTTAATTTATATGAGCATCGCTTGTAAAACAATTTTCGCCGAAAGACGAATTATCGCACGCTATATACAGTGAAATCCTTCGAGCCAGCTCTGCAGGCTCAATGCTCATTCATGTATATGAGCATCGCAATGCAGAGCTATTTTTTAAATGAATACGTGCATTTATGTAGCGGGAGAAAGTGTGCAGTGTACACACACACACAAACACGAATCTTGCGATTTTTTCATCAAAGACTCAAAAACTATTTGTACCTAATACAATGTTTCACTTTCACAAGCTCGTGTTCTTAAGATATAGCGGAAAAATCGGCTGAGTTTACATGCGTAATTTTCGTGTCCAAGTTAAATGCCTGCCATTACCAATCGCCTGGCGGCTCGTGGCATTATGACACAAGTCAAAATCTGCACACGCATTGCGCCAAGCAAAACAATCCATTAGAGGTTGCGCGCGTATCGTATGCGTCTTGCAAACATCTCGCGCGCATATCATCAATCTCTATCGCTAGGTCAAAACCAAACAATTGCATTTGCGCGCGTGCCATCCATTTTCATGACTCCTTTTAGCCCGTCGAAATTGCAAATGTTGCAGTTGCGATTATTATGGCTCGCGCATAATGTGCGCAATCGGCCGACCTTGAGCCCATCTCGGCGGATCGTAAATCAACAACTGGCTCGAATTAGTTTATCGAAGCTTCTAGGGTGTATGGTTATAGGCCCGAGCCGACTGCGGGGTGGGAGAGCAGCGCACGAGGGAGAGAGAAACGCAGATTTTTGCCTCTGTTCAAAGTTCAATCAGGCAAAATTATTACGTGAGCCGCGCGGCCGAGCACTGCGCGTGAAAGCGCAGATCGAGCTATACGCATTTCTCCGCGAAACGTCGCTCGCTCAACTACCTTTAATACTACTACTTCTACTACTGCGTGCAAATATATACGTATGCTCGACTCCGCCTTTTCGTCCGTTTCTTCCAAAGGCGGCTGTTCTCGCGCGCTCATACATGTATAATAGCCCCGGCAGCAGCCACGCGGTTGCATAAAATTCGACGGACTCTCGCACACGCATACTCGCGATCGAACGCGCGCGACCGGGACTGCCGGTTCTACGTCTCCTGACAGGTACGTTTTTTCTTTGCATTGTTTTTGCCCGTTGGTGTCTTTTTTCCGACAGTGAAACTTAATAGTTTTTCAACAGTGTTGAGTGATCATTTTCAAGTAGCTGTTAGCTTTTTTATTTGTTAATTGGACGTACGTACTCGGGAGTTGGTTGTATTTTGAAAATTTGTAAATTTGCTTGCAGTGTAATGAATATAATTCCAGAAAATAGAATATTAATATTTTAATGCTTGAAACAAAATATACTTCTTTAATTGGTACTATGTGTTATAACTAATATAAACAAAGTTAATGTAATCCATCGTTACAAGGTTTTTTTTAAACTTGGGATCGTTTCTACAACGCAGCTACTAGAGAATAATGTTTGCCTTTCTCAAAGTTATAATTAAAAAAAAGTTATATTAATATACATTTATCGTGGATATATTTACAAAAAGAAGTTTTTAATTTCTGAAAAATAATGAAAGTGAGAGTCCTGTGATTCGATTTTCATATAGTATTTTCTAAACCAAACGGTCAATGAGTTTCTGCATTGAATGTTTACGTAAATCATTCTGTTTGCTTCTTCCTGAATCAAATTTGAACTTGACTTTATAATTGAGTGATGGTTACTGCTTCTTCCTATAATATAGTACACTTGAATGATTTTCATGACGGAAGTACAAGTGATGCTTTCTTTCCGAATACTATTCAATCGACTTTTACAAAGCATTTCCACCCAAGCAAATATTTGAATTACATTTATTGAAAAGAACTAAATATTTTTCAAATGCAACACGATTTTCTTAATAAATCGTGCATCAAATAAAAAGTTCAAGTCGAAATTGAAAAGACGTAAAATTGGTTTTTTATCAGTCTAAAACAACATCTTCAAGAAAATGGATCAATGGCTGGTTTAGTTGAATTAAGGTCAACTGGTGATGTGAAGGCTTCGCTCTCAACAAAAGCAGAGGGTGAAATATAGTAAGAAAAAAATACATTGAGAGAAGACCTACGCTAGATATATCAAATTATCAATTGAGATCCAACTTCATACGCTTGTCAAAACACGTTAAACTTTCATGTACAAATCATGTTTAGATAATTTTGCTCACAGGTTATTTGTTATGATTAAGCTCAAAAATCAAAAGTTAATTCCATGGGGAAATTTAGCGGTAGTGAATTTATTAGTCAATATAAATTGAAAATATATTAAACCGATTTGGAAGGTTGACAGGTAATTAGCAAGAAAATTGTTACAAGTGAGCGGGTTATAAAAACTTATCTGAGTATGTCATATGACCGAAAGCTGTACAAGTGAAAGGCATGAAAAAAACTTTTGTGGGAATCTTCCATGGGATCTTTTAAACAGACTTTTTTTTATTGATTCAAAAGACTTATACTGAAACATCGGACAACGGGCCTCATTAAATTTACATAAACTCAAAAAAGTTTTAAATAAAAGCAAGCACAAGGTCCTTTTTCATTCGTAGAAAAAAATTTTTGAAACCAAAACAATTGTAGAATTTTTTAAGACATTTCAGAGTATATTTTAATTTTTAAGAGTGAATAAAAAATTGATTGGCTAACACGCCGCTCTCACGCGTGCTAAAACCTCGCGTCTGCACGCTCTCGTGCAGGAAGTGTATAAATAAGAGTAATGATAGGTATTACATACAAGTGCGCGCTATCCTTCTTCGAGAACTCAATTTTATTCGGTCGATTAGAGAATGGCCGAGTGTGTATACAGCAACGTTAAGCCGCGTCGCGCAATATTTTAACATTCATAATCCATCGATAATGGCGAGGACAGTGTTATAAACATTGCGTGTGTAATTTTCATTAGCGGACAATACCGGCCTGAGAGTACTTATGCTGATTGAATTTCATGCCGGCGCGCGCGCGCGCGAGTACGCGCTCGAGACAAAAGAACATTTTTTTTATTTCAGTTTCTCAATTTGCATTTAGCAGATGAAAGTAACTCGATGAAAGTGAATTCAATACAATGTGAAATTTCACGGTTACTCGAACGAATGCGTAACTCTTTTAATCAAGTCAGCATGAGATTATGTTTACGATTTTTTGCCCGCTCAAATCGAGCGAAAATGATAAAGAACTATAATAATACCTTGGAATGTCTGAAAGAAATTTTATAGAATAGGGGTGATAGTCATTTTGTGCATAGTTACGTATTGTTCAGAGAAATTTTAGGTTGAAAAACTCGTTAAAAGTGAAAAATGTTTTTTGGTAGGCGCAGCTGATCTCACGGAACGTCAAAATGAGTCCTCTCAGCGTCAAGCTAGTCATTCTCTTCGTCGTCGGCATCGCCGCTTCAGTCAATAGTCAGTCAATCTTAGATATATTCCGTAGCCACAATAAGGTCAACATGAACATCGTCTCGGAGCCCAGCAATATACCGTACGACTTTATCGTGGTGGGCGCTGGTTCGGGAGGTTCGGTGGTGGCCAATCGTCTCTCGGAGCAGGGCAAGTGGCGGGTGCTCTTGATCGAGGCTGGACCAGCCGAGGGAGTACTCAATCAGATTCCCGTGCTGGTGAGCTTTTTTCAGCTGACCGATTACAATTGGGGATACAAAGTCGAGCCGCAAAAAAATGCGTGCCTCGGCATGAAAAATCATCAGTGCCCGTGGCCAAGGGGCAAATGCCTCGGCGGTACCAGCACTCTCAATTACATGATACACACCAGAGGTAATCCTATCGATTACGATATTTGGGCGGCTCTTGGCAACGAAGGCTGGTCTTATCACGATGTGCTACCGTATTTCAAAAAAAGTGAAAAGTTCAAAGTACCTGGTGAGTAAATAATCCATTCAGTCACGATAATTGCAGTCATTATTCATTTCGATCATAATTTAAGCACATCACGACGATTCAAATTACGAAATTGAAATTTTCTCTATGCTTCGATGCAAAAAATTTTATTGCAAACGTTTGATGTGACTCTTTTTATAATTGGCAAACGATAAAGCTTTTATCAACTGATTTAAGACGATTGAGTAATAGTAAAAATACGAATGAGTAATACTTTCGATGGCTCATATATTGCAACTTGGTTAATAGAACTAAATTCGTTAAACTGAGACGATGATGAATCAGGAATTTGCTTAGAGTTCGTCTTTTGTGACTATTAAATTTAAAGAAAATATTTAAACAAGGTCGGTAATTTAAATGCTATGAGTCAGTTCAAAGAAATCGTCATAAATGTCTGTATCCGATCATTGAAGATTAAATTTTTTCTTATTCAAGCTATAGCTTGTTTTTGTTTTAAACTTGTTTTTTTATTCTCATTGATTTTCAGGCGTTACAAACTCATCGTATCACAGCAGCGATGGCTACCTGTGCGTCGAACATGTGCCATTTCACACAGAGCTCGCGACAGCTTTTTTGAAGGCCGGAAAACGAAAAGGTTACAAAGTCCTCGACTACAACGGCAAGGAGCAAATCGGGTTCTCGTACATTCAAGTCAACATGGAGGATGGAAAGCGTTGCAGCGCGGCCACGGCCTACTTGCGCGTGCGCCGACCAAACCTTCACGTCCTCACGAACGCCCAAGTCACCAAAGTTCTGATACACGACAGAAAAGCTTACGGAGTTCAGTACATACGCAACGGGAAAAAGTACACGGTCAAAGCGACGAAGGAAGTCATCTTATCAGCCGGGACGATCGATTCGGCCAAACTACTCATGCTGTCGGGCATCGGACCGAAGGAACACCTCGAAGAGGTCGGCATCAACGTCATCCAAAACTCCCAAGTCGGCTACAACATGTACGAGCACGTGGGCTTCCTCGGCCTGACCTTCATGGTCAATCAGAGCGTCAGCTTGTCGCAAGCGAAACTCGCCCGGCCGAGCGTGCTCATGGAATACGTGCTGCACAACAAGGGCATGATGACGATTCCAGGCGGTGCCGAGGCTCTGGCCTTCATCCGCACCAAGTACGCCCCGGACTCGAGACCGGACGTCGAGCTGCTCTTCGCCAGCGGCTCTCTGCACTCGGACGGCGGATTGAGTCTGCGCAAGGCGCTGGGAGTCAGCGACGAGCTCTACGACACGGTCTTTCGACCTGTGCAAGGCAAGGACGCCTGGTCCATCTGGCCAATAGTGCAGAATCCGCGCAGCGTAGGTCGGATAAAGCTCAGATCGAAGAATCCCCTCGAGAAGCCGATCATACAGCCGAATTTCTTCGAGCATCCGGCCGACGTGGAGATCATTCTCGAGGGCGTGAAGCACGCCATCGAGCTGTCCAAGACCGAGCCGTTCGCCGCTTACGACTCGAAGCTGCACGACATCAAGATACCGGGCTGCAAACGTTACGAGTTCGCGAGCGACGATTATTGGCGCTGCGCGATCAAGCACTTGCCGTCGATGATGAATCACGAGGTGGGCACCGTGAAAATGGGCCCGGCCAACGACTCGAGCGCCGTCGTCGATCCGCAACTGCGGGTCCACGGAATCGAGGGCCTCAGGGTCGTCGACGCGTCGGTCATGCCGACTATGCCCGTTGGTCACGTCAACGCCGGTATCTTTATGATCGGAGAGAAGGCCTCGGATATGATTAAAGAGACCTGGAATGGTATTGGCAGATTCAAGGCAACGTGAGCGTATGATAAAGTTGTGCGTCACTACGCTGTGCCGCTAAAAATACCTGTTCCAAGAAGCAATCGTAGATTACGAATTTCATTGCGAGATTAAGTAACTATGCTGCGCATGATTTTTTGAAAATTAGTTTAGCTCAATTATTAATATCAGATTTGGCTAGTAACACGCATTGAAGAAATTTCAATACAGATAGACTTGAGTATGTAATACTCAAAGAATTTCACAAGAGATAACGCTTATCAATAAGACTATTTAAGGTTTTTTACACAGTTTTTAAGTCACAAAGGGATTATTTTAATGTATCCTGTACAAAATTCTATTATAGAGTAGAATATAAGTTTTGAATAATGCTTAATTTAAACTCAAAACTATTTTATTCGTCGATCATTGCAATTCATTTGAATGATAGAATAAGTTGAAAATTTTCTGGGAATCATAACAAACATCTTTCATTGAATATGGATGGTGAATGAATAGGCTTAATAAATAAGTACTTGTACATAATATTCAACTAATATATTGTAAATAGTTTTTGTACATTTTTTATATGAAAAATTATTTTTTTACTAAATATTTATGTATATTTATTGTATACTACTGTTCAAAATTTCTATACACCGGTGCCTCGTGTAAATTAATACCAGTATATTATATGTATACAAATTGTAATGATAAAATGTCATGAAAAAATCAACAACTCATATATATGCAAACAACACATGAAATAAAAATGAAAACAGAGAAAGCGAATCACTAAAACACATTATAATGCATGAAGTCTGAAAATGTTATACAAATGAACAATGCGCATTATGAAAAAATCAGTAAGAGAGCATTCTTGAAGCAGCATTGATCTCCTCTTTGATTAAAAGCAGAAAAGCCTGTAAATTTTCAAGAAATAAAAGACTCCATACCTAAAACAAATAAATTAACAATGTAAAATAAAGAAAATAAAATTATTAATAATGCATGTATTATAAAACAATGACAGTTACACACAGAAATGATCCAAAATAGGAAGTAATTTAATTGAAGCAAAAAAAAAAAAAGCTAGGCTTACGTTAGTACTCCAAATATCCATATGATTAATTAATTAAAAAACACTACAAAAGTGATCACATATAAACAAATGTTCAAATTAAAAGTACAGAAAGTTGACACTGAAGCTTGCAACAAAGCCAATTCACTACCAAGAAAGTCAAATCCAGTTAAAAAAGACAAAAAAAATGAGCATTTTTTTGTCTTCATTATTTTGCTGCTTTATTTTACAGCAGCAGCTTCCCTTACAGCAAAAGCACAAGTGCAGAGGAGGATGGAATGAAGAAAAAAAGAGGAAGCAAAAAAGTTGGAAGGAGCAGCAGTGGCATCATCAGCATCATACAGCGTACAAGCGATACATGCTGCTGTACACGGCACGACCATACTGCCACGCGTCCCGCGTGAGCTCTTTCAACCCCCTTTTATACTGGCCACCCTCGCACACTATAATGTGTACTATACCATAGAGCATGCGAGGCGGACTTTCAATGGAGCAGAGCACTCGCCGCCAGCTTGTATACACACACAGACACACTACACGCACATACAGGCGCGTAGAGAGACATATCCAAGTGTGCACACGCACATGTAACATAGGCGTAGACTGCAGCGGAGGCGCGCACACACCCACGCACGTATACAGATGCAATGGTTAATCGCGTAACGCGATATTGCTTCTGAAGTCAGTCAGCTAGCAAAAACAGGCGGATAATTAGCGTAAAGAAGTAGGAAGAACAAGATGAGGATAAAAAAAAAATACACCGACTGGCGGCACGAATACGTGTGCGACACCACTGTACGAGTCACGAGATAGTCAGGGAGCGTGTGTGTATACAGGCATTACTGCAGGATCCGTGCACCCCGCATGCGTCTCTTTTTTGTATTTGCACACCACACTGTTTATGTTTTTTACATGCGATACAAGCTGCGGTTGATGCACTACAGTGTTTATCGCGGTGCAATGCAGTGCCCAAACGAATGTTCATGCTCGGCCGAGTCAAGCTACGTGTATGTTACGAACCTACGATCAATCTCATGCAAAACTGTCCTCTCTCTACGAGGCGCGTGTACGACAAGGCAAAAAAAGTAGCCAGAATATACCAATGGGTGTAACGTTATGTATTGTAAAGATTACAGAATCGATTATTCGAAGTGGATGATTCATGAATGTTCCAATACTGTATCAGCGACTGTGTTCATGATCGGCGTTTACGAGTATGAGCCATCACCTCGGGTTTTTCCCCCATTGAAGCTTCTCTACGTCTATTCGTGAATACATGTTTTACGTGTGCGCGTATACACATATTATATCTATATATATAACGGCAGTGAAGCACTACTCCCGTCATAAATTCTAACAGGAATGCGTACAAGAAGAATTCGCTCTATGCGCGTTTGAGGTTATGGCGCTTCGGGGAGCTTTGCAGTGTGCCGCGACGAGCGATGTTGCACTCGAATAGCTGCGTTATATGTATATGTTATCATGACAGAAGTCGAGGGTCTTACCTGAAACAACGAGAGCCTCGTTGGGTCCGCAGGTGTGTACGTTGCCCATGATTTGTCTTTCTCAACAATTGTCTAACTACGGGAGATACGAAGAAGCACTTCTCACACTCATGCACAAGACACGCACGGCTCACACTAGGCACGCACGACACTTTCGGCACAACTGGTAATTGAGAAACTCGAATATTAGAAATCTCCGTGCGAGTGCGTGTATGCGTGGACGGTCGGCTAAATATATATGTGTATACGTATGCGCGTATATACTAGATGTAAACGTGACCCGGCGACAGACCGTGGCTCCGATAACTCCCTTCCTTCGTTTGATATACGTGCGCGACGCTACTGTACTGCTGCTGGTGCCGCAGCGAAAATATCTCGCTGTGTTTTACTGGCCGAGCTTTCGTAGCTAACTAAAAAATTCACAGCGATGCGTTGCAAAGGTTGTGTATTATACTGCTGCGCTATCTGCTCGATGTGTATCGACGACGATGTGTCGAGAGTTGCGACAGCGCAAGCTGTCCCCCGCGCGATACCGCCTGCCTTCTGCCTGTGTAATAGCTGCTGCGGCTTCGCGTTCGTTTACGCACATACACAGGTAGTACGTATGCTGTTGTAGGCCGTACAAGTGAATATAGCTCGACGTTCGCTACGACGACGACGACGATGACGAAGAGGATAGGTCGGCGACGCTGCCTAACCCGTGCTCGCTGCTGCACGGCCGTCACTTGACGCGCTGCGTCGCTGATAAAGTCTCGCTCTATGCGCTCGCTGCTGCTGTGCCGCCGCCGTGATGTCACTCGTATGCTGCCCCCCGACCTACGACTCTCGGAGACTCGGACGCAAGTACGATATATAGGGTCTGCAGTTTGCGCTTGCGCTGCAGTGCGGCGACCTTTTCTAAATTCACCGCAACTTCTCTGCCGTCGCTGCGAACTGGAAAATGCACCTTCCGAGCACTGCCTGTGTTAGTATGCGCGACGGGCATGATTGTCAATTATTCACCGATTTTGTCACTAATTTTTGGGGCGTCGACGCTACTGTGGCATATGTTCCAGATGCGACGATCTTGCTCATTTCTAATCGATATTGACTTTTATCCACGCTATTTTATTTCTCGCTACTCTCTCACGCGTATTTACAGTCCGAAATTTGGCAATGAATATTTTTAATATGACAGCTGGTGTCAGTTGTCTTCTAACGATACGTAGGCCTATAAATTTGTAAACACAAAGCTTCGTAGATCGGCCCAATCCTCTATTCTTTACTCTAATAATTTCAATGACTCAATTAGTCTGGTAGCAAGAGATAACGAATGTAGCTTGAAATTTAATTCTAACTCACTTTCTTTTTAATAACATATATATCTTAACTAGAATAGATAAGTGAGCTGCGATACCATAGAACAATTAAAATTATAATTTTCATTTATTTATACACAGTATTAGAATTTTTTGAAACCATTATTACCAGTGAAAAAATAAGTTATTAGATAATGTCGTACTTTAAAATGACTCTCAATATGCTTAGTTCATATTGTATTTTATCATTTTCTATCGTATTCTCTACAAGTAAACCCTGTCGTTTTCTGTCGTGTTGTAAACGAGTAAAGCATTTCGGAAACGATTAAAACGAGAACCCAATCATCAACGATTTTAGGAGTACACGATCGTTGAAAATATTTCTTTATGTGCGTTTGGGATGAGGAGTTGAGCCTATGCGAACGTGACAGTCTTAGATTTTGAGTCTCAGCAGCTTCTAGTTACCTCGATCTTCTTGAGTGCCCGCATATGAGTCTGCTCATCTCGCTCGCTCTGACACCGTAGCGTTGGGTATTTTTTATATCTCTTTTGCGCTTGCTTCGTCTCAAATGTACGTGCCCTTGCAAATTGATCGATCCAATGATCGATCTATGTTTCGCCCATCACCGTCCAGCTCGCACTCATGTTTATGTTCTATAAATCATTGTATGTGTGCTACATTAATAGTCAGACTCACAAGGAGACCACACGAGATGCGGGTCACCGAATGCCCTGAAAATTTTTTTTCGTCTATTGGCAGCTAATAATGAACCCCTGTATGCTTGGTTTCATCCAATAGGCCCTGGAACTCAGTCTTGTCACTTGCCCCAAAAATCAATAGAAAATATATTACAGATATGATAGTGATAATTCATTGGTGTGCGTGGAGTGATTCTTGGATATTGAATTGATTATTGGTCCAAGTGTCAAGACTGAGTTTCAGGGCCTATTGGATGAAACCAAGCATACACGGGTTTATTATTAGCTGCTATTATTATTAGGTTTATTCGGTGATCCTCATCTCGTGTGGTCTCCTTGTGAGTTGGTCAAATTTTGCCTCAACGAGGAACAGTATTGATGTCGTTATTTACTAATGCACATTTGTCGATTTAAAACGTTCATTGAACATACGAAAATATTACGAAAATATTATCTTACGTTCAAACGAGTCGGGGAATGATTCAAATAGAGCCCCTCGTATAAAGATTCGTTTCAGGTCTTTCTTTTCGAGCTAGAAAATTGCGAAGATAAAGTCGTGTTTTCTTATACTGAATTGTTTTAGTAAAATACTGTTTATTCGAATTTGAATTCCATATCAAATTTTAAATCAAAAATCATGATCAGACAACTTTTCCATATTTACCCCCCAGGAAATCAGAATAAAATTTGAAAAATGAAATTCCAACTTTGAGACCTTGTATGACCATGAAAGATGTATGTAGAGGGCTGAAATTTTCAGTATTTTTAATTTTCAATTTATTATTTAAAAGAACTTTTTTTTTTTGGATTTCCATTTTTTAAGGCTTACAATTTCAACGTGGTTGTTCTCAGAATTTCTGAGTGACATTACTTCGGTTTTCTCAGTTCTTTACCGAACTGACACATTGAAATTATAGTGGCACTGACGATTTTGAAATCGCCTATGGATTGTCCCCTTTTTCCCTTAAATTCAGTATCATGATTATTGACCTTTTTCATTTTTAGTTCGACTCGACTTCTTCTAATTTCGTTTTCAACTTAATGAGACCTTCGAATAACTCGAGTGCATTATATTATCAACATGAAATCAAGGAAGGTTATATTCATAAAAGTATCGAAGAAGTTCGTCAAAATGTTGTATTTTTTTTACTTTATTTAAAAAAATTCACGCGTACAAAAAATAGCTACTTAACAACAGGTGTTCACTTCGTCGTCCCTTCCAACGATTGTCTAAGATCATTTTCGTCTACCTGCTCGAACAAACATAATAGATCCTCTTCACTCATGCTCTCGGCGACTTGTCGGCAAACGGTGTATGGCAGATTTAAGCTACAATAGTCGGTCATAAAAAGATCAGTGGCGAGCAATTCAAAGTTCCACATGTTCCTCATTAAAAGGTTTGCAACGTGCCTTTTTATAACAATAGCTATGTTATAATATATATAATCATCAAGTCGTGGCATGCCCCAATCCTTTATATTTTTTATTATCGAGAAACCCTCCTCGTAGTTCATTTGACAAAGTTGATAGATCGAGACATCTTCGGTTATTTTAATTTTTTTCATTTCCTCAAAATGTCGCGCCAACATATTTATCGATTCTTCATCGCACTCGTAGTCGCGCTCGCCCTCTGGTAGTCTCGATCTTACATTCTCGCGTCCTTGGAGCAAATCGTCCATATCTTCTTTTGTTATATACAATCCAAATATACGGTACATAGATATTAAATCCACAATAAATTTGAACCGATATCGTTCATCACCTAAATAAAAAAAAAATTATTTATAATTTTTGTCTTTTAATTGTATTTTGTGTTGCGTAATCAATTAGCATTGTATTATGCTTAAAAGTAACCAAGGGGTTTGATTATTAAGTTAATTGGATAAACTATTCAAAGAGTTAAAAAAATGTTTAAAAAAAATAATAAATATTTTTAAAATATTTTTCGTTTAAAATCGTCATGAAAGTGCGATGTCAGGTTGAAAATTAATCTGTAGAGTAGAACTACTGCCACCGTTCGATTCTACAGGAAAATTTCTGACAAAATTGGCATTTTAAACCTTTCTCCAATTTTTTCTATTTATTTTTCCATCATTGAAAGAAAAATTTTGCTTTTTTACGTTCTAAAAATTAAAAAGAAACGTCACTTCATGACTGGAAATGATTTTATAGGCTAAAACCAAAGTACAAATAAAATGTATTCACAAAACCGATTACGATCTGATAGAAAAGCTGGCGACCCCTTTAGCTATTTAATGGCTCAAAGGGGGCTCAAATAATTACATATTTCTATTTATAGTATTAAGCTGAAAAAGTGAAAAAAAATTTTTTTATAAAACAGGCATAAGAGTTTTTTTCAATACCCAATTTGAAATTACTTTGTCCAGTTAAATACTTACAAACACTTAAATTAACTGGTTAAGCCTATGAACCTTTAGTGATAAGCATTTGGGATATCTAAGCTGTTTGCCGAAAGATTCCAAGTGTTTACGTGACACGATTAAGTTGTAGGTCATTTCATTTTCTTTGATGAATCATTATCCATCTACGCAACCTCGAGCTAAGCATAAGATCAACTTTGATTACTTCCACATAAAATTTAATAGAATATTTTATTCATTGATGATTATTTTTGATAAATTTTAATATTTTAATTAAATAATTTAATTAAGGGCTTATATATAGCTTAAATTCAAAATTTTTTTTATTCAATTTTTGAATAGGATTTTTTCTCCCCTTTCCATTGCTTTTTTCGAAATTCCAAAATTTTGATTTTGCACTGAGATACAGCTGTTTCCGTGAGCCTTTTTCCTATACTTTACGTGTTAAATTTTTTCTTCTTTTGCGTTTTCTGGCGAGTAGTGTTTTTGGTCACTTTTCGTAATATTCAGAGGGTACCGATTGAGCTTTCTGCACTAGGGTCGCGTACACTTCTTCAGAACATGAATGGTTATGGCCACTACCACGGGTGAGACGATTGAGCTCATAGATCATTTTCAAAACGTACTTTTATGACTTAAATTTCGGCAAAAACGAAAAATGAAAAAAAATGTGTGTTTAACTGTTCATGCAGAGCAACCTGAGTGTTCGGTCGTCTTGCCCGTGGTAGTGGCCATAACCATTCATGTTCTGAAGAAGTGTACGCGACCCTGGTGCAGAAAGTTCAATCGATACCATCTGAATATTACGACAGGTGACCAAAAACACTACTCGCCAGAAAACGCAAAAGAAGAAAAAATTTAACACGTAAAGTATAGGAAAAAGGCTCACGGAAACAGCTGTATCTCAGTGCAAAATCAAAATTTTGGAATTTCGAAAAAAGCAATGGAAAGGGGAGAAAAAATCCTATTCAAAAATTGAATAAAAAAAATTTTGAATTTAAGGTGTATATAAGCCCTTAATAATTAAAATAATTTAATTATTTTAGATATCCCAAATGCTTATCACTGAAGGTTCACAGACTTAACCAGTTAATTTAAGTGTTTGTAAGTATTTAACTGGACAAAGTAATTTCAAATGGGGTATTGAAAAAGGCTCTCATGCCTGTTTTCTGTAAAAAAAATTTTTTCACTTTTTCACCTTAATACTATAAATAGAAATATATAATTATTTAAGCCCCCTAAAAAAGCTCTAAAAATTACTTTTTCAAATTTTTCCCAATTTAAAACTTAGTTTCAAACTATAAACTTTCAGACTTCGTTGGATTCGGCAAGATACAAGAGA